AGCTTGTGGTGGGAAGTGTGCAGGCGGAGGGGAAGGCTCTCAGCTGGAGGCCAGAGGCAGCTTACTGCACATCCTGAGCGGTGGACGGGCCGTCCTGTGGAGGAGGCTCCTCGGGGAAGGTCCAGGCCTGAGAGCCCGAGGTGGGAGGGAGTGACTCCCAAGCTTACAGGATACGGTTTCTGTTTTCGCTCCACTACATCAAAAAGGCCCGAAAACGAAATTGGAAGATAAGCTTGTTTGGCACAAAACCTTTTTGAAATCCACTCACGGCTTCTAGAGATGACACATGTTTTCCCGCACGTCTGCATCCGAGTCCCACCCAGTTGTCCAGCACCAGCTCTCTGCGAAGCCTCTCCTGCTGAAGCCACTGACACCTCTCGCTTCTCTCAGGCCCGGGTGGGATCCTGGGCATACTTGAGTGTGCGGGCCATGAGGTTGCAAAAACATGAACTTCATAGAGTAAGAAGCAGTTTCAGAAACTGAAGCATAGTGCGAGAAGAAAAGCCATCAGCGAGCCCGAGCAGCAGGGACGCAAGCGCAGGGCAGCAGGTGGCTGGCGCCGGAGGGCAGCAGGTGGCTGGCGCCGGAAGGCCGCAGCCTGTCTGTCCTGGCAGGTTCTGCCTTGGGGGACTGACCCAGTGACTGGCTCTCCTTGTGAGCAGGGCAGTTCTCATGATGGAGGATCTGTACTAAGCTAAGAGTGTGGCCATGGGACATTTCATATTTATGACGGCGGCAGCAGCTTGCTTGCCCTCGTATCTGTCATTGTCCTTTTGTTCCCCAGCGCCTGTGGTTAGGGTAAATTCTTAGTCTAGGATTTAAAAAAACAACAGCACAGGCAGACAGTTAAGAAATGAAAGCTTCAGCAATAGTAGCTACTTATCTAATAGGAGCCACGATGCTGGAGGGACAGTGATGCTCCATCCGTGTAGCTTTAAGGACATCTTTTTAGAGCTTGAGCATGCAGGGGCCTTAGCACAGGCAGGGGCCACAAGACTTATAGTTAAAAACAGTAATGGGTTAGAAACACAACAGTGTTTCTTAATTTTTCTAAAAGCTCACGCTGGGGAAGGAATTGGCGCACAGTGTACATGCAAAGCTAAAGGGGCCGCTTTGCGTGGAGAGCTCCCTGGAGGCCGGCAAGGCTCTTGCAGCAGGTGCATAGAGAGCACCGATGAGGCACGTCTGCCCAGAGCTGTGCTGGGTGACCAACAGACCCTTGCTTCTCTCCTGACATTTCTGCGTACCATAGGAAGATGGGACAACCGAGCAAGAGGATCCCACAGAGGTGCAGGGAGGAGCCAGGCTTGCCCTGGGCCTATCATGCTGGTGCTGTAGGACTGGCCCTCTGGGCCTCCTGCCACTTCCTCTGGCAACACAGAGGGTGCAGAGAGCGACAGGGAGACAGGCGCCTTCCACACTCCCAGCCCTCTTCTCCAGGCACCAGGGACCTAATGAGACTTCTTTCCCTCTCCACAGACGCCACTGTGCCCGGCTGGGAAATGGCCGGATTCCCCTCGCATTCCTTTCCAGGAAGACTTCCTTGCAGCAGGAGGGTTGGAAGAGAGGGTGAGGAAAACACAGAAAGAAAAAAGATGGTGCAGATTTTCTATCTCTTGCTCTCTTACTTGACACAGCACTCTGCGCACTCAGCAAGACTGAATGCTTAACTTACGAGAAACACTGCCCCCTCCCACAGCCTCGCGATGTGTTGAGCATCTTGATAATGGTTGTGCAACCTGGTTTGAACAAGGCTTCCAGAACTGAGCTCAGCATGGGTGTTGGGGTGTTGTGCTGGTGCTGAGGAATGCAGACAGCTTGACAGAGAAGTTCAATTCTGTGGAAACCTGGGTGGCTGCTGCTGCTGGCCTCGTGGCGGGTGGGAAGATGAATGGCTGTACCTGCCAGCTTCAGCGGGAAGTGACCTTCCTGTGGGACCCAGTGACTGCTGATGCTGTCCCCAAGGAGGTGACCCAGTGCTGATCTTTCACCCATAAAACTGGAGTAAAAACAATGCAGATAAATGGCACCTGTCCACATGGATTGGGTTTGATTCTTTTTAAATAACTTAAAAAGATTTATTTATTTATTTTGGAAGTCAGCATCACAGGGAGATGATGAGAAAGAGAAAGAGTGAACGAGACAGAGCTGCCTTCTGTCCACTGGTTTATGTCCCAGATGGCCAGAATGGCCAGTGCTGGACCAGGTCAAAGCCAGGGACTTCCTCCTGGTCTCCCACGTGTCCGGGCGCCCACGCACCTGGGCGACCTTCTACTACTTTCCCAGGACATGAGCAGGGAGCTGGATCGGAAGTGGAGCAGCCAGGAGATGGACTGGCACGCTCTGGAACGCCAGTGCCAGCCCCATCTTTTTCTGTCAGAGCACACTGCTTGTGATGTGTCCATGTGCAAACTGGTGTGTATTCATCCCTCAGGAATGCTTGAGTTTCTTGCTGTGCTTTCAACAAAACGGGATAAAACTTTAGCCATTATTTTTACCATATAGGTTTTTCTTTTCATTTACTGTTTTGTTGTAGAAATCTTATCATGTATACGTTAGTGCACTTTATGTCATCAGGTCTCTACAACCCAGTTAATTCTGCTTTTTTTGTTTTGTTTTGTTTTTCAGAGTGGGCTGTTGTCTTCATTCTTGTATACTTAAATTCCTCGACTCTGCCAGTCAATGCAGACTCCCCCTTACAAATGTTTAGATTTTAGAGACGGCCTTTGTAACTGCAGAGTTTCCACTTGCATTTTTTCTTTCACAATGTCTGTGGTCCTTTATTGACATTCTTTATCTTTCTTTTTTCTTTTAAAGATTTAGTTATTTTTATTGCAAAGTCAGATATACAGAGAGGAGGGGAGACAGAGATGAAGATCTTCCGTCCAACGGCTCCCTTCCCAAGTGGCCACAATGGCTGGAGCTGAGCCAATCCGAAGCCAGGAGCCAGGAACTCTTCCTGGTCTCCCATGTGGTTGCAGGGTCCCAAGGCTTTGGGCCGACCTCGACTGCTTTCCCGGGCCACAAGCAGGGAGCTGGAAGGGAAGCAGGGCCAGTGGGATTAGAACCGGCGTCCTTATGGGATCCTGGGGGGTTCAAGGCGAGGACTTTAACCACTACACTGTCGCTCTGGACCCTCTTTATCTTTCTTATAGCTTTTAAAGCATGTTTTGCTTCAGGTTTCGAACATACCAGACGTATGTGTGACAGACATGTTGACAAGTCTGTTATCTCAGCTCACACTGTGGAGTCTTGCAGAGCCACTGGGTCCTGCCTGTTTCTCCTGCCTGTGGCTCATCTCCCCTGGCCTTGTGTGCATTTTAAATTACAGCTTAGCTCGCAGCCTACGTGCTGCTGCTGGCCTTCTCACCCTGTCCCTGGAAAGCTAGTGTGCCTCAGCGACTTGCCTCTGCTTGCTGTGGACTGCTCACTCCTCATGGATCTTCTGAGCTTCCCTTTTTTAATGTTAACATTTTATCTAAAAACTTAGTTTGTTCTTTTTATTTATTTGAAAAATGTAGAGACAGAGATGGTCAGGCAGAGAACCATGTACTGATTGTTGGTTTGCTTCTCAGATGCCAACGAGACAGAGCCAAGTGCTGGGCAGTCCAGGCAGGCTTCTCCCGTCCCCAGCCGCCCTGGGCTGGTCCCGCTCCCCGGCGCACAGGCAGGAAGCTGGGGCTGAGTGGGCCGGTCTGGATCCCAGGCGATCCAGTAAGCCTGCAGGTGTCCTGAGCCGTGGTGTGACTGTGTGCCTTAATTCTTCTGCTTGCTTGTTTGTTTCCTTTAGGTCGGCTTTCTTCCGACTGCCCCAAATCAGTACAAGTTGGCTGCCAGTCAGTGAGTGGCCAAAGACTGGCATAAACACTTTAAGTGAGTATTTCTTTGATTTTTTTTAACTGCACATTTATTTGTTTGTTTTAAAAATGATCAAAAGGGAGCTAACTTCATGTGTTTGATATACACAGGCTTGTGTGCATTATGCTGCATCTCGGCTTGCCCTCCCTCACTCCTGCCCTCTTTCCTTCTTTTCTTATTTTTTTTTGATTTTTATGAAGGTATGTTTTCAATTTTCTTTATCATCACAAGCTTACCCCTCCACTAAATACAGAGTTCAACAAGGAGCAGGTAGACAAGCTGTCCCTCGAGAGTGCAGATAAGGACTAGAAAGACCAGGGCTCCACACGGCAGTTTGGTCGTTTATTACATGTTTCTGAGGATGTCTGCCTGTGGGGTTGGCCCTCTCACTGCCTGCCAGTCTCCAGTTGTGCCCATTTTGCTGGGGAAGTGTTTGTCTTTGTGCCATTCCGTGTGCGTGGCTTAGGGAAGGTTTTCAGAGCCCGGGGAGTGTAACAGGGAGCGCAACAGGGAGCGCAGCGGCCCTCTGTGGCTCTCACGTTCTGTGCTCACAAGCTGTCACATTTGACTGGCTTGCGTACACACAGTTTTCCAGCTCACCGGGAACAAGCTAGGCGTCAGCTGGGTTCTCTGCTTTTGCGTTTCTATTGCTCGCTGCAAGCAGGAAAGACCCCAGACGGCACTGCAGCCCCTGGTCACTTGGTACTGGGATCTCTGTGGTCTTTTTTGCTTGTTTGTAAAAGATGTCAATTCACTTTATTTTCAACTCTGCAATGAGACTACACTGGATTTCATAGAAGAAATGCCGTCTCACTCAGTGGAGGAGCCCATAAAAATAGAACTGGAAGCAGATCATGAGATGTATTGGGATGTCAGAGGGAATACAGACTCCTAGCTGCAGCAGAGATGAGCTTGGGTAAGTTCAGCATCAGGGAACAAAGCAAAGAGATCCCAAGCAAAGCATCCCTGCAAGCCGTCCGGGAAAGAAGGGTGCATTCAGTTTAATGGCATGCATTCAGCTCCAGAGAGCACGAAGCCAACTCACAGCAGGCCAGGGAGTTATCACCATTACTTAAACCCAGTATCCCTTTCTCTCACCATGATACAACCAACCGTAAGTGGCCAGAAACGAAATAGGTCAGGCTTGGAAGGGGTAAAAGACGCTGGGCAGAGCAGAGGGAGGAAGTCAGGATCTTGTCCTTCGCTGCCGGCCACAGCCCTAGCCTGGGGAGAGAAAGGTCAACACTGAGCGCATCTGGTGTCTCAACTTCCAAATCCTCCGTTCTTGTTTCCGCTTAAATGGGATGCAAGAGTGAACAGGGAAGTTCTGAGGCCAACTGAAGCTTCATCAAAGCAAGAGAAGAGCTGGCCCGGCATGAATTAAAGAACAGAAGGACTCAAGGAGTAAGTGCCACGAGTCATGTTTGTTTAGTATTTAGTTATCTTGAACCTCTTAACCCTGTGTGTGTGTGTGTGCATCGACATACACACACACAGGGAGAGAGAGAGAAAGACAAAGGGAAGGAGGGAGGTAGGGAGGGAGGGAGGGAGGGAGAGAGAGCGAGCGAGAGAGAGAATATCAGCTTGGAAACTTACATCAGAAATATTTTAACACCTTTTTCTCTCTTTGGACTCCAGTAGAGTCTTCCTCCAAGTCTGGCTTCAGGTTGAAGTGATATTCACTTACTTAGGTGGTGAACCAGTGGTTATGAATGAACTTACCAGAAATGAGAAGAGGAACTAAAGTTGCTGACAACAAACTTTGGGCCCTAGCAACCCTTTTCCTCTAAGTGTTTTCAGTGTCCACCCTACCCCCTTTGGAATTTCACTTCTGTTTCTTTCCTGAATTGTGGAGGTTGATATTTAACATCCTTTGACTGCTGGGATGGTTACGAATGGAAAGGGGGACATCAAAAGAGACCACCAGCATTACTCTGCGAACTCCCTTCTTGCATAACTGTGCCTTGGCCTTGAGTAACACCGTTCGACCTTCTACCCATCCATAGCACAGAACTTTATCCCAGGTGTAAATTTTAGACACCGTGCCATGCACTGTGGGCAGCCTTGTGAGCAAGATGAATAGGATTCTAACCATGCACTGTTAGTCCTTTTAGAAAAGGGGACTTGTGGAAGTGGAAGCAAGGGCTTGAAGCCAAGTCCCACGGTGCAGATGAGACCAGCAATATGCAACCAAATACACTTGGAACCTTCCATTTGGATTTAAGCTGGTTTTTGAAGAAGGGATTGGTTCACTGAGGTGAATAGCAGTTGCCTTTGTGGTCCTACAGAACTCTGCTTCCAACCTCATCATGAGGTTTTCCTTTTGGTCACCATTCAGCAGTCACATGTCTTCCTTCACTTCCTCAGACTAACTGCCCGGGACATCGGACTCCAGTGCCACCAACGCTGTGTCTCCCCTGCCCCTGCTACACTCTTTGTCCAGCACTGCTTAGGTTATCTTGGTTTCTGCCTTTGCTGTTCCCATTGTTTGTGACCCTCAGCTGTCATCATGGAAAGGGTATATGTAGGCGTCACTTTCACCTATCCAGTTCCTGAGACAATGAGTGATGCACAGTAGGGCTCAGATGTTTGCCAAACAGATGGATGGATGGATGTTAAGCTACAGCCCTGCATTGGGTACACACTGGCAAACTTGAAGAAAGAAAAGGCACTATGGGATATAGCATGGGAGAATGGAGAGGGAAATCATGGTGCTGGAGAAGGAGATGGGCTCCCATCTTGAAGTCTTTCCAAGTTTTAAAGGATGTTAGTGAATGGTGACGTAGCTCCAGTGGGCTGCTTGCTATTGTTCAAGTGAATAGAAGACAAGTCAGATGTATTGTACAAAGGAGGAGTTTTACATCAGATGCTCTTTCATAGTTTATTTCGGTACACGTGTGTGTGTTTTTGCATTGTGTTTTGAAATATAAAGGCCTTTTGTTTTAACTTATAGTAACTAGGTGTGAAAGCCACAGCTGAGCCATGTTGAGGATTTCAGCTTTTCCCCTAAAGGAATAGAGTCGTTGAAGACATTTTCACAGGGAGTGAGTTCCGAGGTCCTTTCCCTGCTGGAGATGCTCAGTTCCTAGGCGGGGAGTCCAACGGCCGAGGCACCAGCAGGGCTGGGCTCTCAAGACGGCATCCTCCTGACTAACCTTCCTCTTATAAGCACCGGCACTACATGTAGGAGCCAGTTTGTGTCAGCTCTGCTCCACTTTCCATCCAGCTTTCTGCTTGTGGTCTGGGAAGGCAGTGGAGGATTGTTCAGGTCCTTGAAACCCTGCACTTGCGTGGGAGACCTGGAGGAAGCTCCTGGCTCCTGGCTTTGGATTAGCTCATCTCTGGCAATTGTAGCCACTCGAGGGTGAATAAGCAGATAGGAGATCTGTGTCTCTGCTCTGTAGATCAGCCTTTCCAATAAAAATAAATCTTGTAAAAATAGATTCTTGTTAAATTTGAACCTTAATAATGACAGTTTTAAAAATATTTATTTATTTTTATTGGAAAGGCAGATTTTTGGAGAGAAGGAGATACAGAGAGAAATATTTTCTATTCACTGGTTCACTCCCCAAGTGGCTACAATGGCAGGAGCTGAGCCTACCTGATGCCAAGAGCCAGGAGCTTCTTCTTGGTCTCCCAGGCAAGTGCAGGGTCCCAAGGCTTTAGGCCGTCCTCTGCCGCTTTCCCAGGCCACAGCAGGGAGCTGGATGGGAAGTGGAGCAGCCAGGACAGAAATCTATGCCTATATTGGATTGTGGTATGTGTAAGGTGAGGATTTAGCCACTAAACCATTACGCCAGGACCTGTTTTTTAAAATTCCTAGCACATAGCCCAGGTGAGAAGCTTTTCCTTTTTCTTTGTGAATTTGTGTAAAGCGAACAGAAAACAAAGACATGTGGCCTTTGGATTATAATCAGTTTTTTAAAAAAAGATTTTCCGTAACTTCAGTGACTTTTTCATAAAATTCTTGGCAAACGAAAAAATAAACCCTAATTGTTTAATAATTCCTCACAGAATTAACTTGGACAAATAAATACAGAAATTAAACGGTGCCATCAGAACAAGTTTCTCTTTCCCAGTTTGCATGTGTCCACCCCTCGGGAACAGTCCCTCCGCTCCCTGGGGACTCTGGCTGTCCGAGATCCCTAGCTGTCATCACTGGGGTCCTGGCCCCACATCCAAGGGGAAACTTAACAACAGTGACTGTTTGTTTTGTAGGTTTCGGAGACGCTCAAGTGCCAGAGAAGAACTTTGAAGTGTGAAAAGATTTCCTGTAACTGAAACCAAAATGGCGCTTATAGATCCGTATCAGCACATTATAGTAAGTCATTGGCTGTTTTGCCTTCTCCCTGGAGGGGCAGACGCGTTTCTGTGTATCAGTGTGGTGGTGCTGGCAGCTGCTGGGTTTGTTGCTAAACTCCTCTGACCCTAATGTGATCTGCATGGGCGACAGCAGCACAAACTCCTCTCTTTTTATCACTGTAAGTTTCTGCAAATGAATGATAGGGAGGGGAATAAAGAGCAAGCAACTGTAGCAATACTGAACGTCTATGAGACAACGAAATATATAGTTATCGCATAGCAATTTTGAGCCTGTGTAATTGCTTTCAGTAAAGCGTTGAGTAATTTTAAATTGGTATGCAATTTTCCAAACTTCACTGAAAGGGTGCATTTTCTTTTGAGGAGGGATATGCAGAGAGCCTAGTGGCTAAGATGCTAGTTGAGGTGCAGCCCTGGAGCATCCTGAACCCAGCTTCTTGCTAAAGCAGACGTGGGGAGGCAGTGGTGGTGGTCCCTGGAGTAGGCTGCTGCCACCTGCTCGGGAGTCACAGACTGAGCTCTCACGTCGCTGTGGGCGTTTGCGGGAGGAGCGGGGGGATGACCCAGGAGGTGAGGGCTCTCTCTAGCTGTCCCGTCCCTCTGCCTCTTCAAATAACTAACAGCAGAGATCTCCTTGAGACTCACTTAGGCTTATATGGATTGAAAGTTCATTATATAGATAAGGAGAAATAACCCACAATACCATTTTTATATACCATGCTTTTACTCTCCTGTGATTTTTCCTGCTTGGGTAGCAAGGTTTAACATTTTTGGTTCTTTGTAGTGCATTTTCTTTGTTCACTCACAACTTTAATCGTTGAAAACACGGTCCTTCCAAAGGTCTCATCATTGCCTTCCGTGCTGCTACATCCAGGGGCTTCTCCTGTTCCCCATCCCCTCTCTGCTTAACTGACCATTCCTCTCTTGTTGAAACACTTAGCATATTTTTTCTGGCTCTTTTTCTCCCTGTGGTCTGAGCCAAGGGATCTAGCTGGGGTGTCCCTCCAGAGATGTTGCCTCAGGTGACCTCCTGTGCAGCAGCCAGTGCAGGGTTAGGTCAGTCCATTACTTGTACCAGCCAATGTGCATACCAGTGGATGCAGCTACCTGGTCAGCTCTGCCAACAGCCCCATCTTAGCCTAGCCCAGCCCAGCCCACCACAGTCCTGGTCTTCACACACTCCCCAGCATGTGTCATGACCTAGTTGGGGCAACCACTGATACCTCCTAGCAGGTCCATCCCCAACCCTGGCTTTTGTTGTGTTGGCATGTGCCATGGCCTAACCTGGCCTGTCCTGCATGCCATCTTATGCACACCCATGGTGCTTCATCTTAGCATAGCCTTTCTAACCCCAAACCTGACCCATATGTATGCCAATGGGTGTTGCCTCCTTACCCAGCTTGGCCCTCTCCCAGTTCTGGCTATCATGCTCACCAGCAGGAACTACAGTTCAGCAGAGGAGTGCCCACACTCCCCCTGCCACACCTGCTCTCAGTCCTGGAACTTGCCCCTGCCAGCGAGTACCGAGATCCAGACTGACATCACCTGCACCCAGTGCCAACACTTGTCAGCTGCTGTGTGGCCTACCCTGGCTGGCCTACTCTCATCCCAGCATGTGTGGCAGCCTACCCAGCCTGGCCCATCCCCAGACCCGACCCAAATTCTAGCTGCCCAGACAAGTCCACCCCTAGCCTCAGCTCTCACACTCACCAGTAGAAGCAGCATCCCAGCAGGGGAGTTTCTGAGGTTTCCCCTATCAGGGCTCCTCCCGGCCCCAGGTCTTGCATGTGCCATCAAGTACTGTGGCTCAGTCAGATGGCATTTGCCAGCAGGTGCTGCAGCCTGGTGCAGCTTGGCCACCCCTCAAGTCCCAGCTTCTGCCAGTGGGTGCAGCAGTCTGGTCAAGCTTGGCCCACTCCTAGCCCCAGCCCTCATGTGAACTGGTGGGTGTTGTGGCCCAGCTTGAGGTAGCCCACCCTCTGCCCTGACAGTTGTGGGTAGGTAGTGTGTTCTAGCCCAGCATGCCCTCGAAGCCCAGCTTTTGTGTGTGCCACCATGCGGCCAACAATGCTACTTAGCTCAGCCTATGTCTCTCATACATGGGCAGGTGCCTAGCCTGACCCACATATGCCCTCTGGTTTTCCTACACTAAACCACATTATCTCAGCTTCTTTACCTATCTGCAAGTACAGTGACCTCATCCTTGGAAGCACCCTCAGCTGCTCCTGCTCCAACATTCTCCCTGACCCCCTTTCTTAGGCAATCTGCAGCACCCCCTGCCCCGGGTGGTGCGGTGGCGCATCTTGAGGTCTGTTCCCTGCCTTTGCCACACACCTTTAAAAAAAAGAATAGTCAAGTATTCTGTTGCACTGGTATAGGTAACACTGCTTTGGTTCAGAGCCCTTTAAAATGATGAGGATTGCTTTTGTCTGTTCTTCCAGCTCGTGTGAATAGGGAACAAACATCGTGCTCATGGTTAAGTGTCAGTTGTTTTATGACAAGACTCCTGCTCTGGCTTCATAGAAATACACCTTTCACAATAATGGGAGTGAGTGCAGTCCATGCAGAATGTTTGTACGAAAGCGAGACGAGGGGAGTGGAGCCAGCTAGCCAGTTCTGAGCGGTTGGGACCAGCTGGGCCAGCTGATGGGACTGCCTCCAGGCAGAGCAAACTCCACTGCTGTTGCCCGCAGCTGGGATGGAGTGCTGAGTGGCAGTGGTTTGCCCGCCTCCTGTGCCAGCGCCTATGAGGGTGGCAGGGTGTGCAGGGCCTCTTGCGTAATGGGCTTTGCTGTTCTGTGCCTCGAGTTGGGTTTTCCAGCCAGAAGGTTATCTGCACCTTTAGAATTGGGTTATTTTTTAAGACTAGAGAGACATCTGCTTTAAAAGACACGGTCAATATGAAATGTTGATAGAAATTTCCCCCTTTTTCCCTGGAGCAAGAAAACTCGGTCTGTTTTTAGTACCTGTGAGCCATGGCGGGTCTCCCTGCTACACGCATACACACACACACACACACACACACACACACACACACACACACACACACACACACACACACACACACACACACGACTGTCAGCCACAGGGGTGTGCTAGTGTGACTACCTGCCAAATAAAGTAGAAGCGTCTTTAGGAAACACTACAGAATGGCTGATAATTTTTCCAAAAAAACTGGGAAAGGCTGCATTCCAGATGATCATGGTAACACAAACAAACAGACAAAAGTCAAGGAGGCAGTGTTGAGTGACAGTCTCATCTTACCTGCTACGTGCGCAGGAGCACTCGGCCCTTCTGGACAGCGGTACGAGTACTTCCTGGTGTGTCTGCTTCACAGGGCTCCCGTAAATAGGAAATTATTGTGTGCACAGAAGTTTCTTTTGAAACCTGGCCATGTAAGATACTTCCAGGGAACTCAGAAGGTGAGATGTGGAAATATGAAACACGACGTTGACCAAGCGGCAGCGTTGGGCACCTGCCAGCAGGTGTGGAGGCGCTGGGTCCTGGCTTTGCCGTCCTCTGATGTAAGTAGGTGAGAGGAGGGCTGTGCCTCAGGTTTCTCCAGCGAAAAGAACTGGAAGGAGGTATTAATTCATTAATTATGTGGGATTAGCTCCCTTGATGATGGAGACAGAGAAGTCCCAGGAAGTGGCTTCTCAAGCCAGCACCCTGGGAGAGAAGGCACGTGGTGTAACACACTCAAAAGAGCACAGGGCTGCCCAGGAGAGGGGTGGGTTTTGGGTGGAGGAGGGGTACCCTGCTTCCCCCTCTACCTGCTTCTGCTCTGCTCAGATCATTCCCAGGGACCCCAGGCAGTCTGCTCAGTGCGGTCTCTGGTCCCAGTGCCAGTCTCCCCCACAGGCACACCTGGGCACCACCAGTGCCAGTCTCCCCCACAGGCACACCTGAGCACCACCAGTGCCAGTCTCTCCCACAGGCACACCTTGGCACTATCAATGCCACTGTCCCCATAGGCACACCTGAGCACCATCAGTGCCAATCTCCCCCACAGGCACACCTGGGCACCACCAGTGCCAGTCTCTTCCACAGGCACACCTTGGCACTATCAATGCCACTGTCCCCATAGGCACATCTGAGCACCATCAGTGCCAATCTCCCCCACAGGCACACCTGGGCACTATCAATGCCACTCTCCCCACAGGCACACCTGGGCACCACCAGTGCCAGTCTCCCCCACAGGCACACCTTGGCACTATCAGTGCCAGTCCCACCCTACAGGCACACCTGGGTACTATCAATGCCACTCTCCCCTACAGGCACACCTGGGCACCATCAATGCCAGTCCTCCCCCACAGGCACACCTGGGCACCATCAATGCCAGTCCTCCCCCACAGGCACACCTGGGCATCGCGTGGCATGTCAGGGTGAAGCTCAGAATCAGTTATCCGAGCTGGTAACAGTCAGCTCTTTAGCTCTCGTTCATGTGTGCTGGGCCCTCCCCTGCTCTGGCCTCTCCACAGAGGCCGAAGTGTACACAGGATGCTCTCTGCTTCTTTTAACTCACACGTCCCTAAAAGATCATTACATTTTTATCTTTCTGTTTACAATTTTCTCTGTTTTTTTCTTTTAACAAAGAAAACCTTCTTAGCCATGTTGTGTGGTTTCCAGTTCCACGCACTCCTGTTTTAGTTTGACGTTCGAATCCTTGCCCTCCACACGCACTCTCGGGCTGCTGTCGGTCTGCTCTGTTTGGTGCCTGCCAACGGATCAGGCAGGTTTGTAGTCTTGGTCTTTTGTCTCCTCACTTCCTGACCGTGTTGGATCAGACGCTGAAGGTTAAATGGCGAGCTCTCAGTTGACACGGTTCTTTCGGAGAGCTGCAGGCCTTCTTCAGGAGCCGGCAGCCTGGCCGCCCTCACCCCAGCCAGGCGGGCTGTTCTCCTGGCAGCCTCCAGGGGAGGCAGTAGTGTGGCTCTTCAGGATCTTTACCCTGAAACTCCCAGTCTCTCCAATTCCGGGTCGGCAGGTACCCCAGGACAAAACCACTGCCTTTGGTTGCTGTAGTTTTGAACTTTGTCCTGATGGTTCACATATTTAACCTTGTTGTGTCTTTGCTACTTTGACGCATGCATTTCTTTGTTGTTGTTGTTTTAATACCATTATCAAGCTTTTTCTTTTTTCCCATTATCTTCAGTGGGAGGTAGTCATTCAGATTTTTTTCCTGTTATTTTCAGCTTGTGGAATACCTGGCTGCTACATTTAGTCAGGTGTACCTCCAAATAAGCCCAACAATATTGGCCGTTGTCCCATTTGATAGGATTTCCGCTTAGGGGAAATTTATCCCCTAAACTTGACAGTAACCGCTACTCTCCGGGAAGTGTTAGTGTGTCCAGCTTGGATTTACACGAGGAGCGTGTTAGTCCTCTGTTCATGGCCAGAACACTGGGTTTCCGGCCAAGTTCAGTTCAGGTTCTCCTAGCTTATGGACTCCACTGCTCACTGACTGAGTCAATGAAATGCTGAGGATGAGGGTGGGAACATCTCATTTCACTTCATATCATCATCATAATAGAAAGTCATGACTGTGTGGAATACTGAGGTCTTTTTTCCAGCTCCCTGCGAAGAATCAATTCATTGTCAGAAAAACACTGGGGGTTGGTAACACGAATACTGTCTGACAGATGAGAAAACCAAGTCAGAAAACCTGGAAATCAGGAATAAAAAAATGGATACGTTTTGTGAAATGTTCATCTTACACGTGTGTGTAGCTGTGTGCCTTTTCCTGATTGCTTTAGAGAAAGAACATGTAAGGCAACAAGAAGTTTTAAAAGTGCCTTGAAACAGGAGTGGTTTGGAATTTGCTGGCTGCTGGTGCTTGGTGCCCCCCGCCCACGGCCTCTTCCATGTCTGTAGGGATAGGAGGGGAAAGCTCTCTGCATGCACTTGGCTCTTCAGGTGTCTAATACGCTGCTCCAGGAACGAAGGAGTGGGCCTTCCCTCCCAGCCCTTGCTTGCCTTGGCCAGGTGCCACCTTTGCCCTAGGAGAGTGTAGGACCTTCAGGAGTACGGAGGTTGCAAAGGCTGAGGTTCCAATGTCATTTTATGCTGTTGCAATTGTTTCATTACCAATTGAGTACAATCTCTCTTTGTAACTTGGAGATGCAGCCGTCACGGTAGACTTAACTAAGTAATAAGCATTTTAGAGTTAAGCTGTCTACATCAAATATTTTCTTGTACTAATTTTTCCACAAAAGAGCATTCTCTGTGATCTTCATTAAATGAGGACTTAAAATCTTACTGCAGGGTCCAGCCTAGTAACCTAGTGCCTGAAGTCCTAACTTTGCCTGTGCCAGGATCCCATATGGGCACCAGTTCTAATCCTGGCGGCCCCGTTTGCCATCCTGCTCTCTGCTTGTGGCCTGGGAAAGCAGCCATGGATGACCCAAAGCCTTGGGACCCTGCACCCACATGGGAGGCCAGAAAGAAACTCCCGGCTCCTGGTTTCGGATCAGCTCAGCTCTGGCCATTGCGGCCACCTGGGGAGTGAATCATTGGATGGGACTTCTTTGTCTCCCCTCTCTCTATATATCTGCCTTTCCAATAAAAATAAAAGAATCCTGCTGTAATGCTGTGTTTATTGTGATTTTTAAAGGTAGTATTTCCATACTTCCAAGTGACATCTTTGTTGTATATGGAAGAGAATGTCAAAGTGAAGTTCTGTTTTTCTTATAATAATGTCTGCTAGAGCTAACAAACTCTGTGGCCAAATTAGGTGTTTTGAGCATTCATTTGTGTACATAGCCAACCCATGACTGAGAAGTCTTAAAGCAAGTGTGATAACATCACAAACTATAAATCCTGTTGATGATCCTTTGAAAAATGTTGGGGACTGTTAGCACAGCGTCTGTGCTGTTAATTGTGTTAGAATGGAATTCTACACTAGGAAGTGAAACTGAAAATAAGATTCTAATCACAAAAAGCATCATTATTTATGTTTGACTTCAATGGAACTGTAGTTTTGAAACATCCCTGAGCTGTGTTTGAAGTTGCTTGTGGTTGATTTGGGGGATCATGGTCTCTGGGTTCAGTGCTAAGGCTCTGGAGTCTCTGTTTTGCTCAGTGTTTACTTTTAGCTTGGGTTAAAATTAGACATTGCTAATTGAGCGGAGCACCCCCCGCCCCGTGCATTTTCGTGTAGACTCCACCTTGTCTTCCATCGAATTTGATTTATGATTGTTTCATTAATTCTGCAAGTACCAGTAGACCTTCATGCAAGTTAGTAAAATCATCAAAATGACTACGTGCAGATGGCCTGGCAGTTTTTTTTTTTTTTACAGTAGCCAATCATCTTAGCTACAGGCATAAATATAACAGTTCAGGATGAATTTTGTACAGTAGTAATTGCCTAATGACTTGGAACTTGTAAATGTGGCAAGACAGAGGGTCTTGGATTCCATTATGGAAAAGATTACGGATGAAGCGAGACATTCAAAGTAAGATAATCCAAGACTTGAAGGAAAAACTGACTCTTGGTGACTAAGTCAGTGGATTGGGCTTTGATTTGACATCTCAATTGAAATATGGCATCTTTCTGTGCCAGCTGCTGACTGTCATGGCCCTGAGTCAGTGGTTTCCCCTGGGGAACACAGGTTGTGGATTCAGTCATACTGTTTCCTCTGGCACAAGTCCCGAGCTGTCCAAGGCAGAGCCCTGTGTGCACAGGCTTGAGGATACATGTCACATGAACATACTGGCTGCTTGGTCATTTACTGTGAACAGCACGAGTGCTCCATTCATTCCAAATACAAGAGTCGAATTGAGGCTGATGCAAATAAAAACAAATTAAGAAAAGGACAGCTAAGTGGATTTATAGGAAATAACTCAGTAGGTCTTCAGATCAATCGTGCATGTTACAAACTGTAATATAGCCATAAATATACTGTTTTAATAAGTGGTAACATTTTATTACTATTAAAGTTACAAGTTTTGGCATTATTATTATCTAAGTAACAAAAAGAATGTAGGAAGAATAAAGACACTAGATTATAATAAAGTTTACCAACTTAAAATCTGAGTTATTAGGAAATTTCTCGAATTTTAATCACCTATAAATATAAATAATGGCATGAATTTAATAGCACTGTTTAAAAGATGAAATGAGACTTGCAATCTAATAGCATATGTAGTATGGGGTTCATAATCAATGAGCCTTGCTGTAACAGTTAATAAACATATAACATATGAATATATTTATGATGATTTCAAAAATTTAACATTAAATAATAAAGCCTGTCTCATCATTTTATGTTACAAGAGACTGTTCAGGCATTTGTGCATCCATGTAGTGTGTGATATTCTCTGATATTTGAAAATTCATGTGTTCATCTAAATCTAGTTTTAGGACATGGTATAGACACATTGGAAGGGAGGCAGTGTTCTATACAATTATTGGTTCTTAGAAGGTCTCTTCAGTGGCAGACGCTAAATCTCCACTGGAGTTTTCAAGGAATTTTGTCACTGCGTTTCAAGTCTCATGGTTTTTCTGGACTCATTTGTTCTTGCATGTCCATCTGTAACAGTACCACTTTAAAGAAAAGGATGCCTGTCCCATCATAAAGTTGTTTCCTTGGCAAAAACCAGCTAACTCCGTGTGTCCATTTTTGGATTCTGTTCGCTTCCATTAATCTTGTCTTTTTTTTTCCCTCCTGCCAACACTTCTTGGTTACTACAGCTTTATATTGTTTCTAAATCAGGTAATGTCAGTTCCACAGCTTTGTTATTCTCCCTCAGTTTTGCGCTCATTATTGTTGCTCTCTGTAACTTGTCAAATCCGCTTGCCATCCTTACAAACTAGGTTACTGTGATTTTGGTCAGTGCAGTCTTGAATCCACAGATCAAATCAAGAAGAACTGACGAGCCCGGTATGCTAAACTCGTGGCTAAAGTCCTCGCCTAGTACACGCCGGGATCCCATGTGGGCACTGGTTCTAATCCCGGCAGCTCCACTTCCCATCCAGCTCCCTGCCTGTGGCCTGGGAAAGCAGTTGAGGACGGCCCAAGGCCTCAGAACCCTGTACCTGTGTGGGAGACCTGGAGGATGTTCCTGGCTCCTGGCTTTGGATTGGCGCAACACCGGCCATTGTGGTCACTTGGGGAGTGAATCATTGGACAGAAGATCTTCCTCTCTGTCTCTCCTCCTTTCTGTTTAACTGACTTTCCAGTAAAGATAAGTGAATAAAAAAAATGCTCACCTCTCAGTGTTGAAAGACTGTCAGTCACTTTCTCAGACAGTCGTGGGTTTAGGCGGGGGGAGGAGCCTCCTGGGTTCAGTGAGACAGAGAACACCTGAGCTTTGGGGCCTCTTTGGCTTTCCCGTTGCTCTGAGAACTCGGGGCCTACTTCCATTTCCCTTTTAGTGAGAAAGGTTGTCTGATAACTCATTTCCATTCAGGTGAGCTGTTGACAAAAGCCCACTGTCTGCTCATGGTGGTTATGACCTGCGAGCTGTTGGGCCAATAGCGATGTCTAAGGCTGCACTCACGTATATAATGGAGTCATTCACCAGCAACAGCGAAAACAAACAAACCCCAATGAGGCAAATGTCTTCCTCTGAGTTGGCCTTCCCAAGCCGGGGTGCCCCAATATAAAGCCCGATTGTGTTCCCAGGATGCCTCATTTACATTTTTTTTCCTAAGCACTGGGTGAACCTGACAGCAAGTAGGGCTAGAGGTTGAGCTAATAATTGAACCCGTGTGACATTTTAAAGACAGATTCAAGCTCTCAATTACCCCGCGGTGGGAGAGGCATCGGGTCAGCATGTTCCTGGTATGTGTGTTGCCTGTTGTCTTTGTCTCTGTGTGTGTGTGTCTATTCTCAACGACAGCCTTGTCCACGAGTCTCCAGTGGCCGAAGCTCATCTTAACCACCTGTTGTTTGTTTGCAGGTGGAGCACCAGTACTCTCACAAGTTCACGGTCGTGGTGTTACGTGCCACCAAAGTGACCAAGGGTGCCTTCGGGGATATGCGTAAGTGTGTTCCTGCTTTACTGTCAAAATGGCTCTGCGGTTTGCTTGGCTTGCTCTAGTTCCTTGAGAGCAAGGGGCTGTCCCTTCCTCAAATGTGGTTTTCTCTGTGTAGCTCTTGGAGTGACAGAATTGCGAGCAGCCTTCTGACGCAGCATGGTGTCATAACCGCATTTCCCCAAGGTTGTCTGTGAGCTGTGAACACTTGCAGTCACGTGACATATAGATTTCTGGAATTCGGAGAGTTCCTGTGTAATTCTATTTTGAGAAGAGTGCTGAGTCAAGGCCTTGACAGGCCGGAAGTGGTTATGTAGAGGGTTAGAGAGGGTGGCCACCCTTCTTGCGCCTTCGCATGTGCACGGTGTGTAAGGAGTGGCTGTAGAAGCTAGTCCATGCCCGAGACTCAGAGCTGCAGCCTTAGCTCACTGTTGCATTAACTGCTTGGCAGACTTTTTCATGCTTTAAGAAAGTTTCCTTTCTTAATCTTGCAGTTAAGATGGCTAGGTTCACGCAGGTGGGAATACAAAGAAAATGGGTGAATATCATGATGATAAATTTGGTGAACCTTTAGAGTATTGCCAAAGTACAGGAATGGGGGTTTTAACTCCCAAAATAAGTCTCAGAAAGAACGGGATTATGATTTCTTGGAAGGGGAAATGAGCAAGGAGTTGAAAGTGGACAAAGGGGCGTATCCCAGGCGGGGAGAAGAGCAGGAGCGCCTGGGGGCTGGAGCCACCCCTGCTGCCTAGGTGCAGCGCCAGGATGCAACAGGAAGACAAGCACCCGAGAGAACCAGGGCCAACACTGAGACTCAGAGCAAGTGGGGTGACAGGATCTTCACATCAGGAAAGCTTTGGCTGTTCTGTGCTTGTCAGACTGGTGGGGTGTGAAATGTGACAGTTTGTTTCCAAAGAGCAAGAGGGACTTGAGCTTGCTGAAATGGCTGGGGAAGGCCCCTGCACAGGGAGGAGGTGTGCTCTGCTCCAGCCTTCCGTGACTACAGGATATGCAACAGGGGGAAGCCGGGAAGTGCGGGCAAATGGAGAGGTGAGTTCGCTGAGCTGGGGCCTTCGTGGGAGGGAGGGTAGCGCTCAGAGCTCTGTGTCCTGAGCTTCAGCTCAGACATGACCCCTCTTTGGCGGAGTCTTCCTTGGGCAATTCCTGCTTTGGTTTCATGATCCCTTGAGTTTTCTTCATTGAAAGAAGTCGTTTGCCCTTGAACTTGAGCAAAGCCACAGACACGTCTTAGAGCCAGAAAGGCCAGGCTGTTAGAAAAGCCGCACACTAGGTCACCAACTGCCCAGGCTTGCAAAAGAGAGGCCGAAAATGCCTTTATCAACAAAGCACTAGTTAGCAGCAGCTCTGGTTGCTGCTCCTTCCTTATTGAGTTCTTTCCAAGTTTGGGGCTTGACTGCTCAGGAGGAACCTCAGCCCAACGCTGTGGTGCTCCGGGCCTCCTTTCGCGGGGCTGGGTCAGGGCCGCAGGTACATCGCGGGGGTTACCTTCCTCCCAGGTAGTACAGTGCAGAGTGTGAGGCTGCAAGACTGTCTCAGGTGAGAGTCAGTTAACCAGGTGAAAGAGCCATGCTGCGTGTGCGGCACACTGCTTGAGAAATGAGGAGTGACCTTGCGCTGTCCCCATTCTGAGGGACTTGGTGCTGTCGTGTGGGGAATTTGAGCTGTATTTGGGCAGTAATGTCTGGGGACACACGGAGAGGGGGGTCCCAGTAGCATGTTCAGCAGTAATGCCCGGGACACATGGAGAGGGGGGTCCCAGTAGCATGTTCAGCAGTAATGCCCGGGACACATGGAGAGGGGGGTCTGAGGGGCGTGTTCAGCAGTAATGCCTGGGACACGAGGAGAGGGGGGTCCCAGTGGCGTGTTCAGCAGTAATGCCCGGGACACATGGAGAGGGGGGTCCCAGTGGCATGTTCAGCAGTAATGCCTGGGACACATGGAGAGGGGGTCCGAGGGGCGTGTTCAGCAGTATGCCGGACACTGGAGGGGGTCGAGGGCGTTCAGCAGTAATGCCTGGCACTGGAGAGGGGTCCAGGCTGTCAGCGTATGCCTGGCACGAGAGGGGGGTCCCAGTAGCGTGTTCAGCAGTAATGTCTGGGGACACGCGGAGAGGGGGGTCCCAGTAGCGTATTCAGCAGTAATGCCTGGGACACGCGGAGAGGGGGGTCCCAGTGGCGTGTTCAGCAGTAATGTCTGGGGACACGCGGAGAGGGGTGTCCCAGTGGGTGTTCAGCAGTAATGCCTGGGACACGCGGAGAGGGGGGTCCCAGTGGGTGTTCAGCAGTAATGCCTGGGACACGCGGAGAGGGGGGTCCCAGTGGGTGTTCAGCAGTAATGCCTTGGTTAAAGGATATGCGAAACTGATTCAGAATGATTACCAAGGTGAAATGTGTGAAATCTGTATTACATCCAAAAGGAGGTAATGGATTATATACAGTAATATTAATCTAATCTACAGTAGTAAGTTACATATGACCAGGCAACCAAGGACCCGGTACTTGTCATGTTGATGCCACCTCCTACTTGCCACCTTGAGGAAATGGAGCCATGCATCGAGGCTGTCACCTAGCCCTTGGAGGATCCGAGAGCATTAGATCATGAGGTTGATGTGTGCCATATGACAAGGGATGCCTGTTGTGTATTTTCAGGCCACTGTAAATAACTGCGGTAATTTCTTTGTAGACTCTAATAGGGATTTCTGAGGGACAGGCCGCAGTGTAGTGATAAATTAAGAGGAAAGACTAGTGACAGGTAGAGAGAGGAAATACCTGGCTAGATAGAAGACCATGAAGTGTGGTCTGTGAGAGAGCAAAGCAGGAGGGATGAGAGCAGAGACACTGGGTGCTCAGCACTGCCTCGCTCACTGAGGCTGTGGCAGGGCCAACAGACTGACACAGTGACACTGCGCGTGCTGGGTACTCAGCACTGCCTCGCTCACTGAGGCTGTGGCAGGGCCAACAGACTGACACAGTGACACTGCGCGTGCTGGGTGCTCAGCACTGCCTCGCTCACTGAGGCTGTGGCAGGGTCAACAGACTGACACAGTGGAGGAAAACACAAGTGCTGGAAATGTTAGAAGCAGCGATGGCACCAAACGTATTAAATGTAAATGATATAAAATATATAATGTAAATGATGTTTATATATTTATAATTTGTTTTCAAAATTTAAGTGAAGAAAGGAAAGGTTCTTGAGGAAAGTCACTTATTCATAGACTAAGAGAAATTTTATTCATCCTTAAAGGGGATGATTACAATTTGTATTTATAGTTAGAAAGAGGTGCTAGGGAAAAGTCAGTATTTCCAGGTTAAATTTGGAACTGGGGTTAATAAATGAGAACTATATGCATACAATGACATAAGGCTTAGAGAAGGTAATATGGATTTTTTTCCCTAAAACCTTTTTAATACAAAGGGAGAAAATTGGTATGAATAGGTGCATTATGAATGATAAATGCATTTTTTGGGTTGTGGGGAAAGGAAACGGAAAGATTCCAACTGATTGTCCCCCTTTGTTTTCCAAGGGAAGTGTGAGTCCTACTTAATTCCTCAGCCTAGGAGTAGTGATTATAGCAGCTGACCCGGAAAATGGTAAAAGTTTGGGCAGCCATCTGAAGAATTTAAAAAAATTAATAAGAGAAGAATTACTGTGCTTTAGACAAAGTTAAGAACTAAAAGGTTATTGAACTAAGCTAAAGTAGCCAATAGCGAACATTCGTTTCTTCTCAGAATTACTTAAATATACATACTTACTTTTAAAAGTCTAAAGACGTGAAAAGCTGTTGGACAAACTGATACTTGAGGGGTCCAAGGTCTCTTAGAGAATGGAAGGCATTGAAACAGTCCGAGTGGGCCACAAGCCGCTTTGCCTTCCCTTCATTGCCTCCATCCGGGTAAGTCTGTGTGCTGATCGGGCACTGGGAAATGGCCAAGCAGCGGGCAGGCAGAGAATGCTGCAGAGCTTGGGCTTTCGCAGAGGACTGGGCAAAAACTGGACTTCAACGTCAACTGAGTTGAATTGGAGAGACTCAGAAAACAATACCGAGCTTCATTGTGAGGGGGCAGCTGTATTTGCAGGGCACCTGGCTGAGATGCAAACATGGAGTGCCTGGAAAACAGCAAAGGAAAAGGAGACCATAATTGCCCAGGGAAAATGGGCCAGACAAAAACTCTAGCTTCAGTTGGGGTCCTAAGTACAGGAGGAGACAAGAAGCAGACCAAACCACACAATGATTTCAATAAATTATGTGTAAACGTATTCTGTAGAAGGAGCTTCTCTACTCCTCTCTACCTGCCAGGACAGATCTAATTCATCCAGAATTCTTTACAAAAAGTTGAAACATGCCTAAGATAAAATCCGGAAGTAAGAAATAGCTCTACAACTTTTAGATATGATCTTTAATATAAGCAAGAATGATATGTTCCAGAAAGTAGGTGACAAACCTTGAGTACTTTTCCAAGGAGCAAATGTTTATAAAAGATTCAAGTGTAAAATTTAGAAATAAAACATAACTGAAGTTTAAAACTGCATCTAGAGGGATCTACTATAGCTAGGATAATCCTAGAAACAGAGCCAGAGAAACTATCCATGCTGAAACAGAGAGGACAGAAAGAGAGAGAGAGAGAGAGAGAGAGAGAGAGAGAGAGAGAGAGAGAGAGGCAGACTCATTCCCCGTGCCTATGAGACCTGGTGCTAGACTGGGGCAAGCTGGAAGCCAGGAATGCCGTCCCGGTGTGCCATGTGGGAAGCAGGAGCCCATCGGGCTCAGTTGTCCTTGCTGTCCCCAGAGTCTGGGTTGGTAGGCATCTGGAGTCAAAAACTAGACCCGGGACCTGAGCTCAGGACACTAGTGTGAGCTGTGGGCATTTTAACCAGCAGGGTGAATGCCTGATTTAAGCTTGTGTTTTAAAATTGTATGCACAGTTCCACTGTGCCCAAGTTTTTAAAAGCGCAGGTTTACAGGGTGTGATGAAGCAGGGCTCTTGTATTCTGAATGCACTCTTAGAATAGTGACAGTGATTCAGGGAATTACACTTGGAGAAGCAGTGTTTCAAGTTCCCCTCCGTGAGGGCATAGCTAGATTGATGCTTGGAGGGAAAATTATTTTGCTGTTTGTCATAAAAATCATAATGGACTACTGATCATCTTTAAGCAGAGTTTAAATCTCTACTGAATGAAATGGGACTGAGAAAGCAGGTAAGAAGTATTTAAGATAGAATTTGGGGTATGGAGAGGGACGTTCTAGAACAGAGGGTTAAGCTATCTCATGCAACAACAGCATGCCATAGGAGTGCTAGTCTGCGTCCTGCCTGTTCCACTTCTGATCCAGCTCCCTGCTTAATAACATGCCTGGAAAGCAACAAGTCCATAGGCCTCTGCCACTCATTTGGGAAACTGAGACGGGAGTCCAGGCTCCCTCAGCCATTTGGGTGGTGAGCCAATGGATGAAAGATTCCCCCTCTCTCTCTTTTCTGTCACTCTGCCTTTCAGATCCACCTATCTATGTATCTGTACGCACATATACAAATATGCATGTGTGTGTCTCAAGAACTTGGGGCATCGAGGTGCCATCACTTCCCGTCCCAGAGCGTGTCAGCAGTGCTTGGACAGAGCTAGGAGTGAGATCTCGTTACTTCAGGAAAGTCACTCCTTAAATCATTGACGTTTATGAGCGAATTTCCAACCACAAAATCCTCAATCTATTTCTGGCGCATGTAGTTTCATGTCCTCTTTATGGGAATATAAAAGGCTTGTGTGCCACACCCCCGAGCGTTTTTGTTTGTCAAGATTTAGATAAAAGAAGGAGATGTAAGAGGGTTTCCGCCCAGTCACTACAATTCTACTTCCCCACCTGTTTGGCTGGGGCTGCGCTTGTGACTCAGCATCTAATTGTCCTGTAGGTGTTAATCACGATGCCATGGAGTAGATACACAGGAGGGAAACAAATTCTTACTTTTGACTCTTTTTTCCCCCTAATGCATTTCTAGGAATTTACCTAAAGAAAGCACTGGACCATGTTGGCAAAACGGGCCCTTCATGCTCCGTGCAGCTGCCTGTTTTCGGTTTGCTCCCATGCCAACGAGAATGTAGACCGGAGGGAGAAAGGGGGCTGGGTACTGCTTGCATTGCTCTTGCTTTAAAATGCCTTGAAACTGTTCTTCATCCTGCAGCGTCTGTCACTGCTTCTCTGTTGCTTAGTTCATCCAGATTAGCACTGATGCAGATTGCTGTAGCGAAGTTTCCCACTGACCGGCATCCTTCCGCACCCTAGCTTTACCGTTCCTGGCTAATGAGAGCAAGAAGAGAGACTAGAGCAACAGTCACTCCAGACCCGCTGTGTAGAATATGGACATCATTTTAAAGTAAAAATAGATGCAAAGGGGCCTGGCATGGTAGCCTAGGAGCTCAAGTCCTCGCCTTGCATGTGCTGGGATCCCAAATGAGCCCCAATTCGTGTCCTGACTGCCCAACTTCCCATTCAGCTCCCTGCCTGTGGCCTGCGAGAGCAGTAGAGGACGGCCCAAAGTCTTGGGACCCTGCGCCCACCCAGTCTAGTGGGAGGCCCAGAAGAATCACCCTGGTTCCTGGCTTCATTATCAACTCAGCTCTGGCTGTTGCAGCCACTTGGGGAGTGAAGCAGTGTATGAAAGATTTTTCAGTCTCTCCTCTCTGTAAATCTGACTTTCCAATAGAAGTAAATAAATCTTTAAAAATAAATAGATAAGCGCTAAGAAATGAAAGTGACGGTGACTACCCTGGCTTCTTCTGCTGTTTTGACACAGAAAGCTGTTGCGCAGTCTTGTTTCCATGATGCTTTCCTTATCTCATCTGAATTCTAGTATGCTGGAACGCATGACTTGTTCAGAATCCGAGCAGGCTGGACAGCCCCCTGTCTCCCTGATGGGCTCACGCGGCTCCAGCCTGCTCAGCTCTTCCTTATCTGGTTTTTCCCAACGAACCATGCCTTTCTGCTTTCTCTTCCTTGTTTGCGCCAAAAAGACCTCTCCCTCCTCTTACTCCAAGATTCAAATGAAGATCTAGTTTCAAAAGAGAGTTTCCCCACCGGATGGCTTGACCTCGTTTGTGTGCAATCATCCGGGTGACTGAGTGACTAGTCATCGGCATGGTGTACCTGCTTGTCTCCAGGTTACCTGGCCTCTAAAATTAGATATTAGCGTTTGACTCACTTCCATAATTTGGATCTGCTTTTGGGGCTTGGCCTGCTATCAAAGCCGCATTGCCCTTTGACGGGCAGTTCCTGGCATGTGGTGGGCACTTACATATTTGGTGAGTGAGTGAATGGTGTTTACCATCTGCGTGCCTCCCCTTCCCACGCACTTCATGTGTTTCAGATTGACTTTTACTTGGCTTTGCTTTCTCTGGCTTTTCTGGGAAACAGATAAACAAGAGCCTTGGCCCCATGAGAGTGAACTGGTCTTATAGGCGAGGCAGGCTATGCAGTTTCCACTTAATCTGAAGAGTCCATTGAACAATCCCATTAGTCACATATTTCCCCACCTGCTCTGCTCAACCTGTCCCTTTGTTGCCTGCGGCAATCCTGAGGGCTGCAGAGTTGAGGGACCCTCAGGGCAGAGCCACAGCCTCGGGTTGGGGTGTGGCTGTTACCTCTCAGGGCAGAGCCACAGCCTCGGGTTGGGGTGTGGCTGTTACCTTGTAGCATGTCCTTTGCTCTGTGGGCGCTTCTCCCCTTGCCATACTTCCTCCTCAGACTTCCTATTTGCAGCTGGTCTTCTGTGGTTCTGCAGAGAGATGCCATGATGGCATCAGTAAGAGCTATAGTTGTCCCTTCTGCATGTCTAAAACAGGATACCGAAAGTGCCTCCAGAAGATGGCCCACTAACTGTCTACCAGCATGGGTTCTAGGCTGCACTGCAGCTCTATAGGTGATGCTCAGGGCCATGAGGACCAGGGGTCTGTATGCTCACCAGAGGTCCCTGCATCTCAACTCTCTTTTGAGAGCTACTGCCCAGGCTCAATGATGCATGTCACTAGCAGAGCTTCCCATCTTGAAGAAAAACAAAAGAACAGTTAAAAAGATAAATCTGATGTCTACATAGCAGGATCTAGAAATATTCAATGAACGCTGGTGATTACACTGACGGAACTGTACACAGGTGTCCAAGAGCAGGGTTTGCATGTTCTCTGAAAATTGATGAATACGCAGAGTTACCTTTGCGTTGTACTGAAGCCTGCATCTCTCCCTCTTCCCCTTTCTTCCCCCACCACTTGCTTTGCTCTTACACTCTGCCTTTTCCTCCCTTTCTCCTAAAGTCTGTCTCTTTCTGCAGCAACCCATTCCTCATGGTCTCATTCTAAGGCTGGGATGATGAGGCCATGAAGAGGATGTTGTTGAGTCAGATGCTCCAGGTTCAGGACCTTGCTCTCTTTACATACTGGATGTGTGATTTCAGACAGTTGCCTGATGTGTCTAAGAACCCGTGACCGGTGGAGTCCCAGCACCACTTCCAATTGCGACTTCCTGCTGACATACATCCAGCAGGAAGAGGTGAAGGCTGCTGTTCTCGGGTCCAGGCCGCCCGTGTGGCGGGTGCAGACAGAGCTCCATGCTCCTGACTTGGCCCTGCCCAGCCTTGGCTGTTGCAGGCATGTAGGGAGTGATTTATGGATGAAAGCTTGCACGCTCTCTCTGTCTCTGCACCTCTCTCCCCACACCCGCCTCTCTCTCTCTCTCTTTCTCTCTCTGCCTGTGTGGTTCTGCCCTTCAAATAATAAATAAATAGATATTTGAAGGATGGCAATAGCCACAGGGAAAGACATGTTAGAGCATAGTTGTTTTATGTTGCTAGGTTCAGAAGAATTAAAGATGAGTAAGATGAGCTCCTTGCCCTGAATTTATTTATAGTATTGCATGAAAAGACAGATGTGAAATTTCATTCAGACATGCAGCCTTGGCAGTGTTGTGAGTTGGTATAAGATTTGGTGGAATCACCGAAGAGTGATCAATATTTACACTGCATTGATCACCCACTGTGAGTGTATATACATATAGTGAGAAGAAATTTAAATATTTCTTTTATTTGCAGTTTCTTTTTAGGAAAAAATGTATTTATCTCAAAGTCAGAACAACCAAGAGAAAATCTTTTGTCTGCTACTTCATTCCTGATGATCACAGTACCTGGGTCTGGGACAGGCCAAAACCTGGAGCCAGGACTCCATCCTGGTCTCCCACAAGGCTGGAAGGGTCCCAAGCACTTAGGCCATCTTCCGTTGCCTTCCCAGCAACGATGGCAGGAAGCTGGGTTAGAAATGGAGCAGCTGGACTCACCAGTATTCTAGTGTGGGAAGCTTAACTTGCTTTGTCACAATGCTGTACCTTGCAGTTGTTGCTATTTCAGTAGACACATATCATCCCCTGACTTGAGGCAACCCCTACATAGGAGAGAAACCACCTGCTGACTGAATACTGTTGTCATCAATTCCTACTGGCTACAGTATAGACGCTGCCCTTCAGGATTGCTCAGCGTGCAAGCATTAGAATCATACAGACCATCCTTACAACAAACAAACTATTCCTTTTGTAATGACTTTCATTATTGTACTTGGTAAACTGAGTAACTGGGATGAGTTTTGTAATGCACAGGGACATCCTGACCCTGGCATTAGCTCGGTAGGTCACGCTCCACCTGTAGCAGCTGGGCTAGGATGCTGACTGCTGTGAAAAGACCCTCGGGAAGGGTGGGCAGCTTTGGACAAAATCACCCAGATTCCCCCGAGAGGACTTCCTGAATGGGGGAAGCACGCTGTGTGCAGCCTGTGGTGTTCCCTCGCTGCTGTCCTGTCTCAGCTGTTTCAATTCCCTGGCTGTGGACTCACTGAAATGAATTGCATCCTTGTTCTCTGTAGTTGACACCCCGGATCCCTATGTGGAACTGTTCATCGCTACAACTCCCGACAGCAGGAAGAGAACAAGACACTTCAATAATGACATCAACCCTGTGTGGAACGAGACCTTTGAGTTCATCTTGGATCCTAACCAGGAAAACGTTCTAGAGGTGAGCAAATTGCGTGGGGGCTGTTGCACTGGTCGGAACTCATGATGAGAGAGATGCTTGGCATTGTTCCCGTGCTGCCTTCCTTCCCCTTGGGCAGGTGCAGCTGGAGGGCTGCTGGGCCACCTGGTAGACCAGCTCCCACACGGTGCACCTCAAGCAGTGGGAGCATCAAGGAGATGCTGGAGCAAAGGGGCCTGGGGACACACGCGTCCTTCCATTGTGCTCTGAAGAGAACAGAGCTTCTGTTGAGCAGAGAAGACACCTCCGATGGGAGAACAGAGTCACTGTTAATTGCCTTTAAAATCGATTTTTTTAAAAAATAGCTGTACCACTTTTTTGCGTTTCTTTTTCCTAATCCAAAATAGTGAAGAGATAAAGTCCATTTCTGAAAGCAGAGCAATCAATAAAACAAAACTATAATGATTACTTTCAGAGCAGCTGTAGTATTCAGTAGGAAAAGATAAAAGTGTTGTTAAACGTTAAATATTGGGAACTCACATGAGTGCTAATATCATTTGAGAATTCTCATTTTGTAAATGTGATATCTTTAGGCATATTTTCCAGAGTTCCTTGGGAATTCTCACCCTTGGGTCTGTGCTTGCCCCATAGATCACACTGATGGATGCTAATTACGTCATGGATGAAACTCTGGGGACAGCCAAGTTCCCTGTGTCCTCAATGAAAGTGGGAGAGAAGAAGGAGGTGCCTTTTATTTTCAATCAAGTAAGTGACAGCTTCCCCAGAGAGACGAATCATCTCAGACAGCTTGATTTAAAATTTGAAAAATTGTCTTTATAGAATGTTTTGCTTTTTCAAAAAATATTCTTTAATTTACTCACTATTTTAGTCATCGGAATTGACTATGCTGCTTCTGCTGTCTGTACATTTGACAGCAGTGTTCTGCTAAATGCTGACAAGGCATCCGTCTGCCCTAGATGATGACAGTGAGGTTGGGCTCTGGCTTTGGGCTGCATTGGCAGCTCTGGTGGAAACATCTGGGAGCTGAGGGGGGCAGGGGCCGAGGGGAATGACAGAGAGACCGAAGACACTGTTGTCGTAAGCCGCCTGCTCTTCTATCGTAACCTATCTATTATTTTGATGAGCACATGTTTGCTACTGTATGTAGTATTATAAATTGGGTCTCACTAGAGGGAATGTGTCTCGCTCCAGGTCGAGGCAGTGAAGACCATAGGACACTGTCTTGAGATCTTTGCTATCTTTCTCTTTCTAGGCCCACTTCATTAGGAAAATTGTGATTGATAAGGATTAGTGAAACTTTAGGAAAATTGTTTACATGGAGAGAACCCATTGGATAATGAATTCTCTGAGAAACTTAGTAGATTAGAGTAAGAAATGTATGGACTTGGTGGGCTGTGTTTATGCCCTACACATTAATTTGTCATTACACTGACTTTTCAGATCCCTCGTCCCACTAACCCACCCACTCCTCACTCTCACTGTGCTCTCTTGGTGCCTGGGACACCCTGAGTGCCTGCTCCCTGCTTCAATCTTCCTGGAAGTCCTTTGTGGTATCCACTGGGACCGAGCTATTCACACTGTCCCATCTTCCATCTTTCCCCTGTACGCCACAGTGAACACTGCTTATTCCTGACTACCAGAGTCATAGATAGCTTATTCCTACGAAGTGAATATACACCCTCTTCAGATAACAACAGAGACCCAAAGGGCCTCTTCTTAAAGACAGACAGACAGACCGACAGAGATATGTATATGTCTGTACAATGCCCGGAAGAATAATGAACAGAAAGGTTGCTAAGTCTTCCTCACTTCTTGGCATCTAGGGTGGAGGTGAGGTAGAGTGGGAAGTGGGAGTTGGAAGAAAGATAAGTGTGCTGAAAAGAAACCACTCAGGGTGAGACAGGTGTCGGTGATGGATGAGGGTGCAGTGGGTGTCAGAGCGGCTGAGAGGGCTCTCGTGTGGCTGTGTTGCAGTGGGTGGTTGTGGATGGTGGTTCACGCCCTGCTGTTTAAAGGCAGACTACTTGGCATTTCAACTTGACTCTGCCCCTTGCCCTGTGTCCCATCCAGGGGAAATGACTTAGCTCATGCCGCAGTTTGCTCACTTCTAACAATGGAGCCGATAGCCTATACAGGAGTTGTTGTGGTTAAACAAATTCATCTTGTATTTGAGGAGTTTTGAAAACAGTTCATGGGAAATATATGTTATTTGAAATTTATGCATGAATCCTCAGATTTTTCACCATAGTGAGTTATCTTTTAGTACTATTTACCAAGTTTTTTGACACACCTTTGTATAATATTTACATAAAATGTGTATTGCAGATAACATAATTATGATTTGTTATTAAAATATAAGCAGCATATCATTAAAATGTGTGTGATCAATGTGCTATGATACATGAAGTAAAGAGTGGTAATTTATTAAAAGCAGGTAAATGTGATGCCCATTTGGATGGACGTACTACACACGTTTTCATTATTGGTACAGTGACTGCAAGTTCAGAGAAGAGTGGAATTTCAGTAGGTAGAGCTGTAGATAGGGACACCCAAGGCAGAAGAAATGGCAAAAACCTAGAGCCCCAACAGAGAGTGTGTTGGGGCCTGGCAAGTTAACGGGCCCGGCAGCTGCATGTTGGTGAGCGCTCTGCAACGGCGTGAAGGTGGGTTAGGCCTGATCTGCAGGCTTTACCTGTGACGTGTCCCTCAGGTGGCCTCGCAGGAAACCACTGGGGCTGGAGAGGGGGTAGGTGAGCACTGGCTGACCTCCCCAGAGTAAAATATTTACCTTCTGCACTCCAGTCCATGACACAAATGCTGATGCTCAGAGCAGATATGGTGAGAAGAAATGCATTTCCTCTTGTGTCATTTCTATGGTTAGGTGTGTGGCTCCAGGGCTCTGAAGGCTTCCACATTGCTGCATTTCTAGTAGCTTACATAATTATGTTCCTTAGTGTGCTTGAGAAAACAGATGGCCCAACAACCTGTCTTCATTCCCCCAATGTCAACAGCCCTTTGTGGGTTTGTATCTGAAAGATGGTGTCTTTGATTCATGTGTGAGGTGATAGGGGCAGCTGGAGAACAAACAGGTGCATGCTGGCTGAGTGGACAGTTCTTGGCCGTCCCGTGGATCAGGTAAGAGGGCCCTGTGTCAGCTCTCCAGCCTTCCGTCCACTCTTGTCCTCATCCCCACCTTCCTGAAGACACAGTCTTTATTCTAGAACATTCATAGAAATTGTGAAAGACAGCGTCTTGGCAGAGCAGAGACTTGAACAAGCGGTGACCCTGTTTGGTGAGATAGAAGCAGTCAGTGGTACCTTGGCTGAACAAGAGCAGTGGCAAGTGCCGAGTGCAGCAGAACAAGACAAGAAGCACACACAATAGGGCTTTGGAACACTTATGGAAAACAGAATTAAGAGACAAAATATTTGGTCCAGAAAGTTTTGAAATCCACACATAGGTAGGGTCTAAAAAATGCTTATGGAAAGTACATATTATAAAATAAAAAATTATGCATGGACAGGTATTTAAACAATTTTTGTTTCTTTTCATTTATTAAAAAGAAAATAGAAAAAGTCAGACAGACAACCAGACAGGAAGATACCTTCCATCATTTGATTGACTCCTGATGCTGGCAACAGCTAGGCCCAAGGGCTAGCATGGCTGGCAGGGCCCCCACCACTTGAGCTGCCTCCCAGGGTACATCTCAGAAGAATGGGGTATTAGAAACAGCGCTGAGATGTGAGCCTAGTACACCTGTCGTGATGAGCAACGGCAGGAGGAGGGTATGGCTGGAGCCAAACCACGAGCAGTAGGGAGAGTGGTGGGACATGAGGCCAAAGAGCTGGTGGTCTTTGTGGGGTGTGGGTCAGTGTGGGTTACAGTGGGCATCAGAGGTTGGCTATCCTGGAGGAAAGGGTGTGGCTTGTTGGGTTTTGACAGGGGTGGAGATAGCGCTGCTGAAAGGCACGGGCCAGGAAGGGACAGCTAGTTGATGGGCGCAGATTGTTGGTGCATCATCGTTGGAATGTTGGGGTCTGCCAGTGCTACAGCCAAGCTGTGCGAGGTGGGAATCTGGGTGGTGCTCTTTCTGATGCGAGTGAGTCACCCCAAAGGTTGCTACCTGCTGATGGGAAACTGTTAGCAGATAGGGTTGAACTTTCTCCTTGGAACTCTTAGCAAGTGAAGTGAGCAAGGGAAGGTAGAGAATGTCGATAGAGAAAACCACAGGGCTGGTACGGCTGGCAGCAGGCTGCCTCTGCGGAGTGCAGGCTGACTTGTGGACATGATGGGCCGTGGGTTTCACATGTCCCAAGGAGAGTGGCAGCAAAGATCGGCTGAAGCCGGGGAGCTGAAAAGTTGGCTGAAGTTGTGCCTTCAGCCCTTCGTTACACAATAACTTTAAAATTTGAAGTATTTAGAGCCCAACAGTGGCCTGGGTTCTCATTGTAGCAGGACTCACGTCATCTGGGCTCAGTTGCATTTGTTGGATGCAGAAGCCTGGAGAACCTCTATAATATTCATATATCAATATTAAAACACATCATCAACATTACATCTTTTTATTACCCCTTTACCATTCCATCAATCACTTAAACCATCTTCCCCCTCCATTTCTTATCATCCTATATTAAAACAACACACCATACCATCATATCCTACATTAACTATCCAACAATCACAATTTTAATCCCTAAGTTACCCCCTCCCTATAATCCCCCCTTCCCATTCTATTACCTCCCCCCCAAACATCCCAATAATCCATATCCACTCACACTCCACCACCTCTCTCTCATAAATCACACCCCCTCCCCCCTCAAGAATATAAGATAGAATGTAAATATTCCACTAGAGAGAATACCTCTATCATTCCACACCCCACTCATAGTACTCTATAGACCGCGCTCACGCACCGCACTATAAGATAATGTCTCACGCCCATATATATGATTTATACCCCTTCAATCAATCCGAGCCACTCCGCGCCCACACTTCTCATCACTCAATTGATTTATATGACCTCTCTGTAATTCTCATCGAAAGACTACTCACATGATAGAGAGAGACATCTCATAGATGCGATCAGATCGTAACGCTGCCTCAAGACTAATAAATTGTAGTTATAGTAAAGACATATATTAATCTGTGTGTGTTATCCTTATTACAAATATAGACTATAGTCAGTTAAAGACTATGTGAGTAGTTCTTTCAGTTAGTTAAATTTTTTAATAAAAAATTTAATATCCCCCCCCCCCCCCCCCCCCCCCCCCCCCCCTCCGCCCCTAGACAGCATGTTTTGATGGTTACTTCTGGATTGCTTCGTTTGCACACTTTAACTTAGGCACGCGATGCATATATATAGTCACCCTACCCACCTCTCCGCCACGATAAAAAAGAGGTGGTGTGTGTGTGTGTGTGTGCACCATAGAGATAGAGATAGAGATAATGAATGTTAATTTTCCCCCCCTAGTATTGTAGAGGTGTGCAGGATGATTTCATTGGAAAAGTGTGTACTATGTATGAAGACAGTGGCGATGGTTTTGGGTAATGAGACAAGGAGTTTGGAGGCGGAAAAGAAGACCACATGTGGTCCCTGACTTTTGATGTTTCGAGATTTCTGACATCACAATGGTGTTGAAACAGTTTGCTTTCTGTAGAAACCATGCTCTCCAGCTGTGGAGAGCTGGCCTTTCCGTGCAGAGCCCTGTGTGGTCTGAGCTTGTGGCAGCGGTGAGCCCAGCTCCCTGGCCACCCTGTTTTGGGGTAGAACCCACACATATTGTGCAGAGAGCACACTTACTGAGCTGGGAAGCCCCGGGGCATTGTGTGACAGATGCACGTCCAACTTGCAATATTTCCAATGTATGATGAGCTTATTGAACCATAACCCACTGTGCATCAAGGACATAATTTTATGAGAATTTAAGAGCTCTTCAGCTGAGGCGTGAAGACCAGCAGGTATTCAGGCAAAGCGGAATGCCCGAGTGGGCCAAGGATTCCTGACCTCAACGCCTTTTTGCATTTACATTATTAATAATGAAAACTCAAGTTTTTCTCTTTTTTTGCTACTTCTACAATGTGTAATTTGCAGACTCTGGGTCATGTGAAATCTCTTGGATGGCGGGTTTGGTCAGGAAATAAAACATCTGTTTACCACCGCATTCTAGACCATGAGAACGAGGGTCATCTTTTTGAGCAGTAGATAATGGATGCACACACGGTGCTGAAAAGCTGGGCAGTGCCTGTAATGTGGGTCAGATCAGGGCAGGTGATGCTCAGAGGACACACAGGAGGGCTTTGGTGGTTGTGCTCCAGGAAACCTGGTTCACTAAGTGACATTGACTGATTTCCCAGCCAAACTGTCCCTGACATCCCCAGAAGGAAAAGGGCCACCCAGTGTCAGAGGACCCTCAGTGTGCTAAGTGAAATAAGGTTATAGGGCAAGTAGGGTACTCCAAAAGTCTTTAAAAAAATTCCTAGTTTATGATGTTAGAATAATTACCCTAAACTTTTGAGTGAAGAATTAGATGATTCCTGGAAAGAAATACTAAGTTTATTTTACAGAAAAACTTGTAGATTAAAGTAATTTTATCAGCATGTCCCATTTGATTTTAAACGTGTGAGATGTATGTAGATGGGGTCTAGTTTGTGCTGCAGGGTTGTGATCCTACTCTGGTCCTCCTTCTGGTGAAATTTGCATCTATGTCTATTTTAAAAATATTATTACCTTGTGCAGGTCAGGGGAATACAGGTAAAGCAGGTAATATCATGTCATTTTGGCAAAAGATATAAAGAATTAAAACATTGGTTACTGTTTATTTCTACTTACAAAACAAGTTAAATGATTTCACTTGAAGGATCAGATTTCAAAATAATTCTTGTTGAGAGAAAATATCAAAAATACTGGAATTTATAAGAGAAGGAATGGCATATTTAAGGATCTCTGAAGGGCAGATGATCAAATTAGATATTGGCTGACTCTATCTTTTTGGTAATAATTTTATTAGAAGCGCTATGCTTGCTGCTCTGGCTTCGTTATTTCAGGGTTCCTGGAAAATTGCAAGAGCATTCATCCTTGGCGGCTTTAAAAACTAAAATTGGAAATGCGCATTCTTTTCATAGTCTCGCCTCTCCCCTCCTCTCTTCCAAATGACCACCCCCACTGTGAGTTTCTAAAATCGCTTTCCACTGTAGAAGTTGAAGAAGAGATTGTTGATGCCCAAGTTCAAGCGTGGTGGGTATGGCCTCCTTCTTGTGTTGGTAATTGCTGAAAGAAGTGGAGTTCTAATTTGTTCATGTTCCTGGCTGGGATGACGTAGTTGAGGAGGGTCTGGTAGATTCAGTTGCTTTGTTTTCTAATGTTCCTGATACGACGTGTAACATGCAATCTGCAATGCACTGTGTGGGAGACCTTTATGATAATCGTGACTGCCTCACAGGAAGCACATACTTTCATGACTATTGTATTTGAATGTCATGTTCCAGGTAAAAGGTGTGACTGTAAGATACACATAGGAGAGGTTAACATCTCCTCTTGGTTGTGGGCGACCCACTGGAGCCACACGTGGAACTCAAGTGACAGAGTTCTTGGTGACACATCCTGTGGCATCAGAATGTCTCCCCTTCTCCCACCGTGACTTGATGTTGAGGACCTTGTCCCTCTACCTGGAATGTTCGATGTCTTAGTGAAGAAATTTTACAGGAGAGATGTTCTTAGGAGAAGACAGATAACCCACTATAAACACCACATGGTTGATTTTCCTTTTGATTTATGATGTTGTCAGAACAAGTAGGCTTTGGGATATATCGAAACACTGAACATTTTAAGAGAAGTCGGTTTCCTCCTGAACATGTTCTCTTAGAAGATGGCGCATTGAACATGAGGCCTCTTCTGGCTGGGAGTCTTTCCATTGGAACAGACAATTCTGTATTGAGCTGTCGCATTATTCACCTCATTTCCATTCTCCCATGGTGGTTTTACCTTCTGCAGAAGAAACATTAAGCCTCATGTCCTCTTCATGTTTGTGCTCTTGTGTTCCTTATTGAAGCAAACCATTTTCTTCCCTTGTCTTGCGTTTTACAATCCTTAAATCCTTAAATCTGCGGTGTTTCCTAAGCCGGCTTTGGGAAAGGCTGCAATTGAAACCTTAAAATACCAGAAGGCATAATGTGCTGGTTTGTGTTTGGAAAAGTCTTTCCATTGGGAAATGGATGGCACTTGCATTAATTGTTTTGTACACAACCCCCCCCCAACTGATTTCCCCTTTATTATTACAATAGCACAGTCCTTCATAAGCAGGGATAAGCCCATCATTCTGCTATTTAAGTGTATCCTGACATTGTAGGCATGGGCAATGACGGAATCCAGCATCCTATTGTGAAGATGCATTTAAAGGTTTCATTGGGAGTCCATCCTTCATTTGAAAGTAGAGTTGTACAATGCATTACATCTTAACATCTGGATGTGACAGTCTCTTTTACACAATTACTGTGCATCCCCTTCAACAAAAAGCCATAAAACAAAATTAGCAACAAGAAGAAAAATAGAAAATTTACAACATCATGAAGTCAAATACCAAGCTACTGAAGCACCAATATGTCTCTGAAGAAATGGAAAGGGAAATCAAAGACCTTGAGGAAAATGATGCTACGGTATAGCCTATGTGTCATGGAAATTACTAAGGAAAAAAACACTTTTTCAAAGAAATGAAAATAAAAACAAAAAGATCAAAATCCACAAGAGTACCAAAAATAGTGTTTAAAGTGACATTTATAACATCAGGTGCTTAGAAAAAGTTGAAATATCTCAAACAAATGATCTAATAATTCATTTTAAGAGCTTATTAAAAAAATGAACAGGAAGCAAGAAATCATAAAAAATACAGCAGAAATAAATGGAATTAAAACTAAAAAACTACAAATTGCAATAAGGAAGAGCCGTTTTTTAAGAAGACAAGCAAAACAAACTTTTAACTAGACTAGCAAAGGAAAACAAGAGAAAAAAAACAAGTAAAATTAGAGAGAAGAAAAAATCCAAAGAAACTAGTAAGGCGATCTCTTCTTGCTGAGTGTGTCCTTGGCGAGATGTGTCTCCTGTAGGCATTACACAGATGGGCTTTGGTTTTTGATCCAGTCTGCTAATCTGTGCTTGCTGGATGAGTGTGCTTGCTGGTATCATTTGCATTCAGGGTTAATTCGATGGTTAGTGATTTGGTCCTGTCGTTTTAGCAATGGATTGCTCATTGTTTGACTCAGTCTTCTTTTGTTGTTTTATTGGGACTTTCTTCCTCTCTGTGTGACTTTCAGTTTTAGTTTTTCCTGGATTAAAAATGATCTAGCACCCAAGGTTTATTTTGTCTTTGTATTATTTGCTACAGGCATTTTAAAGCCTAATTTGATTAACTATCTTTTTTAGGTCACGGAAATGATTCTGCAAATGTCTCTTGAAGTTTGGTAAGTAGATGAAAATATTGTGAGCAATTAGTTGAAAAGTCGTGAGTGAACCACTGATTTACTTTTCTAAATAGAGTATTTTATATATAGGAAACAATTTTGACAGCTCTGTATGCAAGTGCAGTAATTGCTTTTCTTTACTTTTTCTTAATATCCATTTTTTTTATCTGCTATTCTTTGCTTCAGTTCCCAGTAGTCTGGTGATTAAATAATGCCAGACCAAGTGCCTTTTGATAAAGAAGTTAAAATTGGGATTTACTTTAAGTGAACTCAGCAAGGCTGCAGGTGGTGAGTCCTATGGGGCGCTGTCAGTGTTCACAAGGGCCTCCACTATGGGCCTGGGAAGCCATGTGTCTGTTCCACAGGGCCGTATCCGAGGGCGTCTCCGGCTGCCTTGATCGGGCTGAGCTCCAATCGAGGGTGAGCTCGGTGGATCCCACCTTCTACAGCCTGTCCCTATCTTTTGAATTTCGCTCTTGAAGTTGATTTTAACAAAGTTGCTGTTACATGCTTTATGCAAACTCCATACAAATTGACTTAACATTCATATATGTTGTGGTCAGCCAGGTGTATGGAGGTGGCTGCATTGAGTTCAGGCATCTCTTTCTCTTGACCACTGAAGCATGTAGATTTCATTTTAGTAAATGATTAGCATAAATGTCCACCACCTCTCAGCATACTTCAACAAACAGCAATAGCTTTGCTGACACATTATTTTTCAGTAAATGCTTTTTTTTTTAGCACGAACCTAAAATATTTTTGTTATCTGACGAGTAATTTCAGTTAAAATATCAGTTGAAAATGGTATCATTTTCAATGGAAAATGATCATCACTGACAAAATTAATGCAATAATACAGAAGAAATGGGCTTTTGCAATAATGGTAATTTTTTCAATGCAGGGAGAGTTCAGTAAATGGCTTATCTGGAAGTGATACTACACCAGCATTACAATGAGCATTACCCAAGCCCATGTTCTATGTGTTAATTTATCTCTGATTAGAATAGAGTTTTTTCCACAAAAAAATCCATTCATCTAAATAAAGCCTTTTTTTTAACTCTTCCCATTAACTATAACATAAAATCAATAAAGAACATTAATTAGAAAGTCAATACATTAAAGAAGAAATAAATGAACTATAATACTATCATTATATTTATAAAATTGCGGAGTGCTGTTTGAATTTTCTGTTGGATTTTTTTAGTGGTATCTTCCAAAGGTTTCATGTTTGTGACACTGTATATGTTTTTTAAAGAAATAACAATTCTTTAAAAAACAGTATGTTTTTAACATCGAGGGTTCCAGAATGAGAAATCCTTGATTTAAATCTGCCACTTGTTAATGATGTTGATGTTGAAAGATTTCTAATCGCTTTTTAACTCAATGATAAAATCAAGAGAGCTTGAGCAGCAAATCTACTGTGATTTTTGAGAATTTCTTTTAAAAGTGTATACTTCCAGAAACATCAGTGAATATATAGCATATTCAAACAGTGAAATCCCTTGACAAGAATATAAATATTTGAGATACTTTATGTAAAAAACATATGATTCTTATGAATAAAATGTACAGTAGAAAAATAGTTTTCATTGGTTGTATTTTTAGCAAAATGATAACCCTGTAAGATGATCCTCTATACTATTTAGACAATAACAGTGGAAGGAAGGATAGCTCAAGACTAGACTCGAAAACAAATGTATTAGCTTACTCTTTTTTGGTGTTATGTTTTGACATTTTATTTCTTTTTATTATTTATTACTATTATAAAATTTATTATAAATAAAATATAAAATCTATAAAATATTTATTATGGTTATTATTGTTTTATTTTATCATTTTCTGATACAGTATCATAGATTGTGGGATTCCCATTATCCCCTCTCCAATTCCCTCCCTGCTCACTGAGTTCCCCTATATCATTAATATAGGTCTTCATACACAGTCATATAGCCATCATTGCAGGCATGGACAATGGCCGAGAGTTCAGCATCCTATTGTCAAAATATAGTAAACAGTTTCATTGGGAGTCCATCTTTGATTTGGAATAAAGATGGAAACTGCATTGTATCCTCACATCTGGATATGATAGTCTCCATTACACAGTTACTATACATCCCCTTAAATGAGAAGCCACAAAACAAAATCAACAACAGAAAGAATAAAAGAGAAATTAACAACACTATGAAGTTAAATAACATGCTACTGAATGACTAATGTGTCGCTGAAGCAATGAAAAAGAAAATCAAGAACCTTCTTGGAGAAAATGATGCTACCGTATGATCTATGAGTCATTGAAGAATTTAATCAGAAGAAAGTGTTTTGAAGAGGTGAAACTAACAAAAAAAAAATCAAAACCAATGAGATATAAAGTTTTTGCTGATCTTTGTTGGTGAAATCTGTCTCCTGTAGCCAACAAATAGATAGGTTTTGTTTTTTAATCTAGTCTACTTGTCTGCAACATTTGATTGATGAGTTTAAACCATTTACATTCAGGGTTAATATGAATGGGTGGTACTTTGGTCCTGTCATTTTAGGAATGAGTTGTTCATTGATTTAGTCTTCTGTTGTCATTTTACTGGGATGTTCTTCCATTTGCCTTTGGTTTTGGTGGGTGCTATTCCTTTTCTCTGTCAAGAGAACATCTTCAAGTATCATTTGTAAGGCAGGTTTGGAAGAGGCATATTCTTTTAACTTTTCTTTACTGTGGAAGAATTTTATTTCATTTTCAAAGACAAACGAAAGTTTTGCTCGGTATGTTATCCTGGGCTGACAATTTTTTGCTTTTAGAATCGAATATGTCACTCTATTCTCTTCTTGCCTGTAGAGTTTCCTGTGAGAGGTCTCCTGTGAGTTTAATTGGCATTCCTTTATACGTCAACTGATTATTTTCATGAGTACATTTAAGGATGTGTTCCTTACGATCGATTGAAGAGAGCTCGATTATCACGTGTTGAGGTGAAGATCACTTTCAGTCAACCCTGTTGGGAGTTCTGTGCCCCTCCTGGGTATCGTTTCCCAATTCTCTCTCTAGATTAGGGAAATTTTCCCTTATTATTTCATTAAATACATTTGCAAACTCAGCTTCTCTTTCTGCACCTTCTGGGACTCCCATAACTCTTATATTTGGCCTTTTAATAGTGTCTTGCAGTTCATGAATACTTTTTTTGGTCTGACCCAGCTCTGCTTCCAGCTTTTTGTTTGTTTCCCCCTGGCGACAGGAAATATTTTCCAATTCTAAGATTCTTTCTTCTGCCTCTTTAATTCTATTTTGGAGACTCTCCACTGTACTTTTAATTTGCTCCACTGTCTTCTTCATTTCTGATATCAGCTTTCATTTGATTCACTTTCAGTGTGACATGTTCCTTAAAGTTTCTTGAACTCCTGTATTATGTGCTTCTCATTGTTAAGAAGTGTTATAACAAGTGTTTTGAATTCTGTATCCCACATTTTCTTGATGTCTTCCTCAGTGAACTCTGAGGTTGGCAAAGGGCTTTGTTCCTTTACAGGGGAGTCTTAAGTAATATTCATTGTGCCTTTGTCTCTCCTTTTGTTGCTGGTCACTGAACCTCTGGCTAGCAGATTCTTCTCCTTGTGGCAGGTTTCTAAGGTCTGTCACCCACAGGTCTACAGTTTGATTTTACTTATTGCAGTTGGTTCATGGCTCTTTGCTACAGTCAGTTGTGTCACTCCCTCCAGCGAGTTCTAGGTCTGAATTCTTACGTTGGATTTCCACCATAGTCTCTATAACCCCAGATCTTGGCCCCACCTCCTGTGATACTGTTCTGAGGCTGCACCATTGTCTGTACAAGCTTTCTTCCACTTGCAGTTGGAGCAGGTCCCAGGATTAGGGAGACACCAGGTATCCCATATATATCTAGGTTACTGGTGGTGGTGATCTTGCCTGTGGAACCTGTTGGTCGTTGGGTCTGAGGACCACACAGACCTATTTTGACCCATACAATGCCATGGTCGATATTATTTTCCCTGTGGGACCAGTGTACTGTGCTGAGCTCAGCGAGAACTCAGCACATGCACAGCTCACTATTGTCCCTGCAGTCTTAAATTCTTTGCCATACTATAAAAAATGGCATCTGATGTGCCACTACTAGAGTTCCTGATCTGCTGGCCATCAGATTTGAGGGCTAGCTGGATCTATCTTAGGTGGAACCTGTTGAAAGTCACGTTGTTGCAGTTCACTGAGCCAGAAATGAGCTCACTCCCAGCTCAGTGCATGTGCAGTACTGTCCATAGCCCTTGCCTCCTTAAACAAAATGGCACCTGATACGGCTCTAGAGGGAAGACTGGGTTGTGAAATCCACCCTGGTCCTGCACTACTGGGATCTGCTGCTCTGTCTCTGTTCCTGGTCAAATCAAACAGATCAGCAGGACAGGGAGTTCCTTGTCTGGGTTCACTGCCTGAGCTCCCAGTAGATGTTTCTTCCCAGTTGGTTGCTGATGAAGTTCTGGCTGATGGTACATTCGGATTGGCACTCCCTGGATGCTGCTGGGTATCAGTCACTGCAATACCATACCTGTGTCTCTACTGCTTCCCTGCACTCCCTGGATGCTGCTGGGGTATCAGTCACTGCAATACCATACCTGTGTCTCTACTGCTTCCCTGCACTCCCTGGATGCTGCTGGGGTATCAGTCACTGCAATACCATACCTGTGTCTCTACTGCTTCCCTGCACTCCCTGGATGCTGCTGGGGTATCAGTCACTGCAATACCATACCTGTGTCTCTACTGCTTCCCTGTGTCTTTTCTTCTGCACCTTTGGGATAATGGCTTTCATACCAATTGGACTGATTGAATGTGTGACTCGGTGCTTTGTTTGCCATAATGGAGTGATCATTTGCTGCTTGTTGGGTAACAGATCATTTCAAGTTCACAGCTACTTCCCTTAGATAGAAAGAAGTAGAGTCTTTACATCAAGGAGGTTATATATTTTAATTAATTTTGATGCTTGTTATTGAATGGCTGCTCAAAACTGATTTGCAAATCCACCTACAATTATGAAAATAATAATATTGCTTTACCTTTCCCAACACTGGAAATAAATATTGGAAATATTTTTAAATCAATAATATGCTGATATTAGTATTTTGCTAAACTAACCAAAATGAGACTTTATAATTAAGGTGTTACATTTGTGCATAATACAGAAACAATTTTTTTCTAATTTTTTGGTTCATTAGCTGGTGCATAGGGCTCAGTATTGGGTCCCCTGTTTTTCATGTGGACTTGGGGCATGTTGGAGGTAAATGATGCACTACTTGGGGTCCTAGTCTGCACAGCTTCAGTTGTCTTATTGAAGGCAGTGCTGTGCAACGGTGGACTCTAGAACAAAGGTTAATGTTTGCCCCATGTCTTGCATTGTTGCATGAACAAAAAGTGCTTTGTTTTTGAGGAATCACTGCCATTGCTGGAACCTGCTGGCGTTATCTCAAGTCTGTGGGGATGACTTGGTCTCATATCTGTCACTACCACAAAGTACCCGAGGTTGGAGTGTGGACACAGAAAAGAGCTTCTGTTGGCCCACAGTTGTGGAGGCTGAAACTCCAAAGCTGTACAGCTCTGTCCCCTCCCCCATGGCAAGGAGTAGAGATGGGAGCAGCCACAGGCGGAAGGTCACCTGAGAAGCCGGAGCTGGTGCACAGGAGAGCGCTGGGGAGCAAGGGGGAATGCAGGAGAGTGCAGGGGAGCACTGGGGAGCAAGGGGGATGCAAGGGGAGTGCTGGGGATCACAAGACCTCTCCTGCCCTTTTCATCATAATTCACACTTCTAGAAAACAGCTCCTGCCCTGAGATCAGATTGAATCCCCCCTGAACTAATAAGCTCCCACAAGGCCCTGATTCTAAGTGTTCCCAACTCGTCTGAGCATTGCCACTCTGGGGACCAAGCCCTATCCAAACCCAAGCAGATGTATCCATTAGCATGGGCCGCTTAAGACAGGATTTCCGCCAGTGTCTTCCTTAGAACACAGCCTTGGTGTGCCACTGAGTGCTATGGCGGTGACTGGTGGAGGGACGGAGGAGGACTCTTGCAGCCAGCAGGTGTCAACCTGAGGCTTTGCTGAACAGCTCCCTAGGACCTCAGACCACAATAGACAACTCACCGGGCATCTCATATTCCTTTTTTGTTTTGTCTTGAGAAAATGTGCCTTGGGAAACACTGCTCAGCCAGCATTTTGTACTCTTTTTAGGTCCATGGTGGGAAAGGGATTGAAGGGGGCAGGGTGGATGTGAGGCAAGGCTGCAGACATCGCCGGCTCACGTCTGTCTGTCGTTTGTTGCAGCTCAAGCCCAGACCTGCGGTTCAGCATGGCTCTGTGTGATCAGGAGAAAGCTTTCAGACAACTGAGAAAGGAGAATGTTAAGGAGAACATGAAGAAACTCCTGGGTCCCAAGAAGAGTGAAGGACTGAGTTCCACACGGGATGTGAGTTGCACATTGTTCAGAAGTGGTTACCGTGCAGTGGGATAGCTGACAGAATGTTACCTGCAGAGTTTCATCCCTGTGTGCCAGTGCTGGGTTAAGCATTATTATTCCTTCAGCTTCTAGATTAGGAAAGTGATTCTAGGTAAGAAACTATTTGAGGAAGTCCATTTGAATGCTGCCCATGATTGGAGATGTTTATCTGATGTCATGCTTATTTTTAGTTCTACTTATTTTTTTAGAGCAGTATTAGGTTTAGAGCAAAAGTGAGCAGGAAGTATAGGGTGACCTCATGTAAGTCCCTTTCCCCACCACACTGGTACCACGCCCGCATGCTAGGGCTCTCCAGAGAAAGCGGATAAAGAAAGGAAGGGATCTCAAAAAGTGTGTGGAAAATGGGAGCTGAGAGCCAGTCCCCAGTCCAGGCCTCTCGTGCGGTGGAGGAACTCAGCTGCTTGAATCAGGCCATGATGCCTCTTAGGAAGGTGGGCTCGGGCAGAGCAGAGACTCAGCCCAGGCACTGTGGCATTGGATGTGGGCATCATGACTGATGTCTCACCTGCTAGGCTAAAAGCCCAGCCCATGTTTAAGCAGCACGCAGGTCTCTTCTGGGACTCTGACACTCACCGGCTGCAGCCTCCCCCCTCCAGGGCCTCAGGTCTCAGGTTTTCTTGTGGCACTTTTCTCAGCATTTACCACAACTGGGCTTACAAATTACTTGTGTGACTTAGCATCTGCTTTCTCTGTTAGAATGCAGTCTGTGGTGTGTGTTATTCGTAGTCCCAGAATCTAGAGTGGCTTCTTGCACGGTGGACTTAGGAGGTCATCGTAGCATAGGAATGATGGGGCAGAAGCAGGCAGAGGTTTGGTATGGTTGAGTTGGCCTCAGATCTCAGCAATCCAAGCCTCAGGTTCCTAGGGAGCTGTCCGAGGCTGAGGAGAGAATGTGGAGCAAAGCTCCCAGTCTAGACGGACTTAGATGTACACAGAGTGTGGCTGCAGGCCCCCTGAGGCCTCTGTTCGTAGGTTCCCCAAAAGGAGCATGTGAACCCAAGAGTCTAAGCATGCATCTGTTCTGGAAAGGGGAAGGAGTCTTCCTGGGTCAGCCAAACTTTTCTTACTGTCCACACAAGTGAGACTGTGTTAGCTCTTCTGCAACAGATGGGGAGTGAGGTAATTATGCTTCGTCTCTGGGAAATCTGTCGAAAATATGAAACACGTAGATTTGGAAATAGATCTAGAGTTCATAGTTCCCTTTTTCCTTTGGGAGAAGCGATCAACTTTGACGAAGTTGACCACTTTGACCAACTTTGACCACCAATTCCCCAAAGAAAAGTACCTTTTTTGTTGTTTTTCTGCTAACCTTGGGTCTCTCAGGCTCCCACGTCACCTGCTGCCTGAACACATCTTCCCTTGGCCCGGTCAGCTGGCTGCCTTCGGGGGTGCAGGGGGAGTCGGATGTTCTCAGGAAGGTAGTTCTTCTCACAGCTCCCTTCAGAAATTGCACCTGTTTTGTGCTCAGGTGTCAGTATGTGGGCAGCATCTGGGGAAGGACCTCAGTGGTAATCAACATGAATGAGTCCTACACATCTGTTTTTATCTCCGTGTCTTCCAATTGAGCTGGACAGGAGGCCTTTACAAAGAGGAGAGGACGAACACCAGTGCTGTAGTACATTCAGCAAAATGTTGACACAGTAGTTCCTCACCAGAACAGCAGGTATTCAGGGAGTCCGTAGTCCTTACGCATCCCCCGGGGTCCCGCTGGCCTAGTCTGGCACCCCCTGAATAGGCAGTGACTCACTCATTTAATAACCTTCTCTTCCTGCCTGGACAATGAGCTTGTCAGGTAATTAAGATTTCTGAAAACTCAGGAGTTTAAGATGGAGTAGTAGTAAGATTTCAAAAAATATCTATTTATTTAGATCCTTTGGGTGGTAGCCTTTTGTAATGTGTAATTCCTTGCTGAGATCAAAATGATTGAAGTATTCTCAAGCTCTGGACCCTTGGCGATCCGCCGCCTCTTCGCATCCTCTGTGTCTGATTCCCTCTCAGCTCCGTGGCTGTGGACTCCCAGCCTGGTAGAGGAGTTTGTCGCTGGGATAGCGTATGGACCGAGGGTGACTCCTGCACGGAGGCTTATGGCCTGAGCGCCTCCCTTTGAAGGCCCTGTGCTCAGGAGTTGTTGGTGTTTTTCTTTTAATTTTTAGATTTTTCTCTTTTTTTTTGGAAAGGCAATTTTACAGAGAGGATAGATAGATCTTCTGTCTGCTGATTCACTCCCCAAGTGGCCACAGCTGCCAGAGCTGCGCTGACCTAAAGCCAGGAGCCAGGACCTTCTGCCAGGTCTTCCACACGGGTGCAGAGTTCCAAGGACTTGGTTCATCCTCCGCTGCTTTCCCTGTCCATACGCAAGGAGCTGGATGGGAAGTGGAGCAGCCAAGATGAGAACTGGTGCCCTTATGGGATCCCGGCACCATAGGTGGAAGATTATCTTATTATACCATTGTGTTGGCCAACACTTGCAGGTGGAGGATTAGCCAGTTGATCCATTGTGTCAGCCCTACTGTTAATTCTTTTCACTGCAAGATATCTTTTGGTCCATGATCCCCAAAATGGAGCAGGGAGCAAGGTTGGTTTGGGAGTCAAAATTGGAGATTAGAATAATGTGGAAAGGACAGAAAGAACTACCCAAGCCTCCTCAGAATCTAAGGAGAAAACAGTTCTGAAGAAGACTGAGAAGAGTGTGTTTCAGTTTAAACAAATGTGACCAGATATCTTTAGATGGAAGTAGAGGAACAAAGTGGACGTTTCAAATATGTTCCCTAGCACTGCACTCAATGCCCGGAGTAAATTAGCGCAATACCAGAGAGAGTGGACCAGAGTGTGCTGCAGCGAAGCAGAACCACACACCTTCCGAAGAGGAAGCCGGATTCAGTTGGGAAGAATGATTGCTCCTTTGTTTCCGCAGTTTCCTTCTTCCAGAATCTTCTTCCTCCATTTCTGCCTTCACCCCACAGCACTGTAGACTGTCAGTTCTTTTCCCACGTTGGCTGTAGACACAGAAGCGCACATAGTGTAGGGCTCCTGTTAGGGGAGTGCACGCTGATGAGCTGAGCAGGTGTGGACCTCCAGGGGTGAGGCTTCCGGACTAGGCAGGTGGAGCTCATTTTCTCGTGTTTGCGGAAGTGCTAGCATTTCAGCAGCCTGGAGAGCAGTGGCCCGTGAGGCCCAGACTGTGGTCAGCAGTGGGCGCCAAGTGCCCTGGCCCTGAAGAGCATAGAGCTACTGCGGAAACGGGAGCAAGCAGGAGCCAGCAGACCCATGCTTCTCCTGGCAGCGAAGGAAGGGGTTTGTGTGAACAGGTGTTCCTGCTTGCTTTGAGCTGCTGGTTACGTCTGCAGCACAGGTGGGTCCTGTCTACTCCGGTGAAGGCCAGAATGAAACAGCACGGCCGGCCTCCTGGGCCACCAGGGCCCCTTTGGGCTTCTCTGCACTGTTAGCGCTCCAGGGCCGGGCGTGCGCTGAAGGCTTGGCCTTCCCAGTCTGTTCGGCTGTGTAGGCCGATTGCTGTTGATACATCTCTTTCTGCGTGTGTTCTCGTCCTGTTGGCTCTGTTGTTGTTTTTGAGACCCTGAGTAGACAAATGTCTTCATGGAATGGTCAGATTTTGAAATCTATGGAAATCTGTAAAAGCCTTGAGCACTTTGGAATTTCCTTTTTGTGAGGGAGGAATTTGTTAAGATCCCAAAGCCCCTGTATCCAGACAAAAGTACTCTGTAAACCCACGTATCAAGACAACTGAAGTCAAATCATGGGGAATTTCAGCAAGTGAAAATTCATTTCCTGTATTCATACGAGAGAAGTATGAGAAATATTTGCTGACATCATTCCCACAAATCCTCATAATAGTAGGTCTAAATATAATCTAAAACCTCCTCAGCACTCCTGTATTTGGTTCTGTTGGAATTAGAGCCAGGACTCCCAGCTGCAGCACTCACACCTTACAAAGCTCCAGTTGTTTTTCCGTGTTAGAATGACTTAGACTGTACTCACACCTGTTGCGTAACAGTGGACCAACACTACTTGAAGTCACACATGAATCTGAAATACGGATCGGTAGAATTCATTCCTCCTGTCCCCTGCGCAATGACACAGCGAAAAGAGCAGGAATACTCGCATAGTCATAGCAAATCCTGGTTGCACCATGCAGTCCTTGCTCTCTGCAGACAAGGTATGCATGTGTTCAGCTCCTTTGGAAATGGAAAATCATAATGACTTCCTTGCAAGATTTTGGAAAATCAAGTAAACTGAGTCAAGTTGTCTGTGAGGATACCCGGTACACAGTACATTTGCAATATCTTATTTCTCATTCTTTTATTGTCTATAAGAGCTTATAATTTTTATATTACCTATAATTATTTATGAAAAAATATGTAGAATCTACTACTTTCTGCTAGTAGCCAAAAGAATATATCCAGACAACATCTTACTTTGCAACATTGGAAAATGTTTTCTTGGAGCCTTGGTGTCTTACCCCAAATCCTCCCTTAAAACACATAATCCACTTCTTAAAATGAGCTGTAACATCTGCTTTGATACAAATCTAGAAACCTGGTCAGTCTGGCCCGCCTTCCTCTCTTCTATTCCCGGCACATGATCTCGGCTCCCCTGTCACTGTGACCTGAACACAGCTGTCAGTCCTCACACAGTCCTTAGGAGTTTCATCTGCAAGATGGGCGCATTCTCACCCTATAGGATCTCTCAGAGAATCAGATAAAACAATGTAGCTGAAAGGAAACGAAAAGCTGCAAAAGGTTCAACATAGCTGCTGTTGTCATTCTTCAAATAAGTTGGCCATTATGGCAACATGCGCTTCCCAACAAACTTGGTTATCCACTTAAAAACAGAGACATCATTGGGGCTGGTGCAATGGCACAGGAGGCTAATCCACCACTTTGGTACAAGCATCCCACATGGGTGCCAATTCTAGTCCTAGCTGCTGTAGTTCCAGCCGGCCTCCCTGCTTTTTCCTGGGAAAGCAGTGAAGGATGGCTCGGGTCCTTGGGCCCCTATAGCCACTGGGAGACCTGGTAAAATCTCCTGGCTCCGACTGGTCGAATGTAGCCATTTGGGGAGTGAATCAGTGGATGGAAGATCTCTCTCTGTCTCTCCTGTCGGTAAATCTGCCCTTCAAATAAAAATAAATACATTCTAAATATATATATATTATAAATATAATAAAATTTGACTTTATCAAGGCATGAGTGCATTTATACCTCCGTATAACAATGTGGGATGTATACCACAGAAGCAGAGTAGATGGTAGCGTGCTGTTGTGTCTCACTGTGCCTACAGTGCCTGTGTTGCATCACTGCAGGTGCCGGTGGTGGCCATCCTGGGTTCTGGCGGCGGATTCCGAGCCATGGTGGGATTCTCCGGTGTCATGAAGGCGCTGTATGAATCAGGAATCTTGGATTGTGCTACCTACATTGCTGGGCTTTCTGGCTCCACATGGTCAGTGTGCATTTTCTCAATGTCATTCCTGTCATGCTAGATGTTTAGGATTTAGCTAACTCAAACATGAGAAGGGAAAAAGAATGTAGAAAATTTGCTTTAACCTCAAATTCCTGAAATGTTCTAGTTTAATGCCAAATGTGCTTTAAAATGTTTTTAAATTGTATACAATAATAATGACTTTTGCCATTTGTTTACTCCTTTCTAGGCTTGTTTGTAACTTAAAATGTCATTAAAATGTAACCTTTTTAAAAATTGAAGATAATTCTTGATACATATCACATAAGTGGAATAACACACTCCACCCATAATTAATTTAAGCTCCATATAATTTGCTGATGTGCAGTCCTTTGGTGAACATGTCTGCATCTATGTGATTCACTGGCTATTCATTTTATTCTTTAGGGCAAATAGAATGAAATGCAAGAGGATGATAAACCACTTTGAGTTCAAAAATGCAATAAATTTTACTGATTGGTATCTAACTAAACATGAAAGCAGCCATTTGGATGCATATCCTTTCTACAAATAGGACACAGTTTCGAAGAAGGGAGTGTAGACCCTTTGTTTGCTTGTTCCACGTAAGCATTCTGGAAAGCAAGTGAAAGTTCTTACTCAAGTGTCTCAAATATAAATACTGCCTTATTATCACAGACCATCCAATCCTTTCTGGGCCCTCACTCACGCAGAGCTCACCTGTCATCCATGGGAGCACACAGGTTTAGCAACTTAAAGTTGTGTCATTCCCTTCCATGACAAGCATGTGGGTGGCTTCATTTCTTGGATAGGAAATTAGACTTAGCAACCAAGTGATCTATTCTAGTTTCTAGCTTAGTTGGCACATCCATGGGGTCAGTTACATCCCCAATCCATGACTCCTACAAAAACACAATCTTCAGGAGAACTCCGCATTCTGTGTGGAGCTCCACACGCAGATGCTATGCAGACGGTTGACTGTCTTGAGTCAGAATCTATGGTTAAGAAACCGCGCCCCAGAGCCGTTTTTGGCTTCTTCTAGTCAGTGCCCTCCGTGTGGCTGAACTCCTCGGAAAGCAGGGTGTTGCAGAAGAGAGCAGGCATCTGCCTGTTTAGTGAGTAATGTGATGGAAAGGCTTGCATCTTTGCATGAATGCGCCCGTTCGATCGTTTCTTTCATCGTTTTGTTTTTATCGTTTGGGTGGTTCTCACTCTCTGTAGCCCATTCCCGGGTGCCTGCTGTCCAGCAGTGACTAACAGTGCAAGAAGCTCACGGGCTGGAACTCATCCCCCAGGAAAGCCAAGCCTGGCTGCAGCTGTGGGCTTCTGAGCATGCAGCTGTGAGCCCCGGGAAGCTGCGGGAGTGCCTTAGTGGTATAAAGCTGAAGTAGCAACTTCTTGGCCTCTCCTTTCAGGGTTTTGGAAAGAGATCCTGTGACGTGGAATTACGATGATATAAATGCGTACACACATTGGTGTGCCTGTAACTGGCATCTTGCAGTCTTATTTTTCTTAAAGATGAACATCACTTTGTTGTTGTTCTGCTGCCTTAAAGGCGATGTGACAGCTTTAATCCTCATACTAGAACATTCTCTCACAAACCAGTTACCTTCCAACTGCGGTGATGCCTTTTGAAGCCCTCATGCCCCTCGTCTTCCTTGGAGGAAGAGCGAGGAGACAGAGGGCTTTGAGACATAGTGAGCGCTTGACTGGAGTTGAAAATCCACATGAGGCTTAGCTTGGGGCTAGGATTGCAGAGCGTTGACAATTTAAATAAGAGCCATAAAGTAAATGAAGAGTAGTTTTGACGGTGCATTTGCAAAGAGCAAAAAGGGAGTACAAAGTTCAAGAGCAAAGTGTGGGAAAGGGCTGTACATGATTTTAGATGCTGTGCTTGGAAAGGAGTGGAACAAACCTGGCTTGTTTAAACGAACAGGAAGTATTTCTGTTTGGTTTGTAGAATTTAAGAGCCTTGGGACCGTTTGTAGATGCAGGAGGGAAGGGAGATGGTGAGAGGCAGAGATGGAAGGCAGATGGCAGGAGGATCCCAGGGAGGGGAAGGTTCAGGTGGAGACGTTGGAGACAGGAGTGGAGCCCTAGGAAGCACAGGTGGGGGCAGCGACCGCGGAAGGAAGAGACGGTTCCTGAGACAGAAGGAAATGTGCACGGGGTGAGTCATGTTCACAATCACCTGTCGACGAGCATAGGTGAGAAAGTAAAACTTCAAAGGAAGGAATTCGGAAAGGCTTGGAAAAATAAATTACACCGTGTGTTGTGTAACTGGTTATATTCCGATGATCCGTGACCATGCTTCTGCATAAATGAGGCAATGCGGAACTACCTGGAGAAGCCCTGGACCTCCCAGAAAGCTTCCTCTGATCACAAAATAGGATTTTAGACAGAACAGAGTTTCCATGTCCCTCCTGCTAGCTCAATGGCAGTTGTTTCTGTAAGAATTATGGAATGGTATTTGTGATTCACTCAGTGTAAGTGTTCACGTCGGTCCCATGTCCTGCTCAGGCCTCCTGCCGAGCTTGCCCACAGTGAAGCTGCACCCCTGCAGCATCCTCAAGGGCCATGGCGACTGGCCGCCCTGCTGAGGAGAGGACCCAAGTCAGGGGGTCCACCATGTGATTTTGGTATTAAGGATTAAAATGAAAATCTTCTTTTCTTTAATGATTTAGCTTTGAAACAATGTGTGTGTTTGTTTAAAAAGGATGATGAAGTCTAAAAAAATCAGGTCTGGGTGAATCATGTCGTGCACTTTGGAATAACTAGAGGAATGAGTTACTGTGGCTTTCATGTCTTCTAAGCTATATTTTTAAATTAGATATTTGGTGATCAAATTAGGTTTGAGTTCAAAGTAAGCTGATTGGTTTATCTTTGTGCAGGGGCATGCTAATCCTCTCTGTATTGTTCCAAATTTAGTATATATGCTGCCGAAGCGAGCGCAACCAGTTGGTTTATCTTTACCACACGTGCCAGAACACTTATGAATTCAGTACGAGATTTAAAAACTCTCCTTAAGGATTTTTTAAAAAAGTTTGCTGAGTTTGTGTTTCATTGTACCTCCATTATTATTCATTTATTAATTTGCTGATTTCCCCAATTCATCTCCTAAAAAAGCCCTCTGACTCCAAGAAGAACTTCTAAGTTGTGAAGTGGAAATAGTTTGATCTCTAAGAACTGAAATTTTGAAAAGTAGCTTTGAGAAGCAGAGCATTTCAGAGAGAGCTGGCAAGCCTTGAGTTCTGGTGGCTATCTTTGGTTGGGGTGTAGGCCTATATTGCACTCACCCACCCTTCCGTTTCTCATCTGTGAGGTCAGAGACCTCGGATCCCCTGGGGGTCACCAGGCAGCTCTCTGCGCATTTGACCAGCGCAGTGCCAGAGCCAGACAGCAGCCCCATGGTCCCTGCAAAGAAGTCATTATGACTGACATTTTTATCTGAATCCCAAGGGAAGCATGGGCCATTTTCTCTTTGCTTTGATGATGTGGCAGAGTGGTCATATCCTTGGTTTAGTCTGTTCTGTCACTCAACAAGCTGTGCTTACCATGCGCCCGTAAGGACCACCTTATTTCAGGACCTGAAGGAGGTCACGATTCAATCTGAGACATATAATGGCAGGCAGCTACACGTGTACAGTCTAGATCAAGTGCCAAAACCCAGGGTGACTTTCAGTGCACCCCAAGTTGCCAGATGGCTGGTGGTTAACAGCACCCACAAGACAGTATGAGCCTTACAGATGCTATTTCTCTGCTGAATGTTCCTTCAGCTAAGCGTGCTGAGAAATTCAGAGATCTGCACATCTGCAGGCCTTTTTTTTTTTTTCCTAGTTTGCTAATGATGATTAAAACAACCACATTTGTCAGGATAAGTAGTCATTCACAATAGTTGGAACAGTGTGTTTTCTGCATGAAGATAATCATGATGGAAAGTCAAGTCGCCAAACTGCTTGACCGGTAACGCATCCAGACAAGTGTGTGGATCTGTGTGCCTCGGCCATGGTGTCAGTCTCATAGTCTGAGGGAGGTGCCTGTTCCTGGCAGACCACAGAGCGCCGTGGGCCCCAGGGCGTGTTGCCTGCCTGCGTGGGGCCTAGGAGCCGAGTCTCCTTCCAGACCTTGCTTTGTCTTGCAGCTCTGGGGCCAGCTCCTCTCTGATGGCTGCATTCTTCCTTCAGATAGGTTATATTTTTGGTCAGATGATGATGCTGGTCAAACAACCAGCGTTCTCTTTGCGCCTCCTGGTATTGCTGCCTGGCTGAGAGCTGCTGTGCCACTGCCCTTCCTCTTACCAGTGGCATTCTGCTTTCTCCGCAGGTACATGTCCACCTTGTATTCCCACCCTGATTTTCCAGAGAAAGGGCCAGAGGAGATTAACGAAGAGCTAATGAAAAATGTTAGCCACAACCCCCTCTTGCTCCTCACGCCGCAGAAGGTTAAGAGATATGTCGAGTCTTTATGGAAGAAGAAAAGCTCTGGCCAACCTGTCACCTTCACCGACATCTTCGGGATGCTGATAGGAGAGACACTGATTCACAATGTAAGTTCTGGCTCAGTCGCCATCCTTGTGCCACAGGACATGGCATGAGCCTTGATGTTACAAGGAAAAGCAAAGGCGGCTGACTGGCTCAACATCAGTTCGCTTGACTTGTTCTTTTGTCAGGGTGTTATCAGCAGACATCGGAGCGGCCGCTGTACCTGCCGCACATTGTAGACGCTTCAGCACTTCCCCCTGACTGCATATCTGTTGTGATGGGTGGGAAAGTGCTTTGCATTCCTTTTCTTTGGAAAAATTCAGATTTTTAACCTTTAGCTTCATATTCTGTAGTCTTTTTTACATGAGGAGTTAAATACAGCGATAATTTTGCAGTAGGTTAGGAGTGGGCGCTACACTGAACCTGTCTGAAAAGGAAGTGGATGGCGTGGGGCAAAAACCTTTGGTGCCTGAGCAGGGCATGACCTCTCAGCTAGGGCCCAGAGGAGGGTGGGAGAAGCCTGTGCCAGGGAGTCCAGGGGCTGAATTCTTTCCAGGCTCCATGCTGCCAGCTCACTCCCCAGTCCAAACGTGACATCAGGCTAGTTTTGGAATGCAGATAATTCCTCGCATAGAGCTTAAATTTGTCTTTGTATTTCGGTCCTGGAGATTTCTAGAAGGCATGACTTGCTGTCATTGTAAAATGGGAAGTGTTTTCCCTGGAAGTACTACTTTGGACAGTGTGTGGTCTGAGTCCTAAGCCACCTGTTTCCGTGCTGTGTTCACAGAGGATGAACACTACCCTGAGCAGCCTGAAGGAAAAAGTCAGCACGGCGCAGTGCCCGCTGCCGCTCTTCACCTGCCTGCACGTCAAGCCCGACGTCTCCGAGCTCATGTTCGCAGGTGCGTCCTCCCTCCCTCCGCACAGTTCCCGCAGCTTCGCGTGATCTCACAGAGGGAGAGCAGGAGTGAATCCGGGGGCTTGCTTAGCCATTTTTTTCTGCAACGTAAGAATGCGTGAAAATAAAATGATAAGCTAGCGTATACTCTGGTCATCAAGGTATCACAGAGGGCCAGTACCTGGTCTTCTCTTAGGCTGGTGAGACGAAAACCACAACCATAGGCCCCGACTCAGTTTGACCTGCTTCTCAGTTACTTGCAGCAACACAGTGTTTTAGCCAGTGCACCGTCTTCTACTTGCTGAGTGTGTTTTCATTGGTTGGGTATGCTTGTCATTTAAAGTTCTCTTCCGATTTTTAGCCCTCCCGGTGTCTACTCTTGGTAGCCCATGGAGGGAACGCCTCTGTGGGGGAGGGCTAAGGGTTTCTCTTCTGCTGGCCTCTGTGCTCAGGTGTGTGGCAGGGGCACGTTGTGTGGCTCCTGGGGGTCTGCTGGTGCCCAGCACAATGGCATTGCTCATGTGGACGCTGGGATTGTGTTTTTTTTTTCAGGAAAAGTATCAGTGACTTCAGTGGCACTAAAAGCTTGCAAGGCTTATCACAAATGGCATATAATGAACAGATCTGCATCCAAAATTCTTTTGTAATTTTGCTGTCACTTTTTCCCCTGACTGATTGTTCTCAAAGAGGAATCTTAGGTGGTTTACAGAAAGTAATACGCCTGGAATTCACCCTTTTAACAACTGTTCACTATTAACAGTGACAAAAGTGTTTTTCATCCTGTGGTTCGTAAAGCAAATATCACGTGTATTATTGATTTTGTTCGCAGTACAGCCCAAGAAGGGTGTGTACACTCAGTGATGTGAATGTTGCCACACACAGGGAAAGCAGCAGAGCCGAGAGGGGCCTTGGTTCTTTTCATAGTATCATGTTGTCTTCTCTGATGGCTGACCAGGGGCAGCGCGGGAGGCCGGGGAGAACGCTCCTTGCTTCTGTGACTTGTTGTCCCATTCTGTAGTCTACATAGGAAAAAGCCCCATCACTAGGGCTTGGGAGAGATCGGGAGTGTGTGGATATCCCGTCGCCATGGCCAACTTGCATAATCCCTGTAGCCTCTGGTTTCTCATCAGCTAGCCAAGGATGAGATCCTCCTGCAGGAGTTTGTAAGAGGTGACACATGAGGTACAGTCTATAGATTCCCTAGAGCAGGGGCAGGCCCAAGAGTTTTCAGTCAGTCAAAGCAATTTAGTGTTCGTTCTGGGGGTGCTAAGAAAAGCCACCGATCCGGATCCCCAAGATGAGCAGTGCTTGGGAGGCCAGCGTGCAGGGTGAGGGAGCCCGCCCCAGTGAGGTTTGTCTTCATTGTGAGAGCAGGAAGCCCTGTGGCAGGGTTGTTTATCCCTGTGTGTGTTCCCTTGTGAGCTCTTGGGATTTGGGGAACTGGATGAAAACCAGCACTGTCCTGCTTGTCTGATGGCTATGTGACCAAGTAAGTCACCCCTACACACACACACACACACACACACACACACACACACACACACACCATGAAGTGTGATGCCGTGGCGTGAAGACCACTGGGCTCAGAGGGAGAAGTTCTGTCATAATTCCTTAGTAGGTCTTTTGACCTCTGGTTCTTGTTTTCTTCATTGTAAAGCAGATTCTATTAGCCCTCAGCTTTATCGCAGAGTCACTTGGTCACACGAGAGAGCTGTCAGTCGGGTCCCTGACGGGATGGAAGGCTCCTTCCTACAGCTCTCCTCCCTTTGTTAACATTGTTAGGACTTCTTCAAAGTGGCTGCTTTTTGTGTTGAATTTCTGCTCAACAGTTATTCTTAGGAGAAAACCTGACTCAGAAAAACTAACTACGCCGATTCGGTCATTACACTGCCTTCACAAATCTGTAAGAGTAAATGCTATTGGGTGAGTGCGTGCCTGGGTTCAGCTGGAGTGGGAGGAGATGCTTCATCTAAGCCAGAGTGGGCCTTTGCGTTTGCTTAGGACCGACTGTGGTCCCAGCACACTGCAGTCTACACCTGTGAGAGCCTGCCACTGACCTTCACCGTCAGCCTTCCCTGCCACGCCAGCTGTGTCTGTCCATCATTACCTGAGCCCTGTGTCCACGTGAATGTTAAAGTAGCTTTACCTGAGTTCCTGGGGGTGAGGCTGGGGTGGGGGGGGAGAATGGAGACATATCTATTATTGATTTTCAAGATTCTTATTTTGAGGATAATTATTTAGAGAAAACCATTGAAATTATCCCTGAATTATACTTAAAATACTCAAGAACCAAATCATATTACAGTTTTATCAACAACTTTGCTTGATTGCCAAAAATGTTTCTGTTCTTTGAAATAGTCTTAAACATCCTTTTCCTTTGTAACATTTTTCAAAAAATAAGCATCAGTGTTTCAACTGCTAAGTATTGCTGTCTCTTCCGCTCTACTAAATTGTAGGGAAGATTTAAAACTTCGATTTAAACATTTCAGTTGCTGAGTAACTCGCACTTACTGTACATGACTTATGGTTGTGGGTTCAGCATTCTGCTAAATTCTTTGACAAAAATTGCAGGACAAATAAATAAATAAATAACAGGAGTAAATCATAGTACTGTTCTTCAAAAAAAATTACGGTCTCACCTGAAGAGAGACAAATGAAATGTGGAAAGTCATGGTGTGTTCCTGGAACAGTATTGTTTTAGACTTGGTGTCAGTGTGACAGATGATTGAGGTTCAGTACAGTTATAAGAAAGACTTTATGGATCTGATGGAATTTGAATTCAAGTGGAGGTGAAAATGCATCTTTGTGTGCAAGCAGTACGAAAACATGTTCAGAGGGAAATCAAAGGTTTGGAAATTGATGGCTACCATGGTAACCCGAGGAGGGTGGAGTTTGCCTCCAACCAAACCCAGACCAGATATCTGGCGGAATTCTGGCAGGGGGACCCCCCAGGCTGTGAAACCACCATTGTGCCAATGAGGGGCACTGACCCAGATCCCCCCACCAAAAAGGACCAAGGAGACCCCTTTCCAGCTTCCAAGTCAAGGAGAGTTTATAAAGCCCCTTCCCTTCCGCACCCTTCCGCGCCCTTCCCCCGCAGCCCACTCCTTCATGTCTGACTTTCTGCTGCAGGGGAAGGGAGCCTATGACCGTGGTTCCTGATTTAAGGCCGTCTTTTTATATATTTGGCCGAGTTATTCTTTCCCTGGTGAGCGGCAAATCTAACAGAAATCATGTTTTGAAAATCATTAAAAAGCAACTAGCCTAGGAATTATGCACACACTAGCAAAATGTAAGTGATATAGTTGGATAAAACTTTAGTGCCAAGCTATGGAAAATTTTGAATTCCAGGCAGAAACTTTTAACTTAATAATAATGGAAAATATCTAATGTTTGGGCAGAGCAATTCAATGATTGGAGTAGTCTTTGAATAAAAAAAAAAAGAACTTGGATGATTCTTATGATATGTGGCGAAGAAAAAAAATAAAAGTGGAAGCAAGGTTATAGCCATCTTCCTGTAAGGTCTGGGAGTAGGGATGTAGGGATACAGTGATGAGGAATTAAAAGAGTGGCTGGATGAGAAAGACTCAAGTCGCCCGTGAGGGTAATGATGGTCAGGTGGCGTGAAGCAGTGGTTTGGAGGGTGGCGGGGGAAGAACGGAACCGCTCGCTTGGGTTGTGATGGTTTGTTTTGCTGAAGTGAGTGAGCTGCCTGGAAGGAGCAAGACAGCGGGGTGTGCTTCCTTGCAGGGCGCAGGAGGAAGGTTTCAGCTGGTCAGTGTGCGGCAGCCGCAGGACGGCAGCAGCTGAGTCCTCTTCCTCTTCCGTTATAGCTTAGCTCTTGGGAATGTCCCCGGCGGCTTGGCGGGCAGTCTCAGCAGTGATGAAGAGATGCTCACGCCAAGAGTGAGCCACAGGAGGCGTTCTGCTCCAGGTCCCAAAACAGGAGTGCAGAATTCCGAGATAAGATCTACGTGCCCTGACACAGGAACTTTCCTAACAACCACTGACTCACCGCTAGTCATGCCTCACTTACTCCATGTAGATTGTCATAATAAAACATATTACTTTTTGAGCAAGGCCATGTGTGCCGTTTGGCTTTCATTGGAAATGAGCTGCACTAGTACCTGCCACTGGTGTAATTTTTTATTTTCCTTCACCTTAGTAGAATGTTCGGCTTTCCAAGTGAGCCAACAGAACCACTTATCCATGAGCCTTTTTCCAACATGTTTTTAAAAGTCAGGAAGGTGCTTGTACTGTAAATAATACCGTACCCAGTGGGAGTGACTTAGAGTGAGGTTTCTCCAACAGAATGCATCCATAGTGACCTTGGATGTTGTACACTGTGGAAGATGCTACCTCACTCTAAAATGATGTCCAATCAGATTTTTCCAGCCGATAAATAACAACAATAAAAGGCATGTGAATTTTAGAATTGGATTTTGGATTATTGGATAAGAGGTCATGGCTCTATTATAATTTCACCAAGAAAGTGAATCCAAACTAGGACAGGGCTGAGGGGTACTTTTCAGAGGATCCTGCAGAGATGTTACAGGAAAGTCGTGTGAGGCTGAGGCACAGAGGTGGGATTGGGCTCAACCCCCAGGAGGAGCCCCAAGAAGGCCTGTGTCCCAGGTGCACGAACAATAATGATGGGAGACTGCTGCACGGACGTGAGCACACGGGGCTGGGGCTGTGCCATCCTGGAGCCAGCAGACTGCGTTTTCACTTCTGTTTCATCTGGAAGTCATTGTAAAGATGTTGGTGTGCTGCCAATTTTGTTTAGGAAACAGATAGTGGCACTAAGACTGTGGAAGGTGAACCCAAGTTAGGAGGCTGATGTGGAGCAGCAGGGAGGGAGCAGGGCAGCTGGATGGGGCTGGTCATGGTGGGCGAGGCAACTGACCAGGTCCTAAACGTACCCAGAGACAGAACCCACAGTGCTTGGTTTGGGGGTGTAGGCTAGAAAGAAAGAGGGGAAGAGAGTCTCCAAGGATAACCCCAAAGTGTTAATAGTGGTATGAACAGTGATATTATTTTCCAGAAAGGAAAGACTGGGGTAGCGGGGTAAAGTATGGGGTGCGGGGTAGGAAGGCCAGTGTGTGTGGGCTCAACTGCCTAATCCTCCACCATCCCAGTTCATATTCTGGCTGCTCCACTTCCCATTCAGCTCTCTGCTTATGGCCTGGGAAAGCAGTAGAGAATGGTCCAAAGCCTTGGGACCCTGTACCCAAGTGGGAGACCTGGAAGAAGCTTTGGGTCAGTTCTGGCTGTTGCAGCCGCCTGGGGAGTGGACCAGCAAAAAGAAGATCCCTCTGTCTATCCCTTTCTCTGTAAATCTGCCTTTCTTATAAAAATAGATAAATCTTAAAAAAAGGGGGTGGGAGAAGGGGAAGATGAAGGTGTTCAGGTGTTGAAATGGGAACCAAAAATGAGGAGTATTCTTTGGAGCTACTAGGAATTAGCTGATTTAGAATCAAAAGATTTAGATAGATATGTAGATGTGGTATTTAGACTATGTATATAGATATAGAGGTAGAGTATTTAGATATAGCAAGGGGATGCATGCCATGTAATAACAGCCACTGTTGACTGAATGACCGCAATGCTCTGTGCCCTCCTCCAGGTTCCCCGTGCTCCTTGCTGGTTGGGATTCTCCAGCAAATGGGTCACACCGTGGCTCCACTGTGCCCTCCTCCAGGTCCCCTGTGCTCCTTGCTGGATGGGATTCTCCAGCAAATGGGTCACGCCGTGGCTCCACTGACACTCTAGATTACAGAATGGAGACATCAAAAGCGTGCTATGTTAAGTTTGGAAGTGTGCTTCGTAAGCAGCAGAGCAAGTTTGAACACAGACCCTCTGCCTCATAGACTGACTGCTTTAACCATGTATTTTAAAAACTTCCAGCATAACAACTTTTCATTGTGAACTTATGAGCTAGGAAAGATGGTGAATGAACAAAATTAAGTGAAAAGAAAAATTTGGAAGATTTTTTTTTCCATTTTAACAGTCTTATTTTTCAGAGAGTTTTCTAGCTTCCTTCAGTTTTCTGTTCTTTGGAATTAAAAATGGTCTTGGTAAAAGATGTCTGCGTTTTTAAATGGGAAAGGTTATTCAACTTACACAAATTAGAAAACATCATTTTGTGTCTCCTCATCTTAGTGGTTAGCTTTTCTCCCAGTTTCTACACAAGGCCAAAAACGCCATGGGTATTTGGTTATGCTTTCATTTGATTGTATTATTTTTAAGATGCTTGTTGTTCTGTTTGAAAAGCAGAGACAGAAAATGAGTGATGGGTAGAGCTATAATGCATCCACAGATCCATTGCCCTACTGCTCACAAGAGGGTTGCCGAGGAAGTCGTGTGGGCATCTTGTGTGGGTGGGACAGGGATTTGCACTCTCAGCTGCTGCCTCCTGCAGTACGAGTCAGTGTGGATCTGGAATGGAGGTCCCAGAACCTAAACCAGGCACTAGGACTTGGTGTGTTAGTGATTTACCCATGGTGCCGAATGTCCACTCCTTGTTTGAATATTTTAAGTAAGAATAATCAGGGTTGTTGAAGGGTTCATTATCTTTGTACATCTAAAGCATTTGCCTGTGAATGAAATGCTGTTTTTTTTCACATGCTTTCAGATTGGGTTGAATTCAGTCCATATGAGATTGGCATGGCTAAATATGGCACATTTATGGCTCCTGACTTATTTGGAAGTAAATTTTTTATGGGGAAAGTTGTGAAGAAGTACGATGAAAACCCCTTGCATTTCTTGATGGGTAAGTCATCAAAATCTTTCGTAAATTTATCTGATTGTTTTGAACCAGTGTATTTTAAGTTATTCTTCCACTTTATTTTAGGCGTCTGGGGAAGTGCCTTTTCTATACTGTTCAACAGAGTCTTAGGAGTGTCCGGTTCACAAAGCAAAGGTGCCACGATGGAGGAAGAACTAGGTACGGTGAGAGTGTGCGTGTACGGATGAGAGCCATGCTGTGTTGGTATATCTTTGTGAAGAATATTCAGTCTTTACAAAGATTGTAATTATCTAAAATCCGTCAGTAATTTTGTTGAGTCAACTCAGTCAACTTGAATATCTCCCAAAAGTCATAGTGTAAGTTACTTGTAAGTTGTAGATTATGGAATTCCTAAAAATCATTCATTCCTGAAAATAATTTGTTCTGGGACATCTCCATTCCTTCGCCTTGCTCTATCTCCGGGCATGTTATTTTTGCTAGACAATATTTCTTTTATTAGACAAGGGTAATTTCTTAAAGATCAGCTTTATCAACAGTTGAGGAAAGTCTGACATTTAAAGATAAGTCCATGCTTGCCACTATTGGTTTGCCCCCTGAGTGCTTGCTCCGTAGAATTCTGTCAGCACTGCCTGTTTAATTCAAAGTACAAGCAAAATAATTCAGTCACCTCTAATAATCATTTATTTTGAATATTACTCATTAGCTCACAATAAAACATTTAAACTTGAAGCAAGTATGCGCACACAGCTGAGCACTGGTGATTTTATCCCTCAGTAAACCATAGCAACACTGATTTTCTTAAGTAAATAAATGCGATTGGCAGCTACACAGCATCTCCCGAATCCTTGTTCTCATTTGAATTGGTGGTGGGAGCAGTTGTAGAATGCTCAGTCTGGCTTTGCTGTTGAGCTCACAGGGACCCGGGAAAGGCAGTAGCTAAGATGGAGTGTCAGAATTCTACTTGAGAACAAAGAGACTCATGAAAAAGCAATGATGACATTTCCAAACTTAACTCATGTGAAGAAAGCATTTCTACACAAAGCTTGCTACAAGATTTTAGTATTCTGCCTCTGGGAATCATGGGGAGTGGTCATTGACAAAATTAAGCTTTCTATGCAAAAGAGAATGCATCATTTAGAGCACTAGAAGGCCCACAAACAACACTGCACTGCTCTGCCTCACAGCATGCTTTTGTTGCTGTTTGATATTATATTTGGTTCTTGCATTTAGTATAGTGAACTGCTACAGTCCTTGACATTTTTTTCCCAAGACTGTTTGTGTATTTTTGGACAGTTTTTGGCAAGTAAAAGAAAAATGACCTTATAATTTCATTTGAACCAAGGGTTCAAAAAATATTATATATATATATATATATGTGTGTGTGTGTGTGTGTGTGTGTATACTTACACTGTGACTTTTAGGAGATATTCAGGTGTATATACACACACACACACACACAAAAGGCACTTGGAAGTCTTGCTTTCTCCTGTGTCCCACGTGTAATTCTCCAGGCAGGCGCCTGTTGGGGTCCCCTTGGGCCCCTGTGGCCTGAGGCAGGCAGGCCTATTCTCTTATCTGGGACTATGATGGTGAGACACTCCCGCTGATGTATTTTTAATGAACTCTGTAGACACTCTAGACAGGGCAGATGAATGCCCCGTTCTCAGGTGCAGTGTTTTTGGAAATACTTAGCTCTTCTTTCCATTAGTCTGGAGATCTTGGAGGAAATACAAGAATGAGCGCGAAAGGAAAGAAGAGCTCCCGTTAGTTAGCAGGCCATCTTCGGTGCTCCTTCCCGGAGTAACCTGGCTAACTCGGGCTTGGTTCTGTTTTTCTCCTGAGGCAGGAAGAGAACCGGACTGAAATCCCACGTCGGAAGGTGGGTGGGCGAGACGTGGCTGAAGGCCAGCCTGAAGGAGCAGGCTTCCTCTAAAGGGTTTGGAGAAGCCTCCCCTGGGGGCCCAGTGGTCTGGCAGCCGCCTTCCAGTGCTCTGGAGATCCACTCCAGATGCGTTGATCATCAGGGTGTGTGTCCCCTGCAGAAAGAGGCCAGTGAGGACAGAGCGCCCTGAGCCTCGGCTGACCGCTGCCTGGAGGGTCCTCAGCGGGGCTTGTCTTCTCGTGTGTGTCGGACCCAGTGAGGCGAATCTCAGTCAGACTATTTACTTCAAGGAGTTCAAGCTGTTCTCTTGAAAAGATAACGCTGTGTGTTGTGAAGAATAGAGATGCCACGCTTAAGATTTCAGAATATGAAGCTGGCCGTATCATGACAACTTTCCAATAGAGAAGACACTATTATGTTGATTCATCTCTCAAATCAGAGTGTCCAATAAGACCAGATCAGAAAAAGGAAATATTTAAGCAAAGGCAAAATGCATTTATAAGCAGAAACTGCTTGGGAGTAGAACATTTGTAGTGGATCATCTCCCAGTATTTACACAAATTTAATTTTCATGCCCTGAGAAACTTGTCTTGCAGTGAGAAATGTGAAAGCACTAGTAAATCTAGATGTATCTTTTGGCTCCAAATTCACAGCAGTAGGTCACCCCGTCTCAGTCCGTGGCTGCATGAGAATGCTGAGTTCTTCACAGTACATTTAGTTATGAATTTGGACATCTGTGATGCCTCAACTGTTGTGTTTGATTTTCACAGAAAATATTACAGCAAAACATATAGTGAGTAATGACAGCTCGGATAGCGACGATGAATCACAAGAACCCAAAGGTAAGAGCCAGAAGCTCTGCTGGCTGGGGCTGGAGGGAAGATGGCTCAGGTCCTGGAGCAGAGAGTTGGCCAGCCCGGAGGGGAGATGGCCCAGGTCCTGGAGGGGAGATGGCCAGTCCCAGAGGGGAGATGGCCCGGGGCACTGAAAGGAGATGATGGTGCTCAGCCCACTCTGGAGTTGGGGCACGTTGTAACTTTCTAGGCGGAGATGGTTAGCATGGCTTGAGCAGCAAGATGGACAGTGGATTTAGCTTTCGTTTTCTTATAAACCTGTCTTTTTAGTCCCTTACAACCATCTCAGGGGAACAGAACTGAAATGGTGGATGTGTCCCTGAGGGGATGGGACGTCCCTGCAGGGACACTGTGACTTGAGGGACCTTTTTAGATGGCTTGAAGGATTAAACTTGCCTCCTTAGAACCTTGCTGTTAAGAAACATGTAAGTAAATATATTCTTAATCCATTCTTGAGCCTTATGTTCCGACCAGCCGCCTGCCTCCTCGGGAGAGACCAGAGATGAAGAGGGGACATTGATCAAGAGTGGACGTCGCATTTTATTTGATAGAGTAAATGAGCCATGTTTCCCCTAACGAGGCAGCTCTCAGAGTGACGCGTGTCGTCACAGTCAGCCATGGATTATCTGGCAATGCCTGAAACAAAATAGAGAGTTTCCTAGTTGGTACAATGTTGTAACATGACCATTTATCAAAATGTTTCCGGCAGTTAAATAAAACAAGATATAACTAAGCAAACAAAAAAAGGGAAGAGCATGCAGACTGAATTTTTTTTTTCTTCGTGTTTTATCTAATCAACAGCGACATAGTTTATCTGTTGGCTGCTACCGTTCGGCCTTGCCATTTTCAAGTGTATCATCAGGAGTCAAATGCTCTGTCGGTACAGCGGGGCTTGTTGCATAACTGTCAAAACAAGAAATCCCGACTCTGGAAACAGCTCAGTGCCTTATTCATATCCTGTATAAACAGGGAAAAAAAATCACTCATTTTATGCCTAATCTGTTGTAGTGAAAGCTTTGTCATGTTTGGCATTAGCAAAGTGTGGGAGAAAGAAATAAGAATCCTTTCGGTGATACGTAACCATCTGGATTGAGAGCCCTTCCCTCACTCAGCAGGGACCAGCTAATGTTTGTCGGGTGGAAGTCGGCATTTTCTATGGCTTTATGCATGTTCAGTTTAGATGTGTTGGAAATGATGAAGTTCGAATGTCGTTTCTCTTTTCTCACTTTAGTACACACACACACACACACACACACACACACACACACATGCATGCACAGTTCTTTTGCAAGGACACATGTGCATATGCAAGTCAGGACAGGCGAGGTGTAGACAGAGCGGAAGATGCCAGCTCCGTGTTCTCTGACTTAGATTGTGAATGCAGAGTGCTGAAGGGGGTGGCTACTGCTGCCACCACTGCCCTTGCTTCTACTGTTGGGATAATAAGGGGAGAACTGAATGCAGGTCACCACGTTCTGAGAACTTCCCTTATACATGTGGGTCCCCAAACATGGTCATCCTCGGCGGCAACCCTGTGGAATGTGCGGAGCAGAGTGAAGGGAGAGGAGCGAAGGACTGCCCAGCGTGGTGAGGGGTTCCCGGGACCCGTGCCCCGAGACAGCCCTGCGCAGCCTCCCCGCGGTGCTTTTGGTGGGTGACTGCCGAGTTTCACATTGTGTGGCTGTTGTTAAGTGCAGGTTTTAAAGCCACGTGCTTTGTAAGTTAGAGTGAAATGCTTACTGAGCAGCAGATACAGGCTGAATCCTTTAACGGTCTCTCCCACTATTATGTGGTTATGGGATGAATATATAGAGGATAAAATTGACTACTGGAGATTTTTCATCTGTGTGTGCTTACATGAAGTCAGAAAAAAGGAAAAAAATTGTCTGGGGAAGGGAAAATGGGAGACGTTTATTTGGAAATCTAAGAACAGACAGATAGCAATGTGAAGAACATGAGCTCCACAATGTCCTTAGCCAACAGGTCAACCAAGAACACTACGAAGACAAACAGCTGGGGCTAGTGTGGTGGTGCAGTGGGCTAATCTGCTACACGCAACTCACAGGCACAGGTTTGAGTCTTGGCGCTCTACCTTCACCCAGCTTCCTGCTAACGTGCCTGGGAAGCCGCAGACCATGGCCCAAGTGCTTGGGACCTGCCCCTCATGTGGGAGTTGTGGAAGAAGGTTCCTGGCTTCCATCTGGTCCAGCTCCAGATCCTATAGTCATTCTGGAGAGTGAATCAGGAAGATTCTCTCTCTGCCTCCCTGTCTCTGTATCTCTCTCATATAAATCTTTTAAGAGAACACAAATGCTTAATGCAGATATCAACTATGTTAACTTATTCAGATAAACATACCTCCAATCAAAAGTCATGGAGCTTCATGGTTCCTTTTAAAATTCGGTGACCCAGGGCTAGTGTGTGGCGGAGACTCAGACTAAACCTGTGGCACTGACATCCCATGTAGGTGCCAGTTTAAGTTCTACCTGCTCCATTTCCGATCCAGCTGCCTGCTAACGTGCCTGGGAAAGGAGCAGAGGATGACCCAAGGCACCTGTACCTATGTGGGAGGCCTGGAAAAAGCTCCTGGCTCCTGGCTTTGGATTGGCTCAGCTCTGGTCATTGCTGCTATCTGGGGAGTGAACCAGTAGATGGAAAAAATCTCTCTGCTCTCTGTGTAATTCCGCTTTTCCAATAAAAAGAAATAAATCTTAAAATAAAATTCAGTGATTCAAAAGAAGATATTTTTAAAATGTGTTATGGATCCCGCCCAATGACCTTTTCTTTCTTCTTAGGCACTGAAAGTGAAGAGGCAGAGAGAGAATACCAAAATGACCACCAGGCCAGCTGGGTGCATCGCATGCTCATGGCCTTGGTGAGTGATTCCACTTTATTCAACACCAGAGAAGGCCGCGCAGGGAAGGTGCACAACTTCATGCTGGGCTTGAATCTCAACAGCTCGTACCCGCTGTCTCCTCTACGGGACTTCAGACAGGAATCCTTTGATGAAGATGAACCGGACATGGTCGTCACAGGCAAGTGCGCCACCTGGAATCCGTCAGGCCGATTCTAGAGGGTTACCTCTTCCCTGGGGAGAAACATTTTCGTTATTATTACCACTTTTTCTTAAATCCTAAGTTACAGCAGCATACATTGAATGTGTGAAGGAGTTCAAGTAACTGATCAGGAGGGAGGGACTGTTTTGAAAAGTTATTCTGAGCAGGGACTGGCTTAGTCGTGCAGGGATAGAAAGGACTTCCACCAAAGCACTAGGAGCGTTCTTAGATTCGGTGTTGATCAGGGTTTGCTTGCACAAGAGAGTAAGCTGCCCCACTTAGCTGCAGAGGGTTTCCAGAGGGAACTGGATGTTTACAAAACTGTTCCAAGGCCCAGAGGAGAGAGCCATGGGCTGGGCTTCCAGGAATGCCTCCAGGAGCCAAGGTCTGCACCACTGAGCCTGGCAGCAGCAGCAGCTGCACCGCCTAGCTCGCTGCCTCCTTGGGTCTCCTGCCAGGGTGTTTGCTCTTGGCAGAGCCAGGGCTTGGCAGAGCTGGAGCTCAGGGCGGGCAGAGCCAGGGGTTGGCAGGGCTGGAGCTCAGGGCGGCCAGTCTGTGTGCTCCAGCCACAGTGCGGGACATCGGGCGAGCAGCAGAGGAGCCCTGGAGCCCGGGCGGCCAGCCACACAGTCCCTCAGGTGGTGGACTCCGCACCCGGACCTCTTGGGTCCTCAGCGAGATGAGGTAGCTTTCTTAAAGCTGCTCTTTATGATCCTTGTCACTTAGCCACCTTCCCAGGGACATTTCCCTTAATGCTTCAGCTCCACCTGTGCCACAGGACAACACTGCTGCTTGGTGGCTAACCTGACATTTCCCTCCTTCAGCAGCCCTTCCTCTTTGCTCTGCTGTCCGTCATTTCTGGCCAAGGACCCTGGGAGGAGACCATCTAAGCTTAAGTGAGACATGTCCAGAATAAAAGCTTTGGACTGACCTTTGTGCACAGTGCCTGTAAGCTATTTGTGAAAGTTAGGTCATGGCTTTCAACTTCATGACACTTTTGGCGGCACTGTTTCTGTGCTGCTTGGCCTGAGAGGGAATTGCTGGAGTGGAAGTGACTCATGCTGCTTGCCCAAGGTGAGCACAAAGCACAGTCCACCTGGCGTGACAACAGTGACTTCAAACTCCAGGACACGAGGTGCGTCTTATTGTGCACTCGCACTCCTAGCTCACCGACAAGCACTGTGACAGAGCTCTGGTGGAGATAAAATCCATCCAAAACAGATACACTCTGCCAGAGTCAGGACCTCACTGCAGCTGCCATTGCGCTAGCCGCTGCCTAGGCCTCCACGGACCTGAGCTTCTCAGATGGCAGGTGGTGGGCTTAGGGAAACACAACAACAGAAAGATCCTCCTGTTATCTCACGAAAAAGAGAGCTTAACAAGATGGTCCTATCTTCTTTGCCCAAAGTCACTCCGTGGGATTGGGGTTGGGACATACCCTCCTGTTGCTTTCCCTTCGCCCTGGGTTTTCTTAGTCATTGCCACGATGATGTAAGCATGGAAGTTTTCTTTGTGTACGCTCTGTTATATCTGTTTCGTGCGATTCTTTTGATTGCCTCATCCAGCACTGCTCCTCTGTGGCTTACACAGCACGTGTTCTGCATTCCGCCTTTTAACAATTTCCTGGTAGTTTTGCAATATTTTATGTTGATTTGTTGCTATCTAGATTGCCATGTGAAATGCAGAATGCCCAATGAAATTTGAATTTCAACCAACATCTGTATCCTACCCTATACTTGTGTATAGTGTAGATACATGTATTCCTTGCAGAATTTGAGATGTACTTACACTGAACAACTGTTTGTTGATTGGAAAGTCGAATTAAACTAGGAATTCTCAGGTTTTATTAGTAACATCTGGCAGCCCTGGGGAATTTTCAGCCCCATTAGTTGCTTTCGGATTGTTGTACATTTTCATCTCCTGTCTTTTCCTTGTGTGCTTGAGCTCTCAGAGTATGTCCAGTGCATTTGCAATGTACTAGACCCTTGGTTCCAAAGACGGTCTCTGTACCTTCACGAGGGTTGAAGCAATCTCATGACTCCTCCTATGAGCTTTTATTCATGTGCTTTAGTGAATCATGGCAGAAAGATAGGGAGAATGGAAGCCAGCAGGCTGGTGCCCGAGGGGCTGTGGCTCAGCGGACAGAGCTTCAGCCAGGCTCTCACTGTGGACGGACTGGGTGACTGTCAAGGTTCTGCCCACTTTACAGGGCTTGGGGAACACAGGCTTGCACGGTACCTAGTTGAATTCTTTCAGCAAGAAGAGTTATGGATGGAGTTTTAAAAATAACGTGAAGAAATAGAAAATATTAATTGTCCCAAAATGTCGTGTTAAGCAGACTATCTCTTTTGTTAAGATACTTTAATCTTCATAAACAAATTTAACTTTTATTTATAAGTGTATATCTCACTAAAAGTTGCACTTTGCACACTTCATATTTATCCAATTAAAAATGTTTATGGGGTGTTGATTTCACTAACTGTGTGCATCAGTTTTGTTGTTTACACAGCAGCTTTGCTGTAAGTCACTTTCAGGCTGAACTTACGGGATCGGGCGGTGCTTCCTCGCACGGGACCCCACTGGGCTCAGCCTGTTCACCCCGCCCTGCTTGTTTCCCGGTCTTCGGGCATCCGTTGTTTGTAATGGGACTTGCAAGGTGTGTCACAAGCTGAGATCATTTCAGTTCATAAAGCCTTTATATAAGAATTCCCACTTCTTTTGCAGATAAAATGCCCCAGTGTATTAAATCATTAAAGCAAATTTTCTTTTGATTTTGGACACCCTCTTGTGTAAACACAGAGTTAGAAACTTTAAATATTATGTTTCTAAAAGTTATATTTTAGTTTGTGGCAGTCTTATTCATAACAAATTAAAATCTGAGTATCTTAGCATCAGAACAATCAATCTGAAATGAGAGAAAGTTGTACTGTTTTTGTACTTATTGCTTCATCTTATGGACTATATTTTGTAAACAAGAGAAAAGAGATAAAATCCCCCTCATTAGTTTGTGGCCAAATAGTTTTATACCTGTAGAAACTAATTTTGGAAAAGCTCTCTGTTAGTTATACGACCTCCTTCCTGTTTACTTCTGTGTTGGTGTGATTTGCTGTGACACACCGCAGCTGGAATCAGAGAGCAAGGCATGAGCTACCTTCGGCCAGAGTTCCAAACACAGACATCCAGATGTTTGTCTGTTGTAGACTGAATCTGTGTGATGTGCTTAGGAAATGACTATTGCACAATCTGCAGCTAGTGGCCTTAAGGAAATGCTACATAGCTCTAAGACAGTTGTGTTTCCAGGCCTCTCCGTGAACCCCATGGGTTCGTTTACAAGTTTGGAGACTTTGCATACTTTAAACTACTTCTACCCTGGCACTTACCCAGTTTCCTAGACATTTCAGCACTCCTTGTTACACAGTGAACTGAGTTCACAGTGAATTTGGAAAAGCAGAACTCTGCTCTGCTCTTCACAAGGCACTGCCCTGCCCCCTTGAGCTGAGTCCCCCTGGAACTGCGTCCCCCTGGAGCTGAGTCCCCCTGGAGCTGAATCCCCCTGGAGCTGAGTGCCCCTGGAACTGCGTCCCCCTGGAGCTGAGTCTCCGTGGAGCTGAGTCTCCGTGGAGCTGAGTCCCCCTGGAACTGCGTCCCCCTGGAACTGAGTCCCCGTGGAGCTGAGTCCCCCTGGAATTGCGTCCCCCTGGAGCTGCATCCCCGTGGAGCTGAGTCCCCCTTGAGCTGAGTCCCCCTGGAACTGCGTCTCCCTGGAGCTGAGTCCCCCTGGAGCTGAGTCCCCCTGGAGCTGCGTTCCCCTGGAGCTGAGTCCCCCTGGAGCGAGTCCCGCTTGAAGGTGCCTTGGGTGTGGCACTTTGCCAGCTGGGACTCCCTGGCAGTTTGCTCATGGCGTGATGGTGGCGGCCCCTCGCCTTCAGTCGCCGTGAGGACCAGGTAGTGTTCTCAGACCCTCACTGGCTGGTGCTTGGGGCTCGTGAGTCTTGGCTTTTCTGCATTTGTTTGATTATGGCACTCTTACTTTGGATACTGAATATGCTTTTACAACTTGACAAACTATGCTTCTGTCACACATCTAGCAAGCATCGTTTATTGTCAACTTGTCCTGAAGTTGGGCCACTGTACTGAAGTGAGAATTGGGCCATGTGATAAAAACAAGCTGTTCAACCTTCTAGTTTTTATTTTTTTTTTTACAACAGTGCGTGCTGTTTGGGATTGGAGAGCTTGCTCGGAAGTGCTGGTGTTGTGGCACAGCATATTCCACTCGGCTGCTCCACTTCTGATGCAGCTCCCTGCTGATGCGTCTGGGAGAGCAGCAGACGGCCCAAGGCCTCGGACCCCTGCACCCACGCGGGAGACCTAGCTGTGGCTCGGCCCAGCCATTATGGCCATGTGGGGAAGAAAACCAGTGGGTGGAATCTCTTTCTTTCTCCCTGTTTCTCTGTAAATTTGCTTTTCACAAATAATAAATATTCACTGAGAGGTCACATCCCAGTCACAAACTCCTCTGCTACCACAGTAGGCATACCCTGTGCTCTGTCAGCCTTCTTACCAGATGGAGAATGAAGAGCGAGTTTGTGGAGCAGCACATAGAGCAAGGCAGGTGCATGGCACTTCAGTGGGTTCCATCTGGTCACACTCCTTCCCCCGCGAAGTGAATTAGGAGCGGTACACACGGGGTGTTCTGTAGTGCATTATTGGCATTAGTTTTGCATCATGTTGTGGGAGCAGCACATCCTGTTTTAGTTTGCTCTCCACTCATCTCAGTGCTGCCTCCCGTGTCGCCACCTCGGCTTTATTAAACTTAGAATATTATTCCTCCCATCAGCGCTTGTGCTATCTCCTCTCTCTGCAAGCCTTTCCAGCACCCCAAATCCTAGACAGCTGTTCTGTGTCGGGAAGATTTTTGTATCAGCACATTGTAAAAGCTCAAGCGTTCCTCCTTGGAGAAGATGCCCCAACTGTGTAACTTAAGTTCTTCCTTATCGTGCCTTCCTTTGCTGCTGTGTTGTGACTGCCTTCATTCATTGGCTTATTGGTGGTGGAGCTAGAATGCAAGCTCTTCCGGAGGCCTGTCCCTCTCCGGCTTGCTCAGTGCCCCAGCTGTTACACCTGCAGAGCATCTCTGGGTGTTGGCTGTGTTATGTTCACTCCTTCCCCAGTAGCAGCCTCCAGCCAGAGAGAGGTTGCGTGGGTTTGTTCACCCTCTGCCACCCCCTGTTATGCCACCTCAGGGGTGACTTCTGACTCCTTTCCTGTGCCATCTGTAGCTCTCCTCTGCCTCACCCATGTTCTGCAAGGAGGTGTGCTTGATGTAAATGAGAAGTACTCTGAAAGGGATCCTAGGTAAGACTTAATACCAAGACCAGATCTAAGCATTCATTGCATTTTTCTCTAACACTCACTTGAGGACTTTTATCCTGATGTTACAGATGGACAAACTAAGGCTGGGAAATAAGACTCCACTGACATCTGTTGGACTCGGGCCCAACTTGCTTTGTCTCTGCAGCCTGAGAATTCTGACTCTTCAATTATAGCCAGCATTTTTTTTTCTTTAATGCTGAGTAAGGTCACACAATCATCTCATTCATTCTCATGTTCCTTCCTGTTTAGATCCTGATGAATTTGAACGAATATATGAACCCTTGGATGTGAAGAGTAAAAAGATCCATGTGGTAGACAGTGGGCTGACATTTAACCTGCCATACCCCTTGATTCTGAGACCCCAGAGAGGGGTTGATCTCATCATTTCCTTTGACTTTTCTGCAAGGCCGAGTGACACGAGTCCGCCGTTCAAGGTAGGAGGCCTCACGTGGTGTTACTCTGCCACCTCCTCGCGCTCTCCTCGCAACGCTCTTGGTTCCTTTTGACCCCAGTTCCTTACCTGGTCTCTGCAGCACTTCTTTCAGGAGTAGTGTGATTGATTCATGCTCCTAAACAAAGCTGTGCTTGTGAGAGTCTAGGGAATGCAATGACGTTTGGAACCAGAATAAGTCAATGGATCTGAGATTTAGAAAGGAGGCAGGTGGGCTAAAATTTGAAAGTTAGTGGAGACACCAAAGCTGCCCAAGGGGAGAGTGAGCTCTGAGAAGTCGGAAGGACAGGACTGGGAAGGACAGGCAGGTCCAAGGGCAAGGAGAACGTGAAGCCAGCGTGTGGCCTTGGGATGCACGAGGAAGATGTTCGAATCTGAAGTCAGGAGGGTGAACTCACACTGGGGGGGCTGCAGAGATGTGAGAGCTAAAGCAAAGGGAGGCGCGTTTATGGATTGCCCAGGGAAAACGCCATCCCACCGTCTGTGAGCGGAGATTGGGAAGCAGAGCGCGGTGTGTGTGGTGGGGGTGGGCTGCCGCTCTGCAGCCTGGCGAGGCTTCAGTGCAGGGGTGTGGGAGGCAGGGGTGAGGGGACTGTTACTGGAAAGCAGAGACAATGCCACGGGAGGTTGTCACACTCCTGGGAAGGCTCCAGGGGAGGCAGCCACCAGCATGCAGGTTGGAAGTCATCTGAAAGCATGGGGGTCTGAAGTGGGCGGAAGAGCTGGGTGTGGACATCCACTGTCCGACGCAGAGAAGCACTGGTTTCATGTCGCAGTGATCCCTCTGGGTGAGGGTATGAGGCAGAGTTCTAGAAGGGCCGTGGAGACAGAGGGCGGCACACACCTACCTCCTGGCTTCCACATGTGCAGACACAGTGCGTAGGCTTGAGTCCATCTGTTGGGTGAGATTTTATGGTTTTTAAAATATATTCTGTTTGCACTGTCTGTAAACCCGGGAATCAGAATGTGTGTGTGTAAGGGGTAAGTGTTGGCTGAAATCTGAGCACAGAGGACGTTTCTGGCAGGTGAGTGGATGATGTGCTGAGGGAACATAGCGTATTACACACATGACAGAGACAGAAACAGAAAGGCAAGGAGAGGGTCGAGCTTCTGCCGCCCGGGATCCTGAGCTCTCGGGCAGCACTGCTCTCCATGCTAATCATGTTGGTTAACTCTTCCATGCATGTACATTCTCGGGATGTGTTTGTATTTGATGGGTTTGAGGTTGGTTGTGATTTTCAGGTAAGTGTTGGTGAGGTCAGGTTTCATGAACAACTGAAGTAAAATTTGTCTGGTGCCATGGTGTGGTGGGTCAAGCCTCTGCCTGTGGCCCTGACACCCCCAATGAACTCTAATCCAGTGCCCTGCCGATGGCCTGGGAAAGCAGTGGAGAATGCATGGGGTGTGAACAAACAGATGCAAGATCTTTCTTTCTTTCTGTAACTCTCCCTTTCAAATAAAATAAGTCTTTTTTGAAAGTCTCATAACATTAAAAAAAAAAAAGATTGTGAAATGAGCCGAGTCATGTCTGGCTGGAGGTGAGGAGGGAGAGTGGCGGGGACTGATTCCAAGGCTGCAGCAGCAGCACCTGCTGCCCTCCTCCAGCTGCCCGCTGGCTGCCCCATCAGGCCGTGCCCTCTCCTGTGCTGGCTGCAGGGGCAGCGCATGGGAAGCTGCTTCCTAGGCTGTAGGTTTTACCCATTTCCAGGGAAAAATATTTTTACCCGCGAGAATCACTTGAAAGGAAACCGAGACACTGTTAAGTAACCATTGAGGGTTCTATCAATTATATGCCTTATAGATTACCTGAGAATTCACTGATGCTTCCCGGGGTCCATGAACTTGGATAGTCAGTGATCTAGGCAGTGAGCAGATGCACAGGCCCTAGGGTGATCTGATTAGAGGTGACAGATGGTCACTCCCATTTGGCCAGCTTCAAGGGAGCCTTTGAGGCCGAGTAGGGACAGGGAGTCAAGAGGAACTGGATGGTTACCAGCAGACAAATGACTTTAGGAACTTGGAATTTTTGGATGATTAATCTGGCCGTGGACTGTGGGGCGAGTTGGAGGATGGAAGGCACAGGGTCATGATGTCCTGGTCCAGGTGAGTGGCTGGGAATGCCAGGCAGAGCTGATGGCCCACGAGGAGCAGTGGGAGGACGGCTTGCCCAGGGCACTGTGAGAGGCCAGTGTAGGAGCTGGCTTGAGCTGGAGGGCGGTCAGAGGCCCTGGCCGTCCTGTGCGTGCGAGAAGCACACTCCCTCAGTGAGCTCACCCCAGAAGAGGGTGGGGCCTCTCCCTGGACACCTCTCTGAGAAGCATTAGCTTACTGCCGTCTTGCTGCTTTTTTAATATAATCATCAACATGGCACATGGCTTCTTTAAAAGATATATTTTATGGAAAGGCAGAGTGACAGGGACAGGAGGAAACGGAGAGAGAGAGATGCACCCTAGATGGTCACAGTAGCCAGGGCTGGGCAGGACTGAAAGCAAAAGTCTACTGCTGAATCTGGGTCTGGCCCAGGAGGGCATGGACCCAGGCACGTGTTCCACACTCAGCTGCTCTCCAAAGTATGTTGGCATGGAGCTGGATGGAAAGCGGAGCAGCCAGGACTCCAGCCAGTGCCCCAGTATGGAAGGCTGGCCCCACAGGCGGCAGCTTAGGCCACTGCACTGCAACCCTGGCCCTGAGCAAGTATCCCAGGTCACATGTTATGTTCTTCCAAGGTTGGCAGCTAGTTACAGGGCATTGTGTGACTTTGAGTTTAAAAAAGCCCCAGTCGGCTTTATGGAAAAGCAACACCAAGTTACCTAAGTAAATTCGATGTTTATTCTGTGCATTTGGACTACCATTTTGTGGGATTTGCCTTTATGATTTAAATAAATGAAACGGCACAGAATATTGTTCCTGTCTGTGCTCCAGAAATGTGGCCTCAATGAGTCTGCGGAAACATGAAGTTGCGTGGGTGTTGGAGATCAGCCCAGGTGGGCGGTTAGGATAGAACACTATTTGTGGCATGCTATGTTTTTTTTTCACTGCATTTTAAAAAATATATATTTTTTTATACTTGGGGCTTTAGTCACAGAGAAGAGCAAGCCATGAGAGGGGAGGCAGGTTTTCCAGCACGCAGCCACTGCTAATCTTTTCCACCTTGGGATGGCAGCAGGAAAGGGAGAGTCCCCAGCCTCCCTCAGCCCCGTCTCCCAGCAGCCCAGCCTGCACTTCCTGTCTGCTTTCCCTCTTGCTCCACAGCCGTGCACGTCACAGGCCCCCCCTGAGTCATGTTTGCAAAAACTGGCAGGCTCACTCAGGCAGCACTCCACTCTCTGAACTTTTGCTTTTATTCAGGCGCTGAATAATCGTGAATGAATGACCCTGCACAGTGTAGACACGAAATGACCAGCTGAGTAACTCAGCCAGATAGATGGGGGAAGCATCAGGGGGGAATTAAGGACAAAAGTGTTCTCAAGTTTCACATAAGAGATTATTCACATGTGTGTGGGATTTTTCACTTACCTTTTGGCCTCAGGTTGTTTATTTCTTGGTAAGGGATGCTGGGCGAGACAGATAATCAAGTTAAAATTCATCATGACAGAAGCGTCAGGAGTGGCGCAGCGTGAGTGAAAACTTTTTTCCTCTGAGTTTAAGACACCATGGTAAAATCTGCCTTTTTTTTTCTCGCCTGGACTTCAGTTATTGAGATGTTTCCTTCAGTCCTCATGGCAGTCCTAGGAAGAAGGCAGGACTGTGAGCTTGACTTTGCAGAGGCGGGGGCTGGGGGGCTGACAAGGGACGGTGGGGGTCCGCGATGGGGGGCCAGGGAGCCGCTGTCTGGCGGTGGGGACGGCCAGTCCCTGTGTGTTACGTCGTGTGACCCCCGTGTTGCTGAAGGGACAGGACCACTGGACACACAGCACGGCATCTGTGTTCTAGCCTCTGTCACTCTCAGACCCTTGCCTGACTCCAGCCACAGCTTCCCTCTCACGCCTAGAACAGAGTCTGAAACAGTTGAGCAGAGGGCGTGCAGGAGGCTGCGAGCCCCATGACACCTGCAGTGTGCCCGTGGCATTTATCATAGCCTTAAACATGCAGTCAGTTGGCCTGCATGCTCTCATGTGTCACCGTGTGAGCTTGCTTCAGTCCCTGGTATGTGGGTCCACGGGAGGCTAAAAGCCACGGGAAGACCTGAGGTTCTAGCCCTGCTCGCTCACATGTCCTCTCTCCAGGATTTTCCATCTCTCTTCCTTTTCCCTCTTTCCCTTCACATTCTCCCTTCTTTACTGCTGTACATTTATCCAAAGTTGTGTGGTTCTTGATCAGCCCCGTTGTAAATACCATCCAATGTTGATTTAATCTCTTTGCAGTTCTGTGATGCATGTATCGTTCCTATCATCTGTGCTTGAGGGTGTGGAATGTGGAGCACTGAGTTAGGAATGTGCCCAAGGCACCAGGGCCTCCTCGCCATGCCTCTCCACTTCAAGTCCTCCAGCACTGATCTGTGTGTGTGTGTCTGCATTGAGTTAGTCAGCTTTAATACAGTGGCAAACCTCATGGTGGTCGATGACAACACATATTTCTTGGCCATCTACGTGTCAATCCACTGCAAATCAGCTACAGTGGCCCTTCTCCTATGTCTCTGTTTCGGGAGGGATGCACAATCCTCTTACCTGGAAGGCAGCAAGAGTAAAAGGGGTTGGACCACCTGCCCCCATCCTTCTGCTCAGCCCTTGCTCTGAGCATCTGGTCCACGTTGGGCTGCTGCATGTGCAGTAGAAACATGCCGGGGTAGGTGCTCAGGGCAGAGCTTTGGTCTCAGGTTGGAATGCTTGGACTCAGCTCCCGGCTCCTGATCCCAGCTGCCTACTGCTGCGTGCTGTGGGAGGCAGCCGGCAAGGTTAAGGCTCCGGTCCTTGCCACCTATGTGGGAGTTGTAGGCCCAGCCTCAGCTACTGTGAGCTTGCTGTGGGGAACCAGCGGATGAAAAATCTTGCTGTTTCTCTCCACTCCCCTTCTTCTCCACCTCTACCCCTTTATAGAAACACGCTTCAACATGCCAAGGCCAGAATCTTGACTTCATTTCATGAACAGAGTCACAAAAGCTGACTCAGTGTCACTGAATAAATACAAACAGTGAGTTTTAAACTAATGCATTTTACCTTTCTAAGACCACTTTGGTGAGATCTCAGCGCCAGAGGTTCTTCACCCTGCGTCATCAGAGTTTTTATATTCCTAAGGGTTAAAAAGTGGTCATTCAGTCACAAATCCCCTGATCCCAAAGTATTTCCTCAAGCAGTGCCTTCAGCTGAGTCTCATCAATTTGAACCCATCAATGATTTCTCAAAGGCTTCTTTGGATCTCGCTAATTAACATAATGATAGTGAACTTGTTTACAAGAGTACTTAGATAAGTTTTGAGACTGATTAAAAAAAATTTAAAGATTTAGTTATTATTCCAAAGGCAGAATTAAAGAGAGGTAAAGGTACAGAATGAGGAAAAATGTCCATCTGTTAGTTCACTTCCCACATGGTCATGATGGCTGGGGCTGGGGCAGCCTGAAGCCAGGAACCTAGAAGTCCATGTAGGTCTCTTGTGTGGATGTAGGTGTGCAAATACTTGAGGTGTCTCCCACTATTTTCCCAAGTGTATTAACAGGAAGCTGGACTGGAAGTGGAGCAACAGGACTTGAACAGGCACTTTTGTAGGGTACTTGTGTTGTAAGCAATGGCTTAACAAGCCACATCACAACACCTGCCTTGATGAGTTTCTAGAGATCAGGACTGCGTGCACCCTAGCAAGCAGCCCACTACCTCCAGGTAGTGCCAGCAGGTGCTGGATGGTGGTTTGGACAGCTGAACAACTGAAGACTAAAATTCATGAATGCGAGTTTCTTCTTCTCCCACAGGAGCTTCTACTGGCAGAGAAGTGGGCTAAAATGAACAAGCTGCCCTTCCCCAAGATCGACCCTTACGTGTTTGATCGAGAGGGACTGAAGGAGTGCTATGTCTTTAAACCCAAGAATACGGACGTGGAGAACGACTGTCCAATTATCATCCACTTTGTTCTGGCCAACATTAACTTCAGAAAGTACAAGTCTCCAGGTATGCTGAGAATCTGTTCTATCCCACAGAACAGAAATCTGGGAAGGAAGCGGGACTCTTATTAAACTGTCTTGCATTGGTAATGCAAAAGCTGTTATCATAGCAAAAACAGCCTTTACCTAGAGAAATGGCTGCTGTCTTCAGACTTCCAGCAACACAAAAACTGAAGTTAACAATTGGCTTAGCAGAGGTCTCTAGGGCTTTATAACAAGACTTTGGATTATGTTTATTTTGATTGGTTGTGATCTTTGTCAAAGTTACGTTAAATATTTTAAATATCACCCTTGTAGGAGACCTTTTGTTCCAGAAAAAAACTATGCAAAGATACCCTGGAAATTTTAACTGGATGCAGGATTTATTGAGTTTAGCTCTACAACATGGCTAGCCATTAGAGGTCGCCATATCGTGTTTCAAAGAAAATGAGGATCAAGTTCAAAGAATAGTCATTCTGTTTTACCAAGTCCTGCCGAGTCTGTTGATTCTTATCCTGGAGGATGGCGGTGAACAAAAGGAAATCTATTGACTGCTAGGGAGGATGTTCACGACTCTAAAATCTAACTGCAGTGCTGGAAGTGCAGATTTCCATTTGGTGAATGGAAAGACACACACGTGTGCACGCACACACAGTGCACGCACATATTCATGCAGTATTCAGTGAAGGTGCTCTGGGGCGAACACAGAGAACAGAATGGTCTTGTTGTCTGAAGACACAGGGTGGCATGTCTCAAGAGGAGGCTCCCTGGGCAGTTGCCCCATACAGGGGATTTCTGGGGCATTATTAGATAAAACATTAGGTAATGTTTTGGTTTGTGTTCTTCCAGGAGAAGCGTCTTAGAAAAGGATTTAAGTGTAAATAGCTTATTTGGGTGAACCAGAGAGCTGACTGGCTTATGAGTCAGGAAGAAAGGGGGACGGCACTGGCTCCCCTGGTGGAACTTGCCCCTGCTGGGAAATTCCAGGAAATGGAGCAGAACCTGTGTCCCTCCTTCTCCAGCACACCCTGCAGAAGCCCAGGCTGGGATGGAGGGACAGGCTCCCTGCTGCCTGGTCATCTGCTGCCTGGGGCCACAGTTTTATTTAGAGGATTTTACAAGCAGCCTCTACACCTGTGGGGAGCCTCCCAGGCCGTCAGGCCCAGACACACAGACCCTGTCAGGCCCTAGTGTTCCTGGAAGAGCACCCAGCACTGCCTTCTGGGCAGCAGGCCTGGGGCTTGCTGGCCAATCAGATGTTTCTCCCCAAGGATTTTAGAGATATGTTATAATTATCAAAGTCATACTATCTGTCTCTTCTGGTCCCTTAGGTGTTCCAAGAGAAACAAAAGAAGAAAAAGAAATAGCTGACTTTGACATTTTTGATGACCCTGAATCACCATTTTCAACCTTCAACTTCCAATATCCGAATCAAGCATTCAAAAGGCTGCATGACCTGATGTACTTCAACACGTTGAACAACATCGACGTGAGTGTCCCAGGCCTTCCCATGGCATACAGCTCCACAGCAGTGCAGATCAAAGCAAGACTAATGAATGGCCACACCCCAAACATTTCACTTCCTTCTTGGAAACTTTTCTGCTAATATCCAGGAGAGCCTTCTGTAATTAAGGACAGTGAATGCCCCATGGTTTTAGTGAGCAGGGCCCACATTCTCTAGTCTTACTGTTTGATCATTTAATGGTTCCCTTTCTTAGGTATCTAATGTATTCATCCTATGTTACCACAAATTACAAGGAAAGAGCAGTATGAACAGCATTTATATAAGTAGGAAAGTGAGTATAACCAGAAACATAACTGAATAGCTTGAATTTTAGCAGATACCTTCATGCTTTTCCATGTTTATTTTCGTGGCTTTTGGGCATGTTACCAAGAACAGTACCTTGTCCTTCCGGGGGATCAGGTGTTGGCTTTAGACGCTTCAGCATCAGCCGTTCCTAGGCACAGTGCATCAGCTGCCGGAGTTCTGTGTCTGGAATTCCTCCGTTTCCAACTCCCCGCTTAGGAGCACTGTTCTGTGAATGGAGTCATTGGCTTGTGGTTGACACATCATTATTAGTGTGAGAAGACAAGTTCATTGGCCTACTTGGGTTTTGGACACTAGGAAAAAATAACCATAGGAAATGAAAGCAGTGGAGAAGCAAAGGCTTCGGGGCTGATTTGCCAGGGTTCCCAGACTGTGGAAGGCACGGAGGGACTCCCAGAGGGTTCAGTGGGGTGTGACTGGGTTCTGTGAGCCAAGAACGCTCTGGCACAGAGAACACGTGCTGGTGGCTAGTAAGGGTCGCTCATGTGCAGTCATGACACTGTGTTTATTAATCAGAATTTTACATTTTTATAAACATGCAGTTTATTTATTTTTAAAATTTAATTACATTTTTTGATGATGTTTGATGGTTAACCAGGGTGTGAAGGGTCGAGGGCTAGGGTAGTGTGGGTGAGATCGCCGTTTCCATATCTTTCCCCTTTTCCTCCCCTGTCTGGCAGAAGGGGAGGAGCCACAGCTATTCTCGCAGCCCCAGGAGCTGGGGATGGGGACTGGCCACCCAGTGCCCTCCCAGGTCCCGATGTGGAGCCTGCTCTGAGGGTTCCACTCGAGTGGTTTCAATAGTTCTAAAATTCTGTCAATCTCACCAATCCAAGGATGCGGAAATGCTTCCAAGATCCATGTTCTGACACACCAGTGTATGTGGGGGCTGACATGGGCGACAGATTGAGCAGGATCCCGTACTGGCAAACACACAGGAGTCAGGTCTGGGATCGCCTCAGGGGAGGTTTCTGTGGGGATCCCCCCAACTGAACAGCTGGACTCAGAGCTCCAGCCACAGGGAGAATTGTGGATCTCTGGTCTGGCTGCAGAGTGCGTGTGTCAGAGCTGGGTCTTCCTCGTGGCTCAGATGCAGCAGTGGACGGCAAGCCCAGATGCACATGGAGGATGGCCAGTCCACTGTGGCCTGCAGAGGACATCTGGTACCACAGCAGAGGGCAGAACAGGGCTGCTTAACTGCCCCAGCCAAATACTGACATACTGAGCAAATTTACAGCCAATATGATTTTCTCAACATGTTTATATTGTTTTTTTTTTTTAAATCTTCAAACAATAGACATTTGAAATCCAGGCTGCATTATTTCTGTATTGATGGTAGAAATTGAAAAGAATCTGAAGACATGATATTTTTAGTTTGTGATATACAGGCAGCAAACAGAAATTCTTAGAACAGAACTGTCTGTGGTAACACTTCATCATGGTGAACAAAGCTAAGGTGTAATATCACAGCAATCCTGTTTTTCCCATTCGAAGCCAGTAATATCAAAGCTACATATACTTTAAAAATATATTTTAAAATTTTTATTGGAAAGGCAAATGTACAGAGAAAAGGAGAGACAGAGAAAAAATCTTCCATCTGCTGGTTTACTCCCCAAATGGCCACAGCAGCTGGAGCTGAGCTGATCCAACTCGAATGCAGGAGCCAGGAGCCTCTTTGGGGTCTGTTTCGCAGATGCAAGGTTCCAAAAACTTGGGCCGTCCTCTACTGCTTTCCCAGGCCGTAAGCAGGGAGCTGGATGGGAAGTGGGGCACCAGGTCTCTAACCAAGACCCATATGGATTTTTTTAAAAGATTTATTTATTTTTATTACAAATTCAAATATACAGAGAGGAGGAGAGACAGAGAGGAAGATCTTCCGTCCGATGATTCACTCCCCAAGTGAGCACAACGGCCGATGCTATGCCAATCCGAAGCCAGGATCCAGGAACTTCTTCCTGGTCTCCCACGTGGGTGCAGGATCCCAGGGCCGTCCTCTGCTGCTTTCCCAGGCCACAAGCAGGGAGCTGGATGGGAAGTGGAGCTGCTGGGATTAGAACCAGCGCCCACATGGGATCCCAGTGCGTTCAAGGTGAGGACTTTAGTCGCTAGGCCATGCCGCCGGGCCCCAGGACCATATGGGAACTTAGCGCTTGCAAGGGGAGGAATAGCCAATTGAACCATCATTCCAAGACCCCCAAATTACATATTCTTTGGAATGAATATATTCAATTTGATAGGTCACCTTCAAATGAAAACAAAAACAGATTGTAGGAATATATATTCTGTTGGGCTGATGAATGTGTGTGTATAATATAAGTTATATATACATATATATGTACTCATTACATTATATGATATTATATATCCATATATACTACATAAGTGGCTCACTGTTAATAAGAACCTATGTGTGTGTATCTAAACATACACATATCACATTATATGTACACACACTACATGTTTTTCTGTTCTGTTTTATTTAAATCTGCCAAATTGCTTGCTATACGGAATGATAGTTCTGTTTATCTATTCTGTAAACATCCCTCAAGGTTTGTTTGACACACAGATGAAGCAGGTAGTCCAAGCAAAAACAGACTAAATTGGAAAATCGCTGTCCTGACTTACAGCTCACCAAATATGGACTTTTCCCATGGCATTCACCGTGGAGCTGTTGATTGCTGGTACTAAAGAATGTGCCACAGCAGGTCGCCAGGCGGCCTTCGTGTTCACAGCACCCTCAAGTCCTGGCAAGGTCGCTCCTGTGACTCGGAGCCTCGGTGTGCTCAGCTGAGGAGCAGGTGTGATTGGCAGCCGTGAACACCGTGGGCTGGGAACGATGCCGTGTTCCTGCAGGCGCACGTCCTGGGTCCAGTGCATCCCAAGACCTTGGCCCGTGTCTGCCTGACATGGTGTGTGGTGCCACTGTGGCCTGCTGGAGTTGTTGAGATCAGAGGGCACAGTATGACCCTTAGACTCCAGTCTGTCATCTGCCCGCCCCACGTGAGACAGTGCCCGGCGTGGTCCCCTCCATCACTGCGGCTTACCGAACCTCTTCCAGTGTTGTGTTTTTTTTGTTGTTGTTTTTTTTTTTTTTTTTTGGAAAGGCGGATATACAGAGAGGAGAGACAGAGAGGAAGACCTTCCATCGGATGATTCACTCCCCAAGTGAGCACAACGGCCGGTGCTATGCTGGTCCGAAGCCAGGAGCCTCTTCCGGGTCTCCCATGCGGGTGCAGGTTCCCAAAGCCTTGGGCCGTCCTCGACTGCTTTCCCAGGCCACAGGCAGGGAGCTGGAAGGGAAGCGGGGCTGCTGGGATAGAACCGGCGCCCATATGGGATCCCGGGCGTGCAAGGTGAGGACCTTAACCACTGCGCCACCGCGCCGGGCCCAATCAGTGTAGTTTTGCGTGGACCAGGCCCGGTCTGTGGTGCACGCGGGCCCTGCTGCCTCGTTTCCCCTGGAGAACCTCCCTGGCTTGCGCGTGGGGCTGAAGTCCAGCTGATCTCTGGAATACGTAAGCTCTGTCTGCTCATTCTGTGACAACAGCCGGGTTGCTCATCAGCCTCCCTCCTCCCCTTCTCAATCCTCCCAAATTCCTTTTCACTGAACATTGTCTGGATGCTTCTATCATTACAGAGTTTCAAGGGTCCCCCCCGCCCCTTTTTTCCCTAAGATATGTAAAATCTAGTGACTTATGTTGGCAAATGGGTGGAGAATGGGAGAGGCAGAGTTTGGAATCAGACTGGAGGTTCAAAGCCTTGTGCTACTGCTTCTCGGCTGGGTGCTTGCCATGTTGGTTCATCTTTCCGGCTCTTACTTTCCTCATTTGTCAGAAGGAATAAGGACAGATATCTTGTAGGATCAGATGCGGATTAAGCAGAATAACATAACTTGAGGGCTTGGCACGTAGTGGCCGCCAGTGAGTTGAGGCAGCTAATGTAACGGCAGCAATTAAGAGCATTGTCTCTGCTGTTAATTATAACCTACTTAAAAATGGAGCCTTGCCTTGTTCGTCTTGGAGCCTGATCATAGTGCCTGGCACCTGAGATAAACAGGCATGCATTTTTTATGCTTGATTTTCAAAGTGTCACTGTTCCACTGGGGACAGTGTCAGGAGACCAAAGGCTTGGCTCCGGGCATGACTCCTTGGTGTTCACCTGGCCAGAGGGCACTGCAACATGCCGTGCTCACGGAGGCCACTTGGGTCTGTAGGGCACTGGCCTTCTGAGGCCTGCCTGGTAGAGCCCGTGGATTCACCCAGCACGGCAGGCAATGTTGTCTGCCTGTCACTAACTCAGGAGGCAGCGTCTAAGAATCTGTCAACTGTCCGCCGATGGCAACGATGCACGACAAACTTTGGGAGATGTTTTCTCAAATCATCCGCCAAGTGTCCGATGTCCTGTATCAATTCGAGTGGAGGAAAGCACATCTCCAGCAGGAGTGGTGCCTGAGGCGGGACTCGGGGATGTTCACCTTGGCAAGCGTCGCCAGGCGAGGGCAGGGTCCGAGTTGGAAGCTGACTGCTGTGTCTGGCGCCTGTGGGGGAGGAAGGGTGCCCTCTCCTGCCCATCTGAAAAGGGGCACTGCAGCATTCTGGGCTTTTACAAAATTATTATTCATTTAAATAACAAAGTTAACGACAAGCAGAGAGAGAGAGAGATTGTCCATGCATTGTTTCACTCCCCAGTGTCTGCGACAGCTGGATCTGGGCTAGGATGAAGTTAGGGGCTGGAACTCTAGCCTAGTCTCCCATGTGGAGTTACGGGAACAAAACCTTGGGCCATTGTCTGCCACTTTCCCAGCACATCAGCAGGGAGCTGAATTGCAAACAGAGCCTCTGGGACTCAAGCCAGTGCTCCTATGGGATGCCAGCAGCACAGGTAGCGACTTAATACGCTATGCCACAGGGTCAGCCCGACCACCACTATGCCTGTGACAAAAGACAGGTGTACAAAGGAAAGCGTAACAGATGTATGGGCTTGTGGGTTTGCCTGACAGGCAGCCTTCAAGGGGAACCCCCAAGAGCCAGGGAGGGGAGAGGGGATGAAGCTGCTCCCACTGGAACTGATACATAGACCTTGGCAGCAGGATGCTGGACACTCTGCCATTGTCACTGCCCGCAATGTCAGCATACACTTTAATAGTAAAGTGACAGACTTAAAACTGTGTATGAAGAACTATGCTATTGTAATAATACAGGGGAAATCAGTGGGGGTAGGGTAGGGGAGGGGATAAGGGCGATCCCAGAGCCTATGGAACTGTACCATTAAAAAACGAACAAACAACCAAGTGCGGGCTTGTGGTTTTACGTGGCAGGGAGCCTGCTAAGGGAGAAGCCAGAGAGCCACGGAGGGGAGAGGGTAGCATCAGTGTCTACGCTGGATTGGAAGGAACTTTCACGGGCATATGGGAAAGGGACCAGCCCGGGGCCCCAGCGAGGCTGTGTCCTCAGATGCCTCTGGTCTCTGGGTGGCGTTGCGTCCCGCAGCCGTGGGACAGGCCTGCTGCTGAGGGTCCAGTGTGCCCAGCACCGGGCCAGAAAGGCAGGGACGTGCGCACGACTGTTCCTGGGCTTTATGACTTGCTTTGCGCAAAAGGGAGTGCAGTTGCTGGCATACCATTTGGGAAGGGAGTTCTGGTCTCCGAGGCTTGCCTTGGGGTGGGGGAGAACGGGAACAGGGGACAATCAGAGAGGAACTCTGTTTCAGAGGCCTTCATTTTGAAGTTTCATTTCCTGAGCCCCAACAGGCCCCAAATTGTCCCATTTTTCATGCTGCGTGTCATTGCTTCCGGGCTGTTACGCAACGTTTCGGCCGTATTTATCACATGTCTACCGTACAGAGTTCTGTGTTGGCAATTAGGCATTGAGCAGTAGAGGACACAGAATGAGTCAAATATCTTCCCCCAAATATTTAGCACTCAAGAGCAGTCAAACAGCCTCACTGCTGTTTCTTAGCATCCCGGAACACAACCCTGTCTCCTGCCAGGCCAGCCGGTGTCCCACTGTGTGCCCCTGCCCCAACACACAGCCACCCCCGCGGTGCCTGGCTTCTCTCTGCTCACTGAGCACTGTCCCTTTGTTTCAGCCTGTCTCCTTTCCTCGCGGAGCTTGAGTTTCAGGCATTACCTTCGGAGCCTTTACGATTTTGCAAGTATTTATTGTATGTCTCTGCATTCTAAGTGCTGGGATCAAACATGACAAGACTAACAAGGCTGCGACCTTCATGACAAGGCAGTTCTTCCTGAGGGGCAGGCTAACGTTCCAGCCACTCAGACAAAAATACCGCAGTGTAGTCACCTCCATTTGTCAGCTTTTTTATTTTTTCTGAACTTCTTTCCTCAAATACACTGTAATTTCCTCCTTGGGCTCATGTTTTACTCCTATTATAGAAACTCAACTTGGAGTTGCAAATTGCTTGCCAGACTTTCTCCTTTTTTGGGAGTGGAGGAGCATCTCATATTGTGTGTTTTCACTTAAATTTTGCAATTGTTTTATGTTCTGCCGTTATTGCCCAAGAGTCATCTGTTTTAGTACCGAGGAGGCTCCGTGTAGGCCCAGTGAGGACAGCGCGGGCAGACCTCACAGCCAAGGAAAGGAGAGGAGTACGAGACATGAAATGTGGGATCGCCGTGAATTCCTGGGGAGACTGCAGGAGGAAATCAGACGCAGGCACGTTAAGATGCAGTAACTATGACACACCACCCTTGGGGGCTGCATCCAGTCGTGTTGTAAGGTGCTGTGTCAGGGGTTTGCCCTGAGCAACCAGTGAGTGGTGGGTTTAGGTGCTACCCTGTCTTCAGGGAGCCCCGTGCTCGGTTCTTCCATTTAAAGCTGGGGGCTACCATGAATTGTTTCACCTCCCAGGAATGTCAGCGTCTACAGGAGTCTGGAAAAGCTGGTTAACGGTTTCATGGTGTTAATCTGCCACCTAGTGGTTTACTTTAGGTATTCCATGAACATGGGAAGGGCTTTACAAAGCCTAAAAAGATATTCTGTTTCCTATATAAAAATAGCCTGTCTTCTAGCAACAAGCTGAGTTCAATTATGCTGAATATAATAGTTACCGCCCTTGATAGTCAGATGGATTTGTTATAAAGGAATGACACAACCATCAGTCCAAGTTCCCCCTGGCCTTTCATATTTGAAAGTTTTGTGTGTGTTTGGAAAGTTGGTAGTTACTTTTGAGTACACTTGGTGGTTTTCTGCAATGAGGGTTGTGTGTGTGTGTGTGTGTTTCTGGGAAAGGAGAGGCGAGTGGCACAGCTTGTCCATGTGATTCTCCAGCTGGGCTGGGAGACAGGAAAGTGTAGAGGGCATTTTGAATAGCAGAATTTTCTCTTTTAAAGATTTATTTCATTGTTTTGAAAGGCAGAGAGTGACAGAAAAGTCTTCCATCTGCTATTTTATGTCTGAAATGATGCAATCTCTGGGGCTAGGCCATGGTCAAACTGGGAGCCAGGAACCCAGCTGGGTCTCCCAGATTGGTGGCTGGGGCCCCCCAACAATTGGAGTTCCCAGTCACTGCTTTCCCAGATGTGTAGTCGGGGAGCGGGATCAGCAGTGGAGCAGCTAGCACTGGGACCAGAGCTCCAAGTATGGGCTGCCGCTGCTGCAGGCGGTGACTTGGTGTGCTGTGCTACAGTGCTGGCCCCATCAAAGCTAGTTTGTTGAGTTATGCCACCTAATAAGCTGACTTATGGCTCTTCGTGCTATAGTCATTTCCTGCAAACTTCCAAGCCTCACCTCTAGTCTTTACCACATGGTAACAACAGAGGGAATTGGGCTGTCCCATGTTAAGCTTCCACTTGCCAATCCCAGCTCCTCATCCAGTTCCTTGCTCCTGTGCCTGGGAAGGCAGCAGCAGCAGATGGTGCAAGTGCGTGCCCCTCCCAGCCCCTGCCACCACGAAGGGACTAGGATGGACTCTGGCCCTGGTTGCTGTGTGACCACCTGGTGAGTGAGCCAGTGGGTGGAAAGTCTGACCTTCTGCCTTTCAACTAGACACATGAGCCTTCTGAAAAGAGTGAGAGTAGCAGTCACTGCTCGCTTTGGGATGCCTTCCAAGTATCAGGCGTCGCGTAAAGCACTCAGTAGGACTGGGCTTCAGTTTCCACAAATGCCCAAATTGGTCATGTCAGTAACAATGGGAAAGCTGGATGAGGGTCTGAACTAATGGCGTGGCTGTGCCTGAGGCCTCGGTCAGCAGCAATCTCACAGAAGCATGTCCTGTTGCCACAGGATCCCTGACGTTTCTGCCACTCAGGAAATGTCTGCCTTTCTCAGAGGATGGGGTCGCACCTGAGCCACACCCTGCGGCCAGCCCCTACTTACGGAACGTGACTTCTTATTTAGTTGCTGTTAGAGAACTGGGGGCCTGACATGAAGTCCCAGGTCAGGTGCTTGCATGTTGGCATCGTAGAGGCCTCACCTCTGTCCCCAGGCACAGTTGATGAGGAAGGGGGAACCTCCCCCTCCAAGGGCCTCGCCGGTTCTGAGTGCGAGGAGCCCAGCCCAAGCCGCGGGGTGCCCCTGCCTCCCAGTGCTCAGCGAGCCCTGGGCACGAACTCACCTCCAGATGACCCGCTTCCCGTGGTCCATTCTCTAGTCCCGTGCCAGGGCGTGCCGGCTTCCTGGTGCGGACAAGGCCCTCAGTGGCCCTGCCTCCCAGTCCCGCTCCCGCGGCTCTGCTGAGTCCTACCAAGTTCTGACTTTCCCTCTTCTCTCAGGCTAGCTTCTTCCAGTAAGTGGCTGAAAGCGGCAGGATTCTGAGAGGCTGTCTTCAGTGTTTTCACCTGGTCGTTACTGCCTGTCAAGCACTCCATGAGCATCAGTGATGTCAGAGGGCATGGGTTGCTGCGGGCCACAGGTGCGCACAGGTGCGCACAGGTGCGCACAGGTGCGCCCCGCTCTGACCCGCCCCTTCCGCTCCCTCCGCAGGTGATAAAGGACGCCCTGGTGGAGAGCATCGCCTACCGACGACAGAACCCGTCTCGCTGCTCCGTCTCCCTCAGTGACGTCGAGGCCAGAAAGTTTTTCAACAAGGAGTTTCTGGGTAAACCCGCGCCCTAGGGCCTGCCTGGACCGGGGGAAGGCGCGGCCGTGGCGGGCGCCCCAGGCCAGCGAGCAGCGGACCGTGACCGTGGCCGTGGCGCTGCTTCCGTGTCCGCCGGCGGCCGCCTCAGCTGAGGGAGACGCCGGCCGAACATTCCCCTCCCGCCCGGCCAGGCGTGCCCTTCTCCAAAGACGCGGTTTTCTCTTTAAACTGTAACAGCCGAGTCTCAGAGAGGCCTCCCCTCGTGTGACTGCCTTCACTGACCAGACTAGTCCGCGCGGTGAGATAACACTATTTTTTTTTTAATTTATATGTGCTTATATGACATATATGAGGTCAATACAGTCATACACAAACTCGCGTGGCGTGACGAGTGTTTTGTTCACCTCGTTGAGGCGAAACATTCCCACATTCGCTCTTCTCAGAGACAGAAGCTGTTAAAGCTGAACTTAAGCATGAAGCTTTTTGTAAAAAAACAAAACAAAAAACAACAACAAAAAAACACAAAAGCCTGACAGGCCTGGGCTCGGGGCTGCAGGTGCCAGCTGGCCGCCCACAGGCTGGCGGCCCCGGGAGCGCGGGGAGACAGCTGCTGGCCTGGCCCTCCGGTCCTCCTGGGGCTGCCCCTGGTCCTGTCCATCCTCCCAGGCCGGCCTGCTCGCCGGAGTCACCTCAAGGTAAGGATGCAGCCGCGCCCCCTCTGCGTCTCCCCTGGCTGAGCCTCCCCTGGCTGAGTGAGTCTCCCCTGGCTGAGTCTCCCCTGGCTGAGTGAGTCTCCCCTGGCTGAGCCTCCCCTGGCTGAGTGAGTCTCCCCTGGCTGAGCCTCCCCTGGCTGAGTGAGTCTCCCCTGGCTGAGTGAGTCTCCCCTGGCTGAGTCTCCCCTGGCTGAGTTGCAGCACAGCCTTTGTCTCCTTCCTGTTTCCTAGACAACCTAGGAAATGGCATCGCCGAGTGCCGCTTCAGAGTGTCCAAACCGAGGGAAGGGGAGTGAAGGAGTTGTGGCTGTGACGGCTGCCCTGCAGCGTGTGCGCGGGCTGTGGGTTCCTGAAGCCCAGTGCAGTGGGCATTTCGTGTAGCACAGGCCTTGAGTCTCGGAGGAGGACGAGGCATTGCGTTCTGGGGCGAGCAGGCAGAGGCGAGGCTGGCAGGAGCTGGCCAGTCAGCTCACTGCGGGGTTCCGCTGCTGTGTCCTCAAGAGGACTTAGGATCTGTCTGGCCATTGAAGCACTGGCTTCTAAGTGTAAGAATCTCTGGAAACTCGGCCTTTTTCAGCATAAATCTTCCGTATTCGGGTGATTCCGAACAGGAACAGTGGACGCTGCTCTGAGATCCAGTGAGCTGAGAGTCAGGCGGGGAGGAGGCGCGCGTTCACACGGCTTCGGGGTGACGTCTTCTGGAATGTCCTAGCCAAGTCCGCTCGTGGGGCCCTGGGGGCAGTGCCTGGGCCCCCCAGGAGCCTCGCACTGGGCCGCTGCCATGGCCCACATGCTTGCAAAGACGCCACAGCTGGTAGAGCTACCTTTAGTCAGTGTGGAAGCAAGCACATGCCACGCGTGCTGGGACTGCTGGTGGGCGCAGCCGCTGACCGTGCCCTGGAACAGCTCGGAGCGTGGTTCCGATTCCTGCGCAGGCCAGGGTCCTGGGGCCAGCAGTCAGCCACTTGGGGTTGGCATGTGGGTTGAAAACCGCCAGTACGTTTCTTGGGAAAGAGTATGATGCCGTTTTCTGATTGTTAGTTTGAGCCAGCTTCCTTTCACTCCATGCTGAGTGGAGGTGCAAGGAGGGTAAAAGATTCATTCGGGGTTGTAAATACTGTGTGCACACAGGCTCCCCACGTGTGGCTGTGGGCTGCACAGCCAGGCGTGTACTCTGACGCTCTGCCTAAGTAAATCAGGGCTACTCGGTACCATGACACAGCATCGGAGAAGGCTTCCCGTGCAGGGGTTGAGTACCAGGTAACAGTGAGGAGCCTGGCTCAGACACTTGCCTCTCCGAGTAGCACATCATCACCGCAGGTTCGTTTTCATAGAAAGACAAGCAGCCTCCCTTAGAATACTGAGCATGCGAGTATTGATGCTGGCCATTCAGACGTGTTAGACAGAAACTAGAAAGTGCTTCCTTCCAGTGAAAAGGTGAAAGTTACGATTTAATCAGCAAAGACAAAGACTCTCATTGGATGGGACAAAAAAATTTACATTAAGAACTAATTTTTTGAGCCACAAAATAGTAAGGAAGGAAGAGACAGATCTACACTGTTTTTGCTGTCCTCAAATTGCAAGTGTTCCAGTCACAGTGTGCCACGAGCACTCGGCTGAACTGGAAAAGGCATCGCATTTATGTAGGTGTGCATTTGTAGGGAGGAAAAAATACAGTCAAATGTAACATTTGGTATAGTCTGTGCTTTCAAACCTCTCTGAGGATCTTGGAATGGACCCTCCATGAATAAGGAGAGAACATTAAACATTAAGAGAATATCACAAAAGAAAAAAATCATCCCATAATGGAAGCCACGTTAGCACAAACTCCAGGAGGCTAGAAGGCTCCTTACAGGTCTCCCGGAGACCGTGTCCTTGCCGTGGAGACAGTGTCACCACCTCCCGGGCCCTCGCAGCTTCTGAGCTGCTGGGAGAGTCTCCTTCCAGACACGCAGACCCTGGCACCGTTCCCTTGTTCCCAGCTCTCAGCAGATCCTCGCTGTTACCAGGAAGCCTGAATTCCGCAGAGTTAAGCGAGGGCCCCATGTGTCTGCTGTCCAGTCCTTCATGGCTCTCCCCGCATTGGCCTTCCGCCCCTCCTCGGGTAGACCCCTAGCATTGCCTTTTTGTCTCCATTCCTTCAGCCGCTGACCCGCCATACGAGTGTAGAACGTACCCTGCTTGGGGTCACGACACCTCACTTCTTGAGTGGCACGGGGGACAGGTCATGACACAAAATTAGTGGCAAATATTTGGGGCTAATTAGGAGAGTTTGAAAATAATGTATTCAGTGAGGTGAGTGGAATGAGGTGATTCTGGGCTCATTTGTTGCCTTGGCAACATCTTAGCTTGTGAACAGACCCAAGGATGGAGTCCAATAGCCTTGTCTTGAATTTTACCTTTTCTGTTTCTGGCAAGATTTGCTGCTTGTTTTCTGATAAATGCATCATTTCCTTTGAGTTGCGGGAGTCCTGTCTCTATGCATATGACCAACAGCTGTCTGTGCGTAGTGGCCAGCATGCGCTCAGTTGCCAAGCCTCTGGCTCACGCTCAGATAGTGTACTTCCCTGAAGCCTAAGCCATGCTTCTTAAATGCTCAACACAACCAGGATCTAATTGATCAAAATGAGTCATTGGACCCAGCATGGGCATTCTCTCTGCATGAATTATAGCAGCTTTCAATAATTTCCTGAGTCTGCAAACATGCGCGGAAGCGTTTGCCATTAAATTGATTTCTTTTCAGACATTGCCTCAGTACTAAGCACATCCTCCTGTGATGAATAAATATTCCTTTTGGTTTTGATTTCTTTTAATTAAAGAACCTGAAGGCAATCGTGCAAATCTTAGAGGTGCATTTGTTGAGCTGTCACAGTGAGAGCGCAAAGCAGACCCCAGGCTCCAGCAATGCCCTTCTCCCAGTATCCTCGGAGATGCCCCTTTCAGTTGCAAATGGTAATTTCAGATAAAGACGACCAGGCTTTGTAGAGCTTGTAGTACTGGGAGGGAGCCTTTTCTCAGAGTTAGTTGGGTCAGAAATATCAAACATGTCATTGCTACCTTTTTCCACCTTCCTCCTCTGCTGGGGCTTGTCTTTGCTGGTAATCTTTCATGTGCGTGCTGTGTAGTTAGCCAAGAGTCGGCCACATGCTTCCTACTGCTTGCAGGCCGCAGGAGGCGTCCTCTCTCCCAGTGGTCTGTGCAGCACTGCAGTGGGAGTTGGATAAGCCCACTTAGGATGCGGGCCAGGGTGGCGTTGGCATTTATGAGCCCATTCTTTGTGCCAGGTACATCTGAACGGGGAAGTGAAGCTTCCTATTGAGAGATCTGCATTCTTTTGGGGAAGATAGGAAGTAAACTCACCCAACGGATCCCCAGCGGTAACACGAATTTCACACACTTCGTGGGTGGAACTATGGAGTAAAGCAGCCCAGGGAGGGAGGGTGTAGAGGGAGTGTGGGGAGGGGCACCAGAGAGGAGGAGGGCAAGGTGGCCAAGAGACCTGGGATCACGTGACTGCAGTGTGGGAGGACCTGCTCAGAGTGGGAGATCACGTGACTGCAGTGTGGGAGGACCTGCTCAGAGTGGGAGATCACGTGACTGCAGTGTGGGAGGACCTGCTCAGAGAGATGCCCGCTATGGCAGAAGAGCACTGCAGATCGGGTTGTGACTCCTTTTTATGGGACGAAAACCCAGCAGGGGCCTTCTGGCTTGTGAGGAATACTGTGCTAAAATTTTCTCTCCCGGACAACAGAGGTTGGTTGGGCAAGAAGACAGCGTCATGCGTAAGCAGTCTGATTTCCCCCCGAAGATGCACAGCTCCTTGCTCAGGACAATGCGACTTCTCCAGCTTGAGTGGCATATGATTGCCAAGGTCCCTTTCAGCTCTGCAATTCAACGATTCTGAAGTCATTCTCTAAGTAATTAATTTTCATATTTTCTCAACATTCAATAATGTCAGAATGAATGATGCAGAGAGTATAAAATTGGATTGCAGTATTATAATTTACATTAGCCAAATTACAAAAGGACATTATAAATAACCTTATCTAAAAGAAGGCAAAACTTTTACTTTTTAATGACTCATGTGTCAATGTTTGTAAATCCTGTTAAATAACTTTAAAAAGTCTAGTGACAAAGTAATTATTTATATTCCAGCTGCAGGGCAATTGGTGATTAAATTAGCATCTTTTTGGTCAATCACAGATTCTAAATGTAGTTGACATAACCCTTGGCAGTCAGGAAACAAATATTTACAGAAAAAAAAAACCCACAGTTTTCTCTTGTATCTGTTAGTATGCTATTTAATTTGATGAAATATCTACAGAAATGTTACCTTTGAGGAGCCCTTTTATTTATCAATGATGCTTAAGCAATAAAAATGTGAATAGTGCTAAAGCAGGTGGCGGGGATGCTTTGGGTGTTGTAGGCACTTTCCTGTGAGTTCTACGTCCTTTCCCCAGCAGTGCTGTGGGATGCAGCAAGGGACTCACATGGGGTGGGAAGCTGCCCCGGCTTGCGGCCTGGGCTTAGGTTGCTGTGTTCGGAGTTTTAGGGTCCGAGCCACCTGTGAGGCCTGTGATTTGGATACACCTTGAGTATCCACCATCGTGAGGCGTTGACCTGAGTGCTTTGGGAGACAGCCAGCTTGGGGGGAGCTCATAGGACAGGAGCCGCTAGGACAGAGCCTGGTGGCCTAAGGAGAGGGGGAGGTTGGACCGACACCTGCACAGCAGCCTTCTGCCAGGCACCCTACCCTCTGTCAGAGACAAACCACCAGCAAATGAGACCCCTCTAACTTGGACCTCTAGACGTGAGTCAAAACAACCCCTTTTCTTTACAAAGGGGCCCGCTTAGGGGGCCTCACTGTGGTTGTGAAAGCTGGCTGAGTCAGGTGACAGACACCTGGTATGGATCTTGGTGCAAAGCCATTCAGGGAAGATGGGGAGCTGCGTCACCTTGCCCAGGGCTCTTGGCCACCTTGC